AAGAAGCGCAACCGTGGAATGTCCCGCATTGGGATTGTGGAAACGCGTGCGTGTATGGTTGTCTTCCGCACCATTTGGCCAAAGTGACGCTTCTTTGCTCCAAGGGCTGCAAGTTGTTTCGTAACAAGCCTTGCGTCAGCCCCGCCGCTGACCTTCAAGGCAAGCACGAGATTTCTAATGAAGATGCCTGCATCATCAGAGGCGTGTTGGCTGCGCAACACCTTTCACAGATTTGCAGTGGCCTTCCGCGCATTGACTGTAGCGTGGCAGATCCAAAGTGTGTGAATCACTGCAAAGCGAGAACAAGCCGAGCCATCTAAATTTGACCAGAGGTTCAAATTCGACGTTCAAAAATCGCACCGCGCCAAGCGAGAGAGATCCGAGCCACCTAAAGTCCATAGAGTGTTCACTTTCGATGTTCAAAATTCAGACCGCGCCACAAGAAAAGCGATCCAAAGTCCGCAAAGGGTTCACTTTGGATGTTCAAAACCCGTACCGCACGACAGGTAAAAGGACTGTTTGTCGTCAAGTTCAAAAGCCGTACATTTTCAGGTGTCATGAAATACCATAAACGCAGGTAAGAGCTTCATTTTCCATGTCATGAAATACCATAAACGCAGGTAAGAGTCATGGATATAAAAAAAAGCACGCGCCAAGTAAGCGCCTTGTGTCACAAAGTGCAAGCGTGGAAATGAATGCGGGGCCAACGGGGAGACAAGTGGAGGGACACGCGGGAAGACACGTGGGAGACAAGCCGTGACAAGGTCTGAGTCACCAAGCGCAAGTAAGGCGAGAAAAGTCGGAAGACAAGTTGTAAGTGGGGAGAGAGAGAGAGAGAGAGAGAGAGAGAGAGAGAGAGAGAGAGAGAAGACACAAGCTGTAGCCAGCAAGTGCAAACCAAGCAAAAGTGGGGAGACAAACCGTAACATGTCCGAGCCTCCAAGCACAAGCAAGGAGAAGGTAGGAAGACAAGTGGGGCGACAAGTAGGGGGACAAGTGGGGAGACAAGTGGGGAGAGAAATGTAAGAAAACAAGCGGGGAAACAAGCGGGAAAAAAGTGGGGAGAAAAGTCAGCAGGGAAAAAAAGGCAAACCATCTCGCGAGGGAGGACTTCTGTTGCGCGAACAAAGAACCCCAGCAGAAAACGGTTTAGGGGCATAAATAAACTGGCCTTGCTGCCTGGTCAGAAGAAACACAAACGATTTGTAAGGAAACAATCTGGTTCACGAGTGGCTTTCAGGCCAAGCACGTTTCGCGCGCTTGCGCGCTGCGCTGGCCCGCTCCAGCATAGTCATGGGCAATGGCGCCAGCCGCAGCGCGTCTCAGAGAAAAGTCGAGTTGCCTTGAGGTCAAATTTTAAAGCTCCGACCAAACAAAGAGCTGCCAAGGTACTGTGTGGAGGTACTGCGACCCCAATTTCATTCGAACCTGCCAGCTGGACATAGCAGCGAAATGCCAAAAACACAAGCCGAAAGTCCTCAAAGTTGGGACACTCCCCGCTCAATCAAGCAGGAACCCATTAGTCATAGTTGCCTCCACACCCATTTCAGAATCACGATGTCAAAAAAGAGACATTGTGGGACGTTCTTCATTTCATGGTGGGTAGTGCAAATGGAGAGCCATCGAGCCTCAGCCTTTCAGACTGGGAAGCCAATCAATCGCTTTGAGCAAATGGTGGAAACAGGGTTCCCAATGTCTTGGTTGGTTTGAGCCTGGAATGGGCATCAAAACAGCCGCAAAAAAAAATCCAGCAAACAAAGGTGATCGCAGAAGAAACAGTGCCCGAGCGCTAACAAACGGGTTTACGCCAGATGGCGTTTTGGGAGACTGACTGTTCCCCAGCAGGAAGTCTAAGAGCAACCCAGGTTTACAGCAGGAAAAACAACTTCCCGAAAGACAGGTTGTGATTGAATCCTGTTTACCCACCTAAGTCATGTAAATTATTTGGACCCGTCAAATGGGCCAAAAGCCTGGCAGCTTCAAAAGAGTCTGCCTTCTGCTTTCTGCCAGGTCTGCAGCTGCGCCGCTGACACGCAGCGGTAGCCGTGGCAGTCCGGCGGAGGCGCTGAGCACTACGCCCCGCGGCTGCTGTGGATGAGAAAGAAATTATTGCCTTAAGTAAGGGAATGCAAATGGGGGTGAGCTCCAAACAGTAGGGGATTAAACCTTCCAGCCAGTGCGGGGATGCCATGAGAATTCCAACCACTCAGTTCATCGTTGATAAATCAAACCTTGTTTTCCCTAGGGGTAGCACGATCTTCGAGCCACAAACGGTAGTTTCCATTGGCTTCCTTCCGCGTTCTTGTCTTTTCTTGTCCCGGACCACCTTCTAGCCATAGGAGGTAGCGCCAGCTAGCTCACTCCCATAAAACAACTCGAGGGTCGGTATGCCTACGATGGGCCGATTTTGTTGAGCTTGCAAAATGATCCTTGGGGGATGCACTCCATGTGCCCTTATAGCTCCATAGCTTTGCATCCCCAGTCTGATTGATCATTGGTTTAGGCCACAGGTCACTCACTCGCTCGCTCGCTCACTCACTCAATCACTCCGCCCCACTCCACTACACACACACACAAACTCACGCACACGTTGTCATGCGGCATCAACTCACGAAGTCTCAATTCAGACCAATCCTCAAAGCTATATCATTTTTGCATTCTTGCCCAACAAGGAAAAATAAAAAATGCTCCAAGGGCACAGCGAGTTTTTATGTGGACCTGCATGTGGGGATCTGGATATTCCCCTGCAAGGGCTTGCTGGAGCACATGATCTCGGGTACACTGTGCTGGAAGGGCAATGGGCCAGTGGGTTATCCGATGCGGGGCTCCAGGTGAGTGCTTGTGATGATTCTGCAACAGTGCTGGAACAAGCATGCGGTGTCTCATCCACTGGAAGTGGTGAGGAGACCAGGCCAGGTAGGCATCAATGGTCTCGCTTTTGATGGGTTTTTCAACTCCCCATCCCAACGTTGTCGGTTCTGGGTCGATCTTCACGTACCTGACATCCTCCGTGTTGGTTACATGCTCCAGAATGGACTGAAACAGTACATCTTCGCAAGCATTGGGCACAAGGACACGTTGAGGGCGAGTGGATTGCGCATCGGCTCTCCATAGGTGGATGGTCCTCATGCTGTCACTGGAGCTTGGGTTCGGCACACGGCTGCGGCTTTTGAGACACGACTGCAATTTGGCATTGCTTGGTACCTCATGTCTCCTTTTATTCAGGGGTTTTCTGGGATGAAAAAACAGGGTTTCAGGGGTGTTTATAAATCTCACAGTTGCAGCGGCATTTTCTTTCTGCTTCTCACGGGTGCTGTCAACCGGACAATTTCCAGGTCTATGGGTGTTCCTGAGTGATGCTGCCTGGATGGCATCACTCATAAGGCACACTATCCCTGCTTCTCATCCTCATCTTCTTCCTCATCTCCATTCTTCTGCAGCGATGCGTAGCGGTTGTGGCTGGCAGATCTGCTGCGCTCACGCTTGTGGGGCTCGGCATTCTGCTTGAACTGGAGTGGGGACTGCTTGATTTTTTCGTCGGCTTTTGGCTTCTTCTTCGGGGGCTCCTTGGGACCCCGATCTTTGGCTTTTTTGCTTTTGTTCTGCTTGTCCTCAAGCTGTATTGGCTTGTCTGGTGCTTCTGCTGGTGTGACAGGCTCTATTGGGTCATCATCCTGGTCCTCTTGAACTTCCATGGGTGTAGGTGCTGGCGGGAGTTGGAGGCCTGGAAGCTCGGATAGAGCTGTGCTGTCCTGTGATGGAAGCTTATCATCTCTGGTTTCAATCTGTGCAGCTAGGGAGTGCAGTTGGGTTGTGGCGCTTTTTTCATCATCCATGGCTTTGTTGAGCACCTCGGTCCACTGTTGCTTGCTTGAGCTGTATGCCTGGCACTGTTCTTTGTATCGAGCATTAATGCTGGTCTCAAAGGCAGTCCATGACTCGTCAAGGGCGTGGAGTGCATCTCTTGCCTTGGTGGCGTTGCGCTGTGCTTTTGCTAGCTGTCTGCCTGCTTTGTGCACTTGTGATGGAACCGGCTTCTCATCCTCATCTTGTGCTAAGATGGCTGTTATGCTCTCCGCAGTGCTTTTGCCGTATGTTTGCTTGATGGCCTCGAGCAGCTTGGTTTTGTCGGTCTGCAGGGTTGTCTCCTTGACTGGTGTCATGTCAGGCTTGACTGGCTTCTGCTGTAGGTCCGACTTGAAATCCTCCTTGGCTGCACTGGTGACATCCTCCCAGCTGGTGGTCGTCACAGGACTGTCACATCCTGTGTTGCCATGCTGGGATTGATACGTGGCAGTTGGGGATCTGGCTCGATGGCTTGCAGTGCTTTGTGGTGGCTTGGGAAACGCAGGGTTCTCTGGTTCCTTCTCACTGCGTTGCTTGTTGCTGGTTGCTGAGGGGCTTCGGCTTTTGCCTTTCCCTTTGCCTTTCTTGGTTTTGCCTTTGCCCTTGGCATTCCACGTGGGTGGTGGCCTCGAGGCCTTGCGGGGCTGGCGTTGCTGGTGCCATGACATGGGCGTTGCCCAGTTGGACCAGTGTGATCCACATCCTCCGCAATATTCGGCATGCTCACCATTGGTGCCAGAGCATTGCATGCATTGCCAGCGCATGTGTGCACTTCTGTTCCAAGAGTGGTGTGCTCTCAGCGTAGATTGTGCCCAGCTGACAGTGTGTCTGTTGACCTCCGGCGGTGTCCTGCTGTTAAGGATGAGTATGATCCTTGCACGAGTGCGTTTGCGTCTGGCGCGCCTGTGGAGAGCGCTTTCAGAGAACCGCACTATGGCTTCGCAGGAAAAATGGAAAAAGATGCGGGCTCAGCTATTCAGGCCACGCTTGGGTCTCGGGCAAACCCCAGAGCCGAGACGCCTTACATTTACCACTAAAATGGTCCAGCCCCAAAAAGTTTAAAGTTCAACTCAGGAAGTGAGTTATTGGAATTCGTAGGCCCACGTCAACAGCAAAGCGCTCGCCACGCTCGAGCCGATCCGCTCAAAAACCGCCTCCTGGAGCCGCAGGCCGGCCGGGCCACCCATGGGGTCCCCATCCCGCAGCGACAAGACCTCGCGAAACGAGCGCGAAACGAGCGCGGGGTTGCGAGCGCCGGTCAGCTGCTGGGAAATTGGAATCCTTTATCATTCTGATGGTGGGGAGGCGGGGGGAGGGGGGGAAGGGGGGGATGGGGGGGAGGGGAGGGTGGTCTGCAGTAGTCCCCCTTATTATCATTATTAGAATGAATATGTTTATTGTTTCTTTTATTTCAAGCAAAAATCTGAAGCCTACAGAAGCCTACAGAGATGTACAGAAACCTCCCCCGCCGACCTCATTCAAAGATCTTCTTAAAATTGATGCGACTAAAGTGGCTCACTGTACAGAACCATTTGTAAGGGCAACAACATTCAGCCTGACGTGGATTGGTCGGCGCATCACTGCCCGCGAGAAGCCCTTCTCGCGCCATGCCCCCAACGGCTTCAGCCAAGGGAAGTCTGCACCAACCTGTCCATGTCGAAGTAGCCATCGTGAGCTGCAAGAGATGTTGCTTTCTCAGCGTTGAACATACGGGTCCAAGCCTTGAGTGTGCCGCCCGCGTGCCGGGACATGGGGTTCAAGGACGGAAATGTGGTGCATGGGGAAGCAACCGAAGACCCCCCCTGCTTAGAAGGGGGCTTAGGGCTCTGAGAACCATTCTGGCTGAATGGCTGGCCCTGATAGGTTAGTTTGGGAGGAGGGCAATGGACATCGGACTTAAATGTGCCGCACTTCAACCCTCGTGCCCCAACACCAAGCAGCAGACCAGGTGTCCGGAAGCTCATATGCGGCACTTGCATGGGTTTTCGCAGTTGTTGCAAATGATCTTCAAACTGGCCTTCTTTGTTGAGGGGTCTCGGAATTCGGATTCCAGCAAGCTCTCGAAACCAAGTGGTCGAGCTCTGCGTTCTGCAAACCACTCAATCATGTCAAACTCGCTCGAAGTGCCCTCAAAGCAAAGTTCAAGTGAATAGAGAAGCATGCAAGGAAAGCCTGACTGGCATCAAACCCTGCAGCGCCCAATGTCACCTGAAGCAACCATTGTGGTGTACATCAAGTGCTTTCCCCTCCAAACGAAACGCAGCGGTTGCATTTTAGGGCCAGCAGCATCAGGCCACCACGCAGGACTAACCCTGTTTTGGAAGGAACGCGAGGTACTCGTGATTTTGGCTTTAGAAAAAAGGGTGTTGTCTTAGTATCATTATTATCATCAGCAGAATGACAGCCATGATTATTGACTTTATCAAGAACTATGTTTATTATCGTCAGTGCCGTCACTTCGAATTCCCCGCTCCTGGTCTGAACTCAAACCGTCCAACATATCTAGCTGCTGATAATCCCAGATTGTCCCAGTGACTTGTTTGTGATGTTCCCCAAAATGCTTTTCAAACAACTCTGGCTGTGTGTGACTTAGGACTGAGGAGCCAATGTCCGTTTGCAAAGGGACAAGGGGAAGTTAAAGCGACCTTAACTAAATGACAACTCCTGTAAACATAGCTCGACGTTTGCCAACTCACCAAGTAACGAGGACAACGGGAACCTGCCAGAATCACCTGCGAATTGCGCTCTTTTCTCGGAAGGGTTAAAGGAAGTGCGGATCTCTCGGTTTGCTGACTGACATGGGTCCAAACGCAACAAATCCAAACCAGGGACTCAGAAAGAGCCAGACACTCGCCCTATGCTGAGATCAAAGCAGTGCCAGCGGGCCAGGGTCGTTCTCCCGTGTTCCCTGGCGCGCCAGAGCCGGTGGAGTCTCCATAGTGACAGAACTCTTACCAGTCAAGTAGCTTTGATTGCCTAAACAAAGGTGCAACAAGTTGGGTTTGAAGGATAAAGGCAAGCTGAAACAACTAACAGAAAGTGAACCTCGCGGATTGATAACTGTCAGGACACTTGCAATAGGCTGATTCACTTCGGAAATTCCTGATTGCCCAACTGGGACGTTCGGTTGCGACCAAACCGAAAGGATCCAGGCAAGTCACTATAGGAAGCCATGATGACCTCCAGATTCTACATGATGGTCTTCCTGGTTACCTACAAAAGGGTTCGCTGGATCTGGGAAACGTTTCCCTGTCTGAGTGGACACAATGCATTTCGAAAGCAACACAGCGAAATTGGAGCCAGAACAAGTATGATGTGTCGCTTCTTAACCTGTGCAACTCCTGTCCGAATGCCACCACTTCTCTTCCCATCACCCTTGTCAACTGGTCCACTGGGGGCGCACTCTCTGAATTCTCGGAAGATGAGCTTGGTGCAACCCATGCTTTTTTCGATATACACACGCATGGGTTGACCGTTTCGGGTGCGGTCCCAATAATAGCTCCAGGCTCTGACAATACTGACTGCAGCTGCGAACACGCTGACATGTTCAGGCTCACCAAAGTATGAGACGATGCACCATGCAGAATTTGCCCGCTGGGAATAGCTCCCTACAAACCTTCAGTTCTTCTTTCTCATCCCCAAGGCAAAGGCTCGTGTGCTCAAAAGCAAAGAGCCTCCCGTCACACAAAGAAGCATGGGAAGATCCATTTGATACTCCGAGCTCGAGAGGTAAACTGCAGTAGTTTCGGGAGCAATTCACATCGCCAGGTGTGTGAACACATGGCCAGAAATCGACTCCCCGGTGGTTGGCTTCTTTGTGGTTTCCCGTTAAAGGGCTCCCCTATCCTTAGCACCAGCCCTGCTCTGCAAGTCCGAATTGCCTGTTCCTTGCACTGTCCTAAAAAGGTCCATTGGTTGCCACAAAAACGATCAAAACCTACAAATAAGGCGTGACCACAGCAACCCAGGCAGACAGCCCGGGAACTCAGGGAGTGAGGCCTATGAGAATGTGGATCTCGAAGACCTCCCCAGGCTTGCGCTCCTGAAACCTCGGCGAATCGAAACGAGCGCGGCTTGAGGATGAGCCAGGGTTCACTCGGCTTGCGATTTGGGACCTTGGTTTGAGGAAGATTAGGATACATAACCAAGGGCTGGTTCTTCAAACAAGAAAGGTGCCGAGCCCTGTTAGATCTGTTACATGTTTCCTTCCCGACCAGTGAAAACGGTCAGCTTTAACTCTCGTCTCCAACCTCCCGTGGTACAAGGGCACCACGCGGAGGGAAGAATACTGAGTTTAACTCATTGACTTCAAAGAAACGGGAAAAGGGCACCTGTTGCTCTTGATTGATTTTACAGAAATGAGAAAGCAATGCACCTTTCTTTGTTGAATTGAAAGGGCAGAAGCGTAACTCGGAGTCACTGTCGATGCCTTCGGGGTTCACCCAACCCAGATCCTACTGCAAATGGCGGAAGGAACCGCTTGAGAAGGAACCGCTTGGCTCGCAGCTTCTTTCCAAAATCGTGGGCAGAAAGAACATGTGGCAGGTTCCCACTTACACCACAATGCCCCTTATGTGGGCTGAGCGGGATTACTAAACTAAATTGGGGGGTGCACAACAGGATTGTCTCCCTAAGAGGCCAAAACCCAGTCACAACTCAGCTTCTGGCTCGGCTTAAAGCAGTGGGGGCTCTTTAGGCCACTTCAGCCGCAGCCAATATCTGACACGTGGCAACAAACGCTGATTGAGCTTCCAAGCCCAAGAAGGCGCAACACGTCCAGGATCGAACATCGTGGTTGTTTTACGTGAAACCGCTATATCATCACTTCTCATACCAAACAGGCCAAGCCAAACAGCAACGGCTGAAGCCCGCCGCTTTGCCAGGACCGTGTTTCTGGAGGCCCGCTGGTTTGCTGGAGAAAGGGCTTGCCTCCATTGGGTTGATGCTTCAAGTGTGGACCACTGGAAATGATGGGTACACAAAGCTCACAGAGCTGGCAAGTAAGTGAAACTGGGCAAATGCGCTGCTTGGTTTCCTGAGAGAGCATCTCGCGGAGCAGCTAGGCTCATTCAGTCAAGCAGATTCACAATCTTCAAAGCAGAGTAGTTCAGAATCAGCAATGTTGGACATCTATCTCCGTATACATATTAATATGTTTATACTTGGTACAAAGATACCTCTAAAGAACAAAGACTTCATCGATTAATCACACAATCACTACTGTCACATCGAACCAGACGCTACCATTCAACAGCTTGTGAGTTCGGGCAAACCGCTGACGTCTTGCCAGGCGTCCGCGTGTTGCAACATCAACTTTGTGGATGGTGGTGTGAGACAATTTACCCCGCAAAGTCTCTTTGGAACTTTCAGCGTGACCCAGTTTGTGTGGTCTCACGATGTGGCCTTCTCCCTGCACCGCTGGGATGTGTTCAAAAGGTCTTTCTGGGGCTGCGCCCAGTCTCCCGTCGGCTGTTCCAGAGTGAGGCCCGCGCACTTCAGGCACCTACCGCAAGAGCTTGCAGCCGCAAGAGCTTCAACCCCCCGAAACAGAAATGAAAGGCCTTCTTCGTGTCGACCCTGCGACACATCAGATGTCTAAGACGATCCCCCGCAATACCCAGCGAATCTGCTGAAAACCACCCGGCTTGGCCATCTGAAATGAAGGCTTGGAGTACTGGAGGTACGCGCCCGCTCGCGAGTGGCAGCTTTCGGTTCGGTGAGGCCCAAAGCTGCTGCTGTCTTTACGACTAAAATTGCAGACGATGAACTCTTTGACCGCAAAAGGGATCAAAAACTCACCGAGCGGTCCTCCAGTCTTTTTCAGTAGTCTATTTTACTAGGGGAACCCTCCCCCAAAAAAGTTGGTAAAAGGGCACTACTCGGGGACCTAGTCACACCCGCACACAGACTCAGGGAAATGGAATCGCTGGCGTTGGAACCTGCCATCTGCAAGCGCTGGTGCTCGGCCCGCCTGGCATAGCAAATCAGGAGCAGCGCCGAGAGCCTTAGCGGAGACATTGGGTGTGTCTGTTTTGGGGGAACCCTTTGGGGTTGGCTTTAAACGGGACCAGGACGAAACCATCCTTGTTTTTTTTTTGGGTGGGGGGATCCCTTAGTTGGTTTTGAGAGCGCGCCAATGCGCCCCGTTGAAGGAGAAACAGCAAGGTGCTGAAACCAGGGCGATGGCATAGACCCAGACTCGGTTCGGCACAGGGGCCGCCTACAGACAGAGCAGTCAGTCTTTCTCCATCTGGATATCTTTTCCTGCAACCAACTGCCCATTGCGCCACATATCACACACACACACACATAACTCCATTGGCCTTGCTTTGGGAGGTGACAAGCATGTATGCCAAGTAGCCTGCGTAATGTCATGGCATCATGCGCCCGGGCTTGTTCTACCAGTACGGTAAGCGTTGCATTTGGGTCTATCTGCAAACGAGGGGACGAGTGGTTTCGCTGTGTTTCTTTAAAGCTACCTGCGGTTTATGTGCCCCTTAAAAGGATCCTGACCCCTTTGTTCGTGTATATGGCCCCATAGCCTCATGGAGACTCCGAGGATCCCAAAAAAAACGAGTACCACTCACACAAGGAACCCCCCATCCATTTGGGCTACCCCAAAAAAGGTATTTGTCAACAACGATCCTCGTGGACCCGTTAAAATTTATGAACACAGAGTGCCAAGAACCGGTAGAACCACCTACCAACAAAAGTGGCCCTGGACTCGGTCGCTTTTTCTTTTTCGCACCAGGCAGCGACCGATGGCCGCACGAACCATGGGCTCAGCTGCCTGCGGTCGAAGGCTCTAGAGCCTGGACCCCTGCCTCAAGAACGGCTGGTTGCCTTTTGGTTTCCATTTACCCACCAGAAAAAGGGCATCGTTTCCGAAACGCCGAAAAAGTGGACCATTTGAGAACCCCCCCTTCTGGGAACGGTTTGAAACGACACCCTCTGTTAGCAGCTTATCAACAGCCTGTTCAGAAACCTTTTTTGTACCCAAGGGGGTTGACCATTGCAGCACGCCAACCGATGGGAAAAGCCCTGTCTTTGTTTACTTGCGCAAAAAACAAACAAACATGAAATAAATGTTCAATCTCGTGGAACCTCGACGAAGAGACCAAACCAAACTCGGAAAAAGGACCAAAGGTCAGCCTTTGGCAGGAAGTGTTTCCATCGTGGATGGCAGTCTTCCAAAACTCCGATCGTCCGCTTCCGTGGCTGGAAAGAAGGCAAATATCAAGCCTTTTAGCGCCCCAGCCATAAAATTAAAAGGCCACCGATAGCAACCGTTTTGGAGTTTTTTTTCTTCTTTTTTTTTTTCGGATATCCCTGAACAGCTTCAATAGCAATAAAAGGTTACAGAATTGAAGGCGTAAGAGAATCATCCACGTGCAGAGCTCTAATCCATGGCTTGGCCGCGTCTGAGACTACTTCAGGGCCCTTTTGATTTTCCTCATGCAGGCTGTGGGTGTGTTTTCCTCAACCAAAAGAAAGGCAATCGCGCCTGGGAAGGCCTATCCAGCCGCTCAATGTTCTCAAAATGCAAAGTCTATTGGCTTTTCGCTAAAAAGCCGTGTATGACATGGGTTGCGGTTAAAAGCGGCATGTTTGCTGTATGCGCGCATTCAAGTAGGTTGTCTTCTACGTGGACGTCAGAGGTGCTGCGCTGTGCGTGGTACCCATGGCATGTTGTTTGTGTTCCATTGAATGTTGTTTGCCGCCTTGACGTTGCTTTTCTCCAAGGATCTATGTGGGTCCTAAGGTGCTTATCTCGCTCGGATGTTGCAACTAGGTCATGGCGTGGTTTCCGATGCACGTGGTTTGGGGTCTTGGTGTCGTGTCGCATCGCCTGCTTTTTAGCCTTTCTAAGTTACGCAGCATCAGCAACACATCGAGTCTGAGCACAGGATGTTGCCTTGCCAAATGCCATCTCTCTCTCTCTCCCTCTATCTGTGTCTCTCAACATCTGTCTGTCTGCCACGCCAGCGCAGCTCGAACCCAGTTGAAACCTCTGTCCAACTGCCGCGGCCCCGGCCCACAGCTCGAAGGGTCCAACCTGGGAGAGCGGATTGGCTCACGGGCCATGGATCGAAAGCTTCATACGCCAAGAAACATGAAGACCAAGTGCGTATCGGAATAAGGGGATCATCTGAAATGTATGCCCAGCTTTCGAAACGAGGTGAGGATGATTCATGCACCAGTTCCGATCCTGTGGCAAATCAATCTCTGCAAAAATCAAATGGACAGAGCACTTGCCCCAAGAGAACAAGGCCAAACCGTCCCGATCCTCAGCTTCCATGTTGGACAAATGGTGTCAAACATAGGGGGACCCCAAAAAGCCCAAGCCCAAGCCCAAGCCCAAATGCTGAAACGTGTCCGTGCGACGTGCCCATCGACTGGAAAAATCGGCCCCCCTGCGGATTACGGGCTCTGGTGCTGCCCCCAAAGGGTCTCAACACCCCGTACGACTCAACAAGGTTATCCTGGGTTTCCCTCCCCCTACCAAAAGAAAAAAACGCCTAGCCCAAGTCTGTTTGCTTGTATCTTGAGATCGTCCCACATTCAAGATTATTGTCCTTCCCTGCAAGGGTCAGCCCCTCACATGCCACGTAAGGGGTGATATCTTGAGGCGAATTCCAGGTGTCACGCAAATCCACTAAAAGCCTCGGATCAAAGCACCAAGCGTTTGAAGAAGGACCTTTTGATACCATTTGAATTGTTTAAGGGAAATAGAGACACCCCCCAGGGTGGCTGGTTCATTGTCCGAAAGGTGCCCTGCACGGGTGTGGAACCCAACACAGCAACACAGGAGTCTGCATAACAGCATGGCAGGCTTGGGCGCCTCGGTCCGAAGCAACCGGTTCGAAGCAACCAGCTGCAGAAGAGTCTGAGAGAGAATCAGCGTGATGCCACCCGAGTGAAGCAGCTGCTACTCTTGACACGCCAAATCAGGAGCCTTGTCGTACCTTGTTGAGTGTATACATACATATATAGATATGTGTGTATATATATATATATGTATTTCTGGGGGGCCACAAACTGTTGCTTCACCTGGGCGCCATTGTGACCAGCAACCAGGCTTAGGGCGATTTTTACAGCGCTTGCTGGAAAATCTATGGGTCTCGCGACTGGCATTTGTTTTAAAAACAAAATTCCCTTCTTGCGCCAGTCTGCCTCAAGGGGCCAGAAAACATCAACATGGATCGGGTTCCGGTAGCTCCCGGGTGCACCTTCCTGCCAATACCGCCGCCACGACGTTGCCGATGAAGACCATCCCGTGCCTGAAGTCGCCTCTGTCCGATTGCTCTGCCGGGTAAGCCAACGGGCCCGTGGCGCAATGGCAGCGCACCTGGCAGCTCTGCTGCCTGGCGCCACTTGTGACGTCTTAGGAGGTCGCGGGCTCGAATCCCGCCGGGCCTACTTGCGAGAAAAGAAAAAAAATGAGAAGACTTCTCAAGGGGTACGTCGAAGACCAGAAGCAGATGTCGCCTCTTGGTGGGGCTGGTGCTGGAAGTGGATTGTGGGAAGAGCAAAAACAAGTGAACAGGATTTGGCGTGCCAGTCCGATACACAAAGGGTCCCACTACAAGAGCGCTGCATAAAATTGCAAGGTGGCTCAGCTGTCAAAGCCGTGCATGGTCGCATCATGCTGATGACCCCCTTTCACGTGCATAGTCATAGTGTTCAACAATCACCAACATGCACATCAGTGCACCTCCCCAGATTGACATGGACCTCCTTGGGGCCTCCTTTCTGAGATTCCAGGCCAATTTGCTTGGAAGCTATCCAATCCAGTGCTCCCAAACCCTTAGGACCCATTGATCACTCCATCAACTGAAGTGTTATCCATGTAGTGGATGGGCCTTAACCAATACAGGCTGCTCATCTTGAGAAAGGCATGTGCGGATCCATTCGTTAAGTGAGCCCCGTCATACAGGCCGGTAAATAGGCAAGGAGAAGGCTTCCCCTCACCATGTTCCAGCAACTCTCAAGTGGGTATGTGTTCACTATCACACCTGTCCACTGTGGATGATTGATAGGCTTGGAAGTGGATGGGGAAGGGAGAAGGGCTATGTCATCTGTCTATGAGATGCCAAGGGAAGCATTCTGATAAAGACTTACGACATCTCCCCCCCAACCAAAATCAAGGTCTTGTTGGCTTCTCCCTAAACCAACCCTGCCGAAAAGGGCATATCCTCAACGAAAACACAAACCCGAGTGGCCCTTTGCACGGGGAGATCCAGGTTGAACACTGGTTTGGACAACCACACTCCAAAGCTGGTACTTTGTGAATCCTGAGCTTGGTGGCAGGGTCCCATTTCTCGGTTGACGTTGGAAGGGGAATAATAATTTTAGCAGTTAAGTGGGGATTTCCCACTAAACCACCATAAGCATGTTTCCCAACAACAACCATGATTTGGGTGCCTCTTCAGGGTTTCCGCTGTAGGTTGAAAAAGAAGCCAACTTTCCAACCAAGTGGTTGTCTCGGACCATGCGCACACGTCGCGGGAAGTGTGGCGCTCAGTCCAACTAAGTGGTAAAAAAAGGAGGGTCAAAGCACCGAAAGGATGAGCCAGCCATGTTTGGAGCAGCGTCTGTGGCGACTCGGGCCCTGGCACGCCATGGTCATCGCCATCCAGCCAAATGGCAGCTGGCGAACGTGCGGAAAGCCGGAAATCTACCTCTTCATCTATTAGTCTATCTATCTACCTATCTATCTCTATCTATCTCTATCTATCTCTATCTATCTCTATCTATATCTTTTAACACCTTGCTTTGGGACGCTTCGGGGGGTCAATTTCGCAACGAGACTGCTCGCTTCCAAAGCGCTGCGTCGTGTTGTTTGCTTAATGGGTGTGTCTTGTTGCGCACCCTCCTTAGGTGTCAGAAAGCAAATGCTGAACCTGCCCAAGGAATATGGATCCATATTAAATCAGTGCGTGCCAGAAAGCCTAGGGGTTATAGAGTTCACCAGCCAGTGTACATGTGGACAAAGCTCACACCAACAAATATACAACATCCGAATAATGCGTCAGCGCACAGATTTTGAGGATAGTCAAGTGGGGAAACAATGTGGACGCCCTGTCACCTACGGGCAAGCTTGCACTGAGAACTCTACGGATGCCACTAGAAAGGGGACCTCAACAAAATAACAGGTCGAAGTTAACCCTGTGGAACGTCGAAAAGCAAAGACCTTGTGGGGCAAGGGTACCACTGAACTTCTGGGCTGGAGTCTTGCAGTGTGGCATATGTGCTCAAAACATAGCAGGCTACCTGAATCCAGGCCACTCGAGCGCTGCCGCTCATCCATCCTTGGACACAGGAGGTGCTTGCAAGGTCAGAGGGGCCGGTTGAGCTGGTGTCTGCGCTGTATACTTGGACATGCTTCAAATATGTACATATACAGATTTAACATGTAGTGTAACTACGTGTATACATATATGGGGGTTGATCAAAAAGTCCTTTACATGGGATGATCATTGGGAAGAGCACCAACAAAAAGATGACTGTCACCACTGTATGGGAAGAGCTACCCATGATCATTTTGGGGCCAGGAATATTCTATCAACCCCCTATAGGTGTACATATATATATATATATATGTACATATGTATCATTGACTTGCTCGCTATTATCCTGGTTTGTAGTTTGATTGTGTTTTGTTTTATGATGATACCTGCGGTGGTCAAACATTGTAGGTTTCCCGCTGAAGAACATGTACAATGCCTCTCTGTACTACGCTGGCAGTACCCCCCCCCCTCCCTCCTGGTGATCTTTAAGCAGTGTGCCACCGTTCAACGAGGAAGACATCATCGATGATGCTGAGCTCTCGCAAATGCCGGCATGTCCAGAGGCTGTGTTGCTGATGGCCGCAGTCAACCAATCTAAGAACGAATGGACTACTGGATTCAGCTCGTGGCAATGCCAGCTGACTTGGTGCCCCAGCCCTCTTCCACGCCCATGACACACGACACTCTTTATGGATCAAGCGGCCGACACCTTGTGACATCTTGTGACCACTCCTGACGTCGAGAGAATGCCGCTTGCCAGACTTGGGATTGCGCTTTGTGACAGTACCCTTTCTTTCCATGTCCCTCCCAAAAGGACCAGGGACTACCTGCAATGTTGGGAACCTCACTCAATTTGAACCCCGGATGAATAAAATCCTTTGGATTTTTGGGAGTGGTTCCTGGTAGTAGTACCTGATTTGTGGGCTCCCGTGTTCGTCGAAAAAGGTGAGGAGCTTGGTCACATCACTATCAGACCAAGAGATTTGTCTGCAACAGTCATGCAAGTGCGCAGCGGGCTTCCCAAGCTTCCCAAACAGTAGTCTTCCAGAACCCTCCTAATAGCTTCCATTGTTGGAGGGGGGGGTTCGGGCCGGTGCTTCCTGTGCTGTCGGGGTCGGTGCTGAGCCTCCCATTTTTCCTGACGGCCAGCTTGGGAGGTTCGGTTCCTACCTGGTTTGTTTTTTGGATCGTTTTTTTTTTTTTTTAAGATTTGTAGTAAAAATATATATATATATATATATATATATGGCAGTACCCCCCCTCATATATATATATATATATATATATCTAAGAACACTGTTGGTAGAAGATACCCACTGACTCGAAACTGGGCCCCTTCGCCAGGCCCGCATCTCCGCCAACAGCTCCGGTGTGCGCAGGGAGCCGTGAGCACCTTGCCAGGAGCTGGGGGGGGGGGTGGGTTCAGCCACAAGCCGCTTCAGGGGAGAATGCGCCTCACCGAAATGTCTGGGAACCGGTGGTGATTGGACGTGGTGACCTCTCAAAATGAAGCAACCCGACAACTGAAAGGCCAAAAACGCGACTTTTAGGCAAACGACGAATGAGTTTTGCGTCGCTTCTTGTAGGGCACATTCCGGGAGGACAAAAACAAAATGGAATGTCAGCCAGTGCTGTCTTTCAGAGAACCAGTCCGCTAAAACATGACACGCACACATTGTGAAACTTTGTGTTATTTGTCCAATAGTCCCTGATCACCAGGATAAGGCTCCCGAAAAACGCCCGGTGTAGCTCAGGAGGTAAGCCTCCACATGGAGTGTCTGTGGATTGACAAGCAAAGGCGAAAGGAGCTTGAACATATTGATGCACGGAGTAGGGTTGAGGTCAGTCAACGGGTGGCTTGGCTGAGGGTTGAATTGGAATCCCAAAGTCAAGGGGTACTGTAACCCTCTGTCCTTCTGCAACCCAATTGAAAACACAACAAATCCAGCTCCCCATTCCTCTTGAAGTGGCCCCCCACCATGCGGCCTTCGCCTAGCCCCCTGCCGCTCGAGCACTTTGCGCTGCAGCCCACCGGACTGCTCAGCCCAGCCAGCATCATTTGCTCAGACCCGCCTTGGTTCCTTTGAGCCTGGCCAAGCCGGGCCAAGCGCAGCTTAAGGTCCCCCCAAGCTGTTTAAAGCTCTGACTCAAAGTTAACCCACGGCATCCAAGTTCCCATTCAAGTTCCTGGGTTTAAGCTGACAGGAATCCCTTCAAGAGGAAGTTGGTCTTCCAGGAACGCTCTCGGTGCCTTGTGTTTGTGGAATCAAGAATAGTTTCCAGTAGCAATTCCCCCATTTGCTAAGTCCCCCGAAATAAGGAAAAAACAATCTACCCAGTAGTGATAGGTCCCTTGAAAACCAACAGAGGATGATAATAGTAATAATCATGATAAAATGCAAATAGTAATTATGACGATAATGTTAAACATAATACTACTGCAACAACGAAAAATAATAATGCGAATATGACTAATTGAATAATAACAACAATGCGACTAACACTAAACATGTCTAACAGCAATATTCACAGACAAACTTAAGCAACAATGTTGAAATCCTACCGTTCTTCCGCCAACCCCGGAACTTGTCCACTTCCCCGCCTCATGGGGCAAAGTAACCGCCCTCTGGAGAGGCTTCGTTGAGGGAATCCCTGACGTAGGATATGAGCTACTAAGTGTCCGGCAGTAGAGCCTTCAACAACATCCAACTATCATCCAGCAAATCATCAAACTAGCGTCCAGAAAACAGTTAAAACATTCAGGTTGTTCAGAAAGTGACCAAAACTAGAAAATAAGCTCAGGTGATGTCCCCAACAACACCACACCCGTATGGGTTCATTTGCAGGAAGCAGACCTGCAACATGGCGATCCACCCGACCCGCCGGCTTTGCGCAGTGAACGACCCGAGCGTCCATGGACACCACTGACCGGTGCGCTTGACCTACCAACCTTGGCGACGCAAGGTCCTACGCAGCGTACGGATTGGATGCGACGTTGTGCTCCGAACCGCCCCGTGCGTTCCCGCAGCGGAACGCTGCGGAACCTTACTTCACGGACGTGGAAGCCTCGTGCGACCCGCCTCAACCTATCCGGGCTGAGACCCTCGCCTCAACCTTGCTTGAACCTTACACCTGGCCTGCGCCAGACCACCCAAACCTCCGCAACTTTCCTTGAACCTTACACCCTGCACCACAGCCCTTCATGCTTCAATGGATTCCTTTTTCCAGGCAGTGGACATGGGTGGCTGGTGCTGGTTTGGAGCTCTACAAGGGCCACTTCGCTGCAAAACTAGGTCTGCCTTGCACCAGGCCTGCCTGGCAAGTAAGGAACAAAGTAACCCCAGATCCGTGCCAAGTCAGTATGTCCTGCGCGCGCCTTTTTTTGGTGACAAGCGCCTGGTATGAAGGGACACACGCAAAACCTGCACCTGGTCTACCCCAGAACCTCCGGAACCTTGCTCGAATCTTACACCTGGCCTGCACCAGACCACCCCTTCCTTGAACCCACGAACCTCCGGAACCTTCCCTGAACCCACCTGGCCTGCACCAAACCCGAAACCGCTGAGACGCCTTGGCTTTCAGCTGTTGGGAAACAAGTCACCAACAAACAAATAGAACAACAAATCAACAGAAACACACAGAACCCCCCCCCCACCGCCATTGCGCCGGCGGGTTGAGCGCCCGCGCTCAAGAGGGATCCCGCGCGCACAAACTTGGCCATGAAGATCTTCGAGGTGTCTGCCATGGCAGTTCCACATGACCTGGGCACTTCGGTCCAGACCGTACTGGGCGCGTCGTTTTTTGGAGGGTACCCCTCCCCCGTGTTTGCGGCTTTAAAGGAAAACCAAAGGGGAAACCGCCAGTTTAGGGGGTCACCTGCAAAAAGACACACACCCAATTTGTATGGCCTCATACTCACAAAGCTTGCATCGCACCAATGAGGTGGTTGTTTTAAAGGGAAACCCAAAGGACACCCCACGTTTTGTTGTGAGTTCCCCCGTGGATGAACGAAATCCACTTTGCAAGCTAGGATGTATCCATGCCAGGTGTGAATTTGTTTAGTCTTTGTCCGTCAGGTCACACCTCAAAGTATTGGCGTTCTATTGGTCTGTCCATACAACCCCAAGAAGAGTTATTGATTTGGGTGAAAGACCCGAGATGGCAACCAACTCCCCGAAGCTGATGGGTTCTCTACAAGACCTCAAAGTAGGCGGTTTTCTTTTGGCTCCGGGTCCCTCTAATCAGCTTCAACCCCTCTTCATCGAATGGCACGGCGCCAGGATCTACCGAAAGGACAGACCAAGCAATGAGGCAACCAGAAATTGGTGGATGTATTCAATGTATGGAACAACCCGAAAAAGAAGGGATGGGATGATGTAAGCATTGACGAACAAGCTGATAAGAAAGATGGATCTTGGAAGATGGGTGGCAGAAAGGGAGAACACATCTGAAGGATATGCGTGGGTGTTCAATCCACGAAATTCGAACAGCAATGCGACCATCTCCCCCCAGCCCGCCCCCCACACGCAGCATGGGGCAAACACGGAAGCTATGACTGGGGGCAGATTCCTGTGGCAAGTCATCCCCAAGTGATTCGGCGGCTCTAAGCCCTTCCCATTTCTGACTTCCCGAGTCCTGAATTGAACTTTGTTTATCTGAGACATGCCAATCGAGGTGATAATGGAGATGACAATGGCATGCAATGGAACGGACAGATGGATGGCCGGGCGAAACAGCCACACCCTGAGGTCGATCAATAGCTTACCTGGCTCCCACTTCCTTGCAAAGCTCAGGTTTAAGTGGGAGAGGGCTTCAACCGCTGGCTAGGGCTACACCAGTTCTGGCTCGTCATAGTGCATGACTACATGGTGTTTTTTGGGTTGTGCTCAGCTATGGTAAACAGAAGTATCGCAACATGCAACGTGCTCTTACCTGACGATTGCCAGCAGCTGTTGCTTCCTCGTGGTTTGCAGTGGCTTCAGCTGTTGTACATTCAAGTATTCAAGAAAGTCTTCCAGTGGTCTGCGCGCAGCTTTTCTGCGGCTTTCCCCGTCCAAAGGCTTGCTGGTAATACAGTTTGCAATCACGTGGTTTTCGGCTGCTTATCCGTTTTGCCGGTTAGCTCGGCTATAATCTATGAGACCTGCCTCCCTGATCAAAGGACTACCAGCGCAAGTCTGCCATCGGCATGTTCCTGCGTGGTGGTGCATACAACTCAAGAGGCGCTTCATTCAATGCACAATGCGCATGCCAGCTGCTTGTGCCTCTTTGGGTTCTCTTAAGCTTGCTCGTGCAGCATAAACCTAATTGACACCCGTTCAAGCATCTTCCAAACGAAGGACTACTCAAACAGAGTAGGTGACTTCATCAGCAAAAGCATCTATTGGAAGAAATCCCACATACAAGCAAGATGAAGTTGGAAACGAAAAGCAGAGCCACATAAAATACACGAAGACGCCCACAGGAGACCTCGTGCTGCGTTTCAAGATGGAGAACCAAGGCAATAGCACTGAAGCCTCTCGATTCGGATGATGAGCTTTAGTGGGTGCATGTCGGTTTTGGGGAACCCCTGTTTGGTTGGTGTAAAAAGGAAATTGTGAATTTATACTTTGACACATACCCTTGTAGATCCCACATGTGCTATAGTTGGATATAATGGTGTTTTTGACCCCTTGTCCTTAGAGATGTCCGAGAATCCGGATTCCGCAGCAAACTGTGGCAGTTGCCCAAGGGAGTTTTAACCATGGCCGACATGCCCTCTCGGGGTTGCAGTGGTTTTTTGTACCTGATTCTTGGACATTTGGACGCCGCAAGAGGTATTGGGCGAAAGTAGATGCCACAACCATCCCATTTAGGCTCTTCCCCTTTACCTACAGACATACAGGGAGTGCCATCCTTTCACCCTAGGTCGCAATGGAAGAAAACCTCAACGGTACCTTCAACTCCTGACGGGCTCCGGGCGCGTGCATGGATCGCATGTTCACCTCTCAAGAATTCGATTGGCTCCAGCTGTTTGAGCCACGTGGCTTAGACTCATTTGGGTATGGGTCAACATTAAACCAGGAATTGGACCGCAGGTGAAATCGCCCATGTGTCCATTTGCCAGGGCAAGCCATTTTGGTGTTACCCTATTTTTGACCCACAGCCAGTTGAACCATGGTCAAAACCCATGCAAGCTAACGACCATAGACCGCTTCCGCCATACCTTCTGCTACGCTTATGCGGCGCGACCGGATCCCTCCGTGGCAGGCAAACCGGGCATAACACTTACACGAAGCTTAAATCGACGAAATAGCACGCGTCAGCAAAGCAGCAAACAGCTCTTCTTGTTTGCGTCAGTCTGCAACGGAGCCTGACAAAGAAGGCGCTGCCTGCAGAACAATGTACGGAACAGACTGTTCCGAAGTCTCAGATTTGTGCAAAAAATTGGCTTGGGCTGCTTGCGCAAGGCGAAGTGCATTTTTTTCGCGCTGAGACCATTGGGGAAAAAAACGCGCTTGCAGCTGCAGAAAATTTCCCGGCGCGCGGCGCCAGCGGGAGTTGGGGGTCTGAGGAAGGAAGCCTTTGGGAAAGGAAGACACCTGCGCGGCAACGGATTCTGCGATGCTCAGTTTTGCTTTCACAGCTGCCCTTATCATAACCCGTACACTTCTTGGCTGCTTCGGGGTTTTGCTCGCTGCTCGTTCGAATCCTGGCTTCTTGTGGGTCATTTCCCCTCGCGGGAACGTTGCGACCCTGACGCCCCTTGTGCCTATGTTAGCTTTGTCAGGCCGCGGCCCTTGTCAACATGTCATGGTCATTTTGCCAGATAGCAGCTGACGAAGTGGCCACCTGGTGTGGGATCAGCTTGCTGCCGCCGCCAGGTGTTGCACACGGAGAGAATGTGAAAGTTGAAACTCCTGGCATAAAGGCCTACTCAGACCTGCGGTTTATGCGTATTGAATCATTCCCAGAAATAGATACTCCTAGGCATGGTACCCTCGTCGGAAACCGTGTCTAACGCACGTTAGACTTCGCGAGCTTTTTCTGGAAGGGGGGGAGATGACATCATCTGGAGGTTTTCCAAAGTTGGCTCAGTGCCAAAGCAATGTCAATGCGTCTGTGTAGACTTGGCAAACATGTTGTTTCTTCCTCTCTGGACCATGCCGAGCCTCTTAACCAACACACGATCACCTTCTTCACATACATGACTCCAGCCGCCATACAATTAATTGGCTTTCTCTTTTGGACAAATGCTTTCAAGGCCATGTACTCCGGACGATAGATGGGCCAAATCCTGTGCCAGCCGGGGCCTGGGATGGACATCGTCCAGTCCAAAGAAATGAACCTTGGTTTCTTGGTTGCTGCAAGGACCCCCCCCTGCAAAAAGTTTAAGTTTTTCCGGGTCTTGTGGAAAACCCCTTGATTTCCAAACAAGTTAAAGTCTAAAGATCCAACCCAATAGCATCCAATAGCAGTCAAGGTTTGTCCTTCCTATTTGTTTGTGTTCGGTTTTGGAGGTCCCTGTCATCGTCCCATCTGCAACACCAAAACCCGGGCGCGAATTAGATGAGATACCGCCTGTCCATCCGGGCGCAGGTGGTAGTACAGCAGGGCGTCGCCCTGGCCTCGCTGGAAAAATAAACACCTAGCAGCAACAGATTCAAAACACCAGCGGTTTTTGGAGAACTGGTGTATCCAGACATGTATACAAATATATATATATATACACATTCAAACATTATATATATAGTAATGATTTGTCATAAATTTCTATATATATGTATATATATATATATATGTATAGTACTCATTTGTTGTGGCTAGGTCCTGTGACTAGGTCACCCCGCCTTGCCTTGATCTAACTCGGGCGGAAAAACTGAGGCGCTACCAGCATTTAGGCGTAGAGTTGGGCATGGACCCGAGTGTCTCCCCATTCCTTCCAGGGATCCTTCTTTCTAGAACAGAACACCACCAAAAACCCCGGAGAATTGGCTGGTTTTTGAAAAGAACGATGCAAAAAATGGGGAATCAACCCCCAGAACCATGCGCATCTTTTTCAAGGATCGGGTTGCGCACCGAAATCAGCCAGAGGTCCCAGGTTTGGGGTAGTTGCAATTCCGACGCAGCCCATACCTTTTGCCTCGAGCATGAAATTTACGTCGGGAGAGTGCTGTCTGGCTGACTACCCTTGCTGTCAGGAAGCGCTGTCAGGGATGTCAGTTCCAACTTGCATCTTTTAACATGGACTCCTGCCCTGAACGAAATTACATAGCAGGACTTCAGAACCAACATACCTGCTTGACTGGTTGATTCTGCCAACTGTGTGGCTCGCCCCCTACTGCAAGTTATGCAGGGGAGGATCCCTGGGAAAAAAGGCTGGAAGCTGCTCCTGGAATCAGTTTCAAACCTGGTTGCGTGTATGCTCAGGACCAGCAAGGAATGCATATTGAAAGCCAAAGAGAGCATATAGCACATACTTGACACCCCCCCCCCCCTCAGAAAAAAAAATGCACACAGTCAGCCCCTGACTGTCTCACGCTGTTGATTCCGATTTGCGGCAGCTGCAGAACACCTCCCCGAGCGGTCCCAGGGTCTTTCTGACGCATCTGATGACAGAAGTGGACTGCGGTGTTGCATCATGGAAGGTTTTTGCGGGTTCAGCATTGATGTTCACATAGACATGCAAGCCTGCACCAAGCATAGAAGCAAAAGCTTGCAATATCAGATGGTCTGCGCATTACATTTCGTTGTTGGTACCTGAGCAACATCCTACCGAATCTCCTGTGGTTGCTTCAAATGATCCAGTCAAGTGTACTGCGCATCCGCCCAGGCACCTGCCCAACTTCCTGCGGATCAAGGGCCCGGCTTAAGCGCAGGGGTGCCTGGCCGTTCGGCACGAAACCAGCTTCCCAAGGATTTGGTTGAAACCAGACAGAAACCGACTGGAACAAGAAGAAATGCGATAAAGGGGCGATGATGGCGATGCATGTCAAGGCCATTTGAAGAGCATCTAGTATGGTGCATCAGGGTATGAGTGAAAACCATGAATTTGAATTAATTTGATGCCTCCTTTCAAGGGAACACCCCCTTGCGGGAGTTTGGACGTCTTACGAACTAATCAGGTAATGCCCCAAAAATACAGCGCACTCCCGGCAATCAAACAACAAGCTTGCAACACGAGACGGCCAGGGTTTGCAACAATTCGAAGGGCAATCTTCTTCAACGCTTCTTCGCATGCCAAAAGGGCTCAAACATGAAAGCTTGACTCTGCATGAAACAAGGTTACCCTTTTGGGGCCATGACTAAATATGGGAACCCAACATGGGAAGATCAACAGACCAACAGTTCATCTTTGAAGAGCTGGGTAGGTTAGCCAAGGGCCACTCGGTTTCAAAGGAAACCAAAGGAGACACGCCCTTAAAGGACACCGCCCGCATCCAGCCCCGGCCAGCGCCACCGGACTTGCCCAGTCCTTGCTGCAGACCTGCTGAAAGGCCTCGTCCAAGTCGCCTGCCGAGAGTCCGACGAGTCCGAGGGCCAGAGGGTTCCGGCCACCGGCCAGAGGGTTCCAGAACCCAGAGCTAAGCCAAGGGAAGCCAAAAGAGAACCGAGAGGAAACCATGAGGAAACCAAGAGGAAACCCCGAGAAAACCAAGGAAACATATGAAACCATGAGAAAACCCTCCAAAAAAACCGAGGAAACATATCTTCTGCCCTTCTGGGTTGCTTCTTTTCAGGTTCGGAGCAACCCTGGCCATAAACTCATACTAGAAACTCATGGACTTACGGACGCGAGGGATCCGCTTAAGCAAACATGAACAAGTTTGGCCCGAGCTGATCGGCCCATTCCGCACCCCAGGATTGGACAAGGTAACAGGTAGGACAACTCCAGCAGTGCTTTCGTGATTTCCTTGAAATTGTTACGAGTTCTTTGCACTCAAGAAGGAGCTCTGAAAAGCACAAAGCTGCCAGAGTCGCCCAGCCGAAAGTTCCAGGCAATCAGAACGCTTGCCCGGCCAATGAGGTTAGTTCAGTAAACCGAATATCGCCTTCATACTCTCGAAGGAAGCACACCTTACATTGGCCGAAACGAACGAAAATTATGCTCAACAAAACCCACCGGTTAAAAAAAAAAACACCTTTTGGAACAATAGAAAAGGAGCACCATGGAGAACAGACTTTTCGAGCTTCTCCCCAACCAGCTGGGTCCTTAGATTCAGCCCACTCGCTCGCCTAGGCTTTTGAAGCTCCTGCCCTGGCCATTGCCGCGCCAGGGCAGCTCGTTGCCCTGCAGAAAAATCCGAAGCGACAAGGTCAGCTTCCCCCGTAGTTTGGTGGTGGTTTCCCAAATTTACCCCCAAAGCCAGATCTCAAATCCAAGTCCAGTTCCAATCCATTATCAGAGATGGATCTGAACCAAGCAAGAACAACATACATGCTGCACTGCATCTGCAATGATTGTGCCAGGCGCTGCATTCTGGGTTTCGAATTGAGATAGCTCCCGTAGTATGCTTCTGGATCCGTAGCGCTGGATCTGAACGCGCTCGCCAGAAAGAACAAAACAGACCTTGGAAGGGGAACAGGGCATCTTTTTGTAGTCTTAGAGTCTTTTTTGCACATCCATCATGCGGCCATCAAGACACACATCCCATGGCACCAATGCCGAAACTGAGCACTCTCATGGCTCGACAACAGGTTTTCCCTAGAACAAGTCCATACTGCAAATGGCACAAATGGGAAAAAGTAATGAGTCCACAGCCTGTGTTTGGGCTCTGTGTTCAATGGGCAAAAAGCAACTAAAACCAAGCTTTAGAGGTGCCTTGCCTTTGACACATTCCCAACGGCTGGCTTCACAACGGGTGTACCGTCACTGCAAGGTGCCAGCTGTCAATGTGCCGGTATTTTCTTATGCGCAGTGAGGGCTAAAAGGCCTCCATGCTTCCTGGCACCAACGGACAGAGCCATCCCTGACTCGGAGCTGGCCATGTCCCAATGGGAATTTCCCTCGAACCGGGCTGGGCACTGCAGGCTCACCCCCTCTAAGCCCACCTCTTGCTGAAGCTTGTCAAGCAGCTGCTCGTCCTTTCGGATGGTCCCAGCAATGTGAGCCATGACCAAAACGAGTGGTTTGCCGAAAGGCCATGACCAAATTAGAACCAAATTAGGGTTCGCTTTCTGCTTTGCGTGAGAAATGCGGTCACATAGTGATTCATGGCTCTGGTCATGTTTAGAGACACAACAAGAGAAAGGTTTGACAGGTAAATCTGCCCTGGAAAATCCACTAACATGGAGCCAGGCTGGAGGATCCTGGAAGACCTTTTTCCTACAGAGACTGGGTAGCTTCTGGCGTGGACCCGTCCTCGGCGAGTGCGTGTGCCCTGGACCTCAGCCAATCCGTACACATGGCTTGCGTGGTTCTGAGGCTAAAACCGTCAGGTCGGTTTTAGAGAAAAACCAGCGGAAATCGAAAATCATTTTTTCCCACCAGGGACTTACCAGAGTTCCATTTTGGTACCGGTTTCTTGAGCCACAGCCACCAGTCAGGCGGGGTCGAAAATCCACAGCTCCAGGACACATGAGAATGACAGATGCCGGAGTCAATCAGATACAGATGCAACAGATGGTCATGGGTCCAAAGCCAAATAATACCCCTGGTGACCATCCCAATCCAACCACTAAAATAGGTCCTAAAATGGGTGGTGCACCTACCCCAAAATGGTACCATTGGTTTTGACCCACAGCCAGATAGCCAGCCAGCTGCTGATGACAATGCCAGCGATAGTCAGGAACAATCTGTGCCATGCCCAGAGCCAGTTAGAGACAGCAGGTGGGTCTGAGTGTCTGTGAGGGGCCAAATATGCGCAGGTCTGGCTCTGAGTGTCTGGGAGCGAGCCAGCCAGCCAGCCAGCCAGCCAGCCAGCCAGCCAGCCAGCCAGCCAGCCAGCCAGCCAGCAAGCAAGCAAGCAAGCAAGCACAAAAAAACAACAACAAGCAAACAAAGCAACGAAGCGCACAACGACAAACACAACTGCGCTTTGCTCTTTTCCCAAGAAGCCATGCCTAGATGATCCTCCCTTGGAATGTCCCCCAGCCCATTTCACCCCTCCAGGGTTTGCCTAAATGTCCCATCCAAATCAGTCCCATCCAAATCAGACACACACACACACACACGTGGGCAACCGGGTAAATATGTCATACATAATTCATCTCGCAAGAACAACGTGAGGAACGCCGCCCACGCAATCAACGAGCTGTTCTCGCCAGAGGGCCAGTTCGCCAGTGGAAAGGCAATGCCTACCGGGTCATCGCGCAACCGCACCAGCACCTGGCCGCAGCGAGCGGCTATGAGGCCATGATCCCCAAAGGCTCACGCGGGGGAGGCCCGCACCAAAAGGACAAAACACCTTTTGGAAGGCTGGTCATACTTTCAGCGGAAGCCAACTGGAAAAAACTAGGGAACGCAAAAGGCCGTCATGGGAAATACTCGGCCGCTGCAAGTGCAAAACTGTGCAGATTAGATGTCTCTTCGGGTAAGGGATGCCCTCTTAGTGTTTCTGTCTGTTGGGAAACAGACGTAGAACCCCGCATAAGATTGCAAGCTGTTCAACAAACAAGTCGCGTGAGACTCAAAAGGCAAACAGGCTATGGATTTCCATGCGCCTGCAAAGCGGTTTAACTAGATTGCCGAAAGCTGAGACGTTCTGCACAGCCCCAACTTGATCCTGCAACGGGAACCCTTCTGCCAAAACCCATGAAAAAGGGTAATTCTCAAAAGAGGGGACCCTACAAATGGTTGTTTGGCTGTCTCTTTCAAATAGCAAAAGGGGATTCTCTATTAAAGATGATTGGTGCTCTTTGCTGTCCCTTTCAAGTAGCGAAAAGGGGGCCTCTCTATTTTGAGAAACGCCCAAATGACAAGTCAGGATCCAAGTGGCCAGGTGGTTTCTAGACACACCAGGCATAGGAGTCTGGAACCCAGAGGAACATAGGCTGAAGGGTGTCTTGTGTCTTTCATGCGCTCAGTCCCAGGTGTATGTTTCTCAAAATAGGGCCTAAAAGAGGGGTTAGATCCTTCTTGGCTTCTTGAAAACTCGCCCAATCCATGGGTTCACCACTTTGAGAACCCCCCCTTTACGTGAATCTCATAGCATGCCACTCTCAGCATCTCTTAGCCCCGTACTGATGCGATGCGCACAGGGAAGTGGAAGTGGTGGTAGTTGTCGAGGTGCAAGTCCTGGCCTACGGTAAAGCTTCTCTGAATTGACAAAACAAAGATGGAACCCACACACAGGTCTCCTTAAAAGCAAGAAGCGGTCTTCCAGGAACCCCTGTGCAGGTTCTATGTTGGTTTTGAAAGGGTTGACAAATCAAAACCTATTTGCGGCAAATTGTTGTGGATGGCTGTTCTGGCATTGGGGCCAACAGGAGAGTTTGGCACGGGGCAAGTTGGGCCACGTGTGGCATGCTTGCAGTATTGCCAGTGGAGCATAGAGTTTGCCGGTGTGTCATTTGCAACAGGATACTGGAATAGGATCTGTCTTGATGCACTTGACCGTTGTCACTCGATCTAGAAAGCTGCAGCCTCTGTAATCCTTGGGAGCTCGGATTCAAACCTATTCAAATGATGGCTTCACCCAACACCTCTTTGCTCGTATCGATATCAAAAGCAAGTCTCAAAGATCTGTGCAGCAATGAGACCTTTGACCAACCTCTAGGACCAAGTCTACCAATGTCCGCGTTTTGAGAAGCCCTTTCCAGTGGTCAGAGAAACCAAGGCTTCCCCAAACATCAGCTTGCGCAGTGCGCAGCTGTCTCACAGATGTTCGGGAACCCTGGTCAAGTGACCATGGGCAAAAAGCCTACAAGCGTGTTGTTGGATGTACCAATCATATCATGTATATGTATATGTATATAGATACCTTCCCACCAACTAACATGGAAGTGCACAAACCCCTGTAGAAAGACTACTTTCCTCTTGGTAAGGGCCTTTTTGCACTTCCATGTTAGTTGGTGGAAGGGGTGTATACATATATATATATATGTATATGTATGTATATATGTATATACATACCCCTGATGCACAATCCTAGCCCCCATTGAAAAAAAAGCATCGAACGAATCACTTCGGCTGGACTGGCTGATCATTTCGCAGTCAGGCCCTCGGCTTCGAATGGAAAAAACATCCAGCCATGCAGCCTCCAGCATTTGGGCCAGCCTCTTCCGTTTAAAGGACCCGCATGGCCCTTCCGCCCCCCAACCAAAAAAAAACAATAAATGGCAAAAAAGAACTGGCAAAAGCAAGAAGGACTTGTGCAGCCATTTGCCGGTACAGGAGTCTACAAGTTTCCGCGCGGAAATGAGGGTGGCACCAAATGAAAGACTGCCGCAACTGCCCTTTGGATAGGGTTTAAAGAGGAAACAACAAGAACCCATGCAGGGCTTCGAAGTTTGAAACCAAGGGACTGCCCAACCTGGCCCCAGCCTCGGCGTTTCTTGTCCCAATTGAAGAGCCATGCCTCCTCGATGTTCTCCTCCGGAAACATCGAGGCGCTTGATGATGAGTGCCCCAGTAGGGATCTCTCACCAAACATATCATGTGCTCCAACGACTGCTTTTTACACAGCACTCCGGGTGTTGCACATGAGACAAGAAACACAGTGGTGGTGCAGACACAACTAAGGAAAGCTTTAACTGAACAAAAACAGAATCCCGAATTCACAGTGTTGACATGTGTCAGCTCAAGTGGTAAGAATATGTTTACCAGCTCGTTTTTAGCCTTCGACATTGAATATGATCAAAAAGCCGGATGTGATTTGTAGAGTTTGACTTCCTGCACAAGCAACAAAATCTGGCTAAGCAAACGGGAAGACATGGGAAGATGTGTGCAGGAGCCTTCTCAGTGGGCAAACATATCCAAACATCTCACGGCGTTCCCATGCCTTGTGACCATGCGTGGGTCCGCCTTCTCAAGAGATCCTTGGAGCATTTCAATGGCCTTGGTCGTGACCCAGGTGAGTCCACGACCAAAAATATATCAAAGGGAAACCATGCCCTGTGGCAATGGGCAACATCTGCATGGGGCATCTTGCTTCCACGGCATGTCCGGTAAAACGTACAGTGGGCCAGGAAGGGATGGGAGCAGCGGGTACAGGAAACCAAGCCACTGGAAAGCAACAGGAAACCAGCCCTTTGGGTAGTCCCCAAAATAGCCCATCAGGGCTGCCCCGTCGGGCGGCTTTGAAAGTAAACTAAAGGAAACCCCACCCCTTTGAGGGTTCCTGCATTCAGAGACAACCCATATGTGCGGTCAAGTGGACATGGATAAATGAGTGGCATGGTTTTGTATTGAAATTTAGGGCTCGTCAGCCATGTCCCCTCCAAATGCACCATACACGAAACGTTGACCGAACCTCATACATGTGGAGTGGTCCAAAATAGAGCCCCCCTTAAAAAGGCAGATTCAGGCGTCACTGGGGTCCATATTTGTGAGAACCTCCCATGTGTCAAACCAGGGGCACGCCTACAAATCCATGGGCTTTGTGGCTTTTCACTTTCAAATCAAAAAGAACCCTCCAAACACAATCGACTCCAGCTCCTCCGGCACCCCCACTGTGCTTCCCACCCGCTGGTGCACCTTCGCCATCACCTTGGCGCGGCTTGTTTGTTTCCATGGCTGCTCCATTGGTTTCTGACACTCAAATGGGCATGGGTGAAACAACTAACCACCAAGGGACCGCAGGTTATGTCGTCCTTTCCATGGGGCAACCCATGTTGGGGGTACCTTGTTGTGACCCACCATACTCAGTGGATTCACCAGATTCCCTATTTTGGTTGCCAAATCGCCAGACCCACACTCACCACATCGGATGAACCGTGTGCCTGGGAGGCAAAAATGCGCGCGTCAGTCTGGAAGTCACAACGGTCACCTGGCCGCAGGGGGACTACAAAACCTAAATTACTTGGGAATTGTACTCACAAAGAAATACGATACATGCTTTTATCCCCCAAACAAATGTGTATATATATATATATATGTATACATAGATCTCTTTATTACTATTGTTGTCTTATTTAATCCTTACTTTTATTGAGGTCACCCCATGTCCATAGTGCTGACCCATGCGTCGTATCTCGCACGCCGAGCTCGAGAGCCATGCCGCACTCGTCGGGAACGTGACCTTTGCTCCCAAGGCCCGAAGGTTGGATTTCAACCACTGAACCATAAGCAAAAATGGGAAAAATGGTTCCCCAACAACAACCATGGATATGTTGTTAAGACCTTAAACTATTACAATAATAAACCAAACTAACATGTTGTTGGACATCTGCAAACATTACAATAATTCCGAAAGCTAAGTTAAGAGAATCCCGAGTAAAGGACAGACGTCGTGAGCTCGTAATACTCGTAGGCGAGCTCGCCACAAAGCAAGCAGACTAAATTTGGGACCCAACAGAAAAATACCCGAGAGTTTTGACTCACTTGAACGGATTGGTCGGAAGTCCAGGCTTCTTGTGCCTCACAAAACCGGACTTCGCAACAAGTTTCAAGTCCCCGACTGGAGAAGTGAGAGCAGTACATGGTCAAAGCAACTTGCTTCCAATCAGCTCGCCAGGTTGCAGCTGACGCTTGGAAGCCTGGTCGCTGTTACGTCAAGCAAGGCTCCAAAAGAGGAGTCTGACCAACTACCAAAAGTCTCTCTGAGCAGGACAAAATGAGGTTGTAGACCCAAAACGAAGGAGTCATGACGGAATTTGTTGCGGGTCACGCGGAGTCCAACCACCTACTACCTGCTGCTCCAATGTCGTCTTTCACATCAATATATATATATATGTGTTTACATATGTACTCTCCCCCTCGGCGCACATTTGCTAATCATGCGTCTGCTGCTGCCATTCACATGCATGCGCGCCTGTTCCCTATAAACCAACACTGTACTGAAAATACCTGTACTGCACACACACACACACACATTATAAACCAGAAACGGAATCCGTGTTTTATTTGAGTTTCTGCAATGTCAAAAAGCGTGGCCCCGCCAGTTTTGTGTTGCTTCTTCAACCAAAACAACTGAATTTTCATATTCGGTTACAAAAGGGCTGCAGTATATCCAACAACAGTATCAGCCAACTTTAGCAATTTGTTGAGAACCCTATTTTCATTTTTCTTCAGAATATTCAAATTCTAATTTCTTGAGAATATTCCGTCGTCAAAATGTCATTTCAATCCTGGGTAAAACAACTTCAACGTGTATAGACAACTTGACCATTTTGTGTGTGTGTGTGGTGTGCGTGTGCGTGTGCGTGTGCGTGTGCGTGTGCGTGTGCGTGTGCGTGTGCGTGTGCGTGTGCGTGTGCGTGTGCGTGTGCGTGTGCGTGTGCGTGTGCGTGTGCGTGTGCGTGTGCGTGTGCGTGTGCGTGTGCGTGTGCGTGTGCGTGTGCGTGTGCGTGTGCGTGTGCGTGTGCGTGTGCGTGTGGTGTGTGGTGTGGGTGTGTGGGTGTGGGTGTGGGTGTGTGTGTGTGTGTGTGTGTGTGTGTGTGTGTGTGTGTGTGTGTGTGTGTGTGTGTGTGTGTTGTTTTGTTCATATAGTCTATGCTCATTTTGACAACCTTTCACGAAGCGTCTTGATAAACGCCCCGTGCTTTTTTCTGCTTCTTTGTTGCACTCTCACCCAGGTATCGTGACTGCGGACACCATGCCGCAAGTTGCCGGTGGTGACACATCAGTGTCTGGGGGGTTTGGGCGGGGCATTTGAACGCTATCGGCAGTTTTGGCATTCCGGCTTTGTGTTCCTGCTGGCATTTCGAGGTAGGCTAGCGCATGTGCGGTTGCCACCTCTGTGCGAGGCGACTATTCACCCGGCGCAGCTCGAGTGGCAGACTTTCGTGCTGTGTTCCTGCTTGAAACACACAAAGTGCGGCCAGTCTAGTTCCAATTAAGTGGCATTTGGTCTATGGCAGTGTCTGGCTATGTGTGTCCCGGACCCCCGCGGCGGGAAGAGTGCAGCCATATGGACATTGAAGCAAACTGTGGCAATGGCTCGGTGTGTTTTACATGGCGTCCAATACTCGTTGTTGACGTTGGATTAGGGGAGCAAAAAACATCAAATTTTAGCAGTTAAGTGGTTGGATTTCAACCACTAAACCACCATAAGCAAAAATGGGAAAAATGGTTCCCCAACAACAACCATGAATATAACATGAAAATCAGGGTGTGTTTTTGGATACCCACTTCAACATAATGTCTATCCTACCTTCGGACTTGACTCCACGCAACAATACTTAGGGGCTAGGGGAAACAACACCTGCGCTGAGTAGCTTGAAGCAAAACAAAGCGCGACAGCGGCCACTTTAAGGAGGGCGGGAAGGAGTACGGCGCCGGGCCACGTATATGTAGTATGCCAAAAACAGCAGGGTCAATTGTCAGCAAGTGACCTTTCTTTATATAAGGAGGTAGAAAGGCAGGAGCAATGCTCAAAAGCACAGTGTATATGTTTTTGTGGCTCACTCCCTCTCCCCCCTTCCAAGAAAGTGCAAATCAGAGCACGTGCTTAAGAAAAAGGGTGGGCATGGGGGGAACATGTCTCTCTCTGTATATGTAGATAAACATTTGTTGGGGTCAACAAGCAACTCATGCAGCCAATAACAAAGAACTCGCGGTTGACGTGCCCCGCCCCACGCGCCCTCCCCCCCCAAAACAAAAAGATCTCAAAAAAGGAGCAGCTTAGGCATAAATTGCAATCCGCAAGCCCTGCACGCAACTTTGAACCAGGCAATCTCTCAAAGAGATGCCAAGTGGCACCAACCACTTGCGCAGGTCAAAGTGGCCATCCATCAACATGTTGCGCAACAACACTTCAATCTCAACCTCATTCTGCACACTATATGGATATCTCAAATCAGAGAAGCCCCGACATGGTGAGTGTCCTGCTGCTTGCCCTCTCAAAAATGCTGATTTTCGTCTCCAAAAATGAATCCCCGGCGAATCTATCAAGCGAGCCATCCCCGGCCTTCTGCCGGCACCGAGGAGCAGAATGAGGCGGGGAAGCGCTGCAGCTGGCATTCCGAAACATGACTCCACTTTTGAGAACAAGGACTCTGAACCTGTTTGAACCTCTCTTTTGACTTTATCTCAAAGCTTTTGCTCCTTCCCGGGAAGCATATAGGACACCAACAAATGAGGCTAATCGCCCGTTTCAGGCATAAACTCGTACCAAACTGAGAACAAGCCCGCGCGGAGGGCAAAGTCACTGGAAGACCCCTGCCTGCCTTGGAATTGCATGTGATTCTTAAAGGAATGCTTCAGCTCAGCGCTGCGTCAAGGTCCTTCTTTCTATTTTCCCACTGCCACAGTGGCCCGCTTTGGCCACCGCCGTGTTTTTCTTTCGCTTCATGTCCCCAAGTGACCGCTTTCTTTCCGGCCGGGTCCGGACATGACATGTTGACCCCGGAGAGCAATCCCGGGCGGGCTTCCTTCAGGCTGTGGACAGCTACTCCGCAGCGGTTGCGAATGCCCGATTTGAATACTGAATCAGTAAATCATTGGCACCAAGTGGATCCATTAACTAAGTGGCACCAAGCGGATTTTGTCCATTCACAGTATCATTTCATGACTGGCAGATCTAATGTAGATTCTGGGTTGGCAAGCGAGCTCAGCACCGTTCACGGCTTTTAACTGCTGAAAGAGGTTGCAATGGTGTAACTTGCATTCCCCTAGCGCAGAAACAAGATTCACTGTTTCGAACGCTGGATTATCCTTAAGCATCAGCTGTCCGCTGTAAATCCCTGGGCCACTTTCGGGCTTCGTTTCGCTCCAAAGAAGGGGCTTATCCTGCAAGCAAACTGCTGAAAGCACCTCCGCAAATTTGACTCTGGTCTTGGAATGCAGCCTCTTGCACCATCGGGTGAGGGTTTTTCTGCCACACCCTATTTGTCTCCTGGTCATATAACTAAAAAAAAGGAATGGTCGAAGGGCGCTGGGGCAATGGGCACGCCTCCCTACCTTTATGCGCAGAACCTCTGATGCACGCTCCATTCGCTGCTTTCTGGAAGGAGCGTTGGCTAATTGACATGATCCGATGACAGGGTGAATGCCGATGCCGATTCTGCCACACCTTGAGCCCCTGTGTGCTTCTGGGCTTCTGAGCTTCGTGGCTTCTGTCCTGGTGCCAATGTGCACTCAACGGAACCTGTTCCCTGCATATATCGGCACAGCGTTGTGACCATCATATCTACAATAAGTTGGGAGGAGATTGGACAAGCTTGTCAAAAAATGGTTTGCTCAAACCCTTGATATGTTTTGCTGCTTTCAGCCGAGAGCGGATGGAACAAACTCATGACCAGTATGAAGAAAGGTGGCAGTAGGCAGTTGACACAACGTTCAGAATGCAAGTCACGCAAGTCACACCGCTGGGGTGGGCCAACCAGTACATTGTTCTTAAGCAAGGCCAAGTCCCGCAATCATATCGCAACATTCAAGGGTGCCTAGACATACTGGACACATGGCTTGAGCATATCTTCGACTACAGCAAAAACCTTTCCTGGTGGCCTCTGATTCCAACAGTCACTTCACGTGGGGCGAAACGTCACTCGCTTGGCCGCCCCACGCAGCGGTCTTGGACGGGAGAGCCACTGCTGTTGGCATGGCCTTCGAAAAAAGGTCTGAGCCCATGAAAAACCAGAAAGGTACCGTGACCCCTTTATGGCTCGCTCTTCGTAAGGCATCAAAAGTTGAATACAGGGGCAACTGAACAGCGTGCAATACTGGCACCTGAGGCTCGGAAAAAAAACTGGGGCGCGGCTAGTAAAAACCTGTACCAACCAAAGATTTGTGGGGACCTTGTGATGAAAGCATCTCTTTACATTCGACGAATCCTGATTCAGGATGAGACCCAGAACTAAGCCATCGCCTGAGATAGGCTGAGGCTGACGCAAGCACCGCGTGATGTCCAAAGCTTCTCGTTATTTGACCATTTGAAATACAGGGTATCTCTTATGACGCGACCACAGCGACCTCAAACAAGGGTGATTCGAACAAATCCAGGAGTTGCTTGACATACAATGGGACACTGATGAATCAGCTCTAGCCGGCGCCTGCTAAGCTTGCCAGGAGATCGCGGGAAGAGAGCAAAACATGTAGGCATGTGAATCAAACAGTTTAGACCCTCTCTGGTTGATGTGAGGGAAACCGGAAGGAACCTAAGTCATCTGAACAAGTCAAGGAACCCGTGGTTGACACTGGACTTAAACCTGGAAGAAACGCTGAAGCCACCCACTGGAAGGCTCCGCTTGAGCGACAAATGGCTGTTTAAATCTAAACACAGATGGTCATGCCCTGCTAAGCTCTCTTTGACAACATTGATGGGCTTTCAAGGGCCACCAAGGGCAAACTGCAATGATTTCTCGGCTCTGCCAACTTTGCGAGCGCCGCGCGGCCCGGTGCACGGAGCGGTGCCTGGAATTGCCCACGGTCTGCATGCGCCACTTCCCATCAACGACCGCCAGGACTTGTCGAAGCCAGCATTCGTGCATGAAGCTGCGGCTTGGTCTCTCGCGCCGGCCAGGGAAATCCTCCGGCTCGTGCGGTTGAAGCATCGAAGGTGCCACTGAGCGTGAGAAAAAATACGAAACGATCTTCTGACCCAAACCCGGATCAACCTCTCTGGACCATGGCACCAAAACCATCTGGAGCCTAATGGAAAGCACCCTCCAACATGCTCGGACAAGAAAATCCCGCATGTAACAATGTACACGCCGTCCACCGAATGATACTTGGCGGGCACCAATCTCCAATGCACCTTTCTTGCCCACTAAGCAAGGGATCGCCGAAACCGAAAGAAAAGGCCATGGGCAGAGATCGCCGAATCCAAAAAAATGGCCATGGGTCCTGCCCAACGGGTCCCACTTTTTGACCTTCCCATCCCCAGCTTCAGCCAGGGTTGGGGCTCACAAACTCAGGGATCAGCTCCACATCCTCAGCGCTCGCGGTCGACCACGTCTGGGGCGAGTCGTCGGGGAAATGGCGAAGCACCACTAGGTCCTCCTGTGAAAAAGGTTAAAATAACTTGCTACCTGATGTTTTTTCAGTTTTGTATGTTTTAGTAGGGGAACCCTCCCAACCAAAAAAGAAACAGGAAAAAAGGGCACCAATTGCTGGGAGACCTAGAAGCACATCCAGGCCACTCCAAGGAATTCTTCTAAAGGCAGCTGAGGGATCTGATGGGGTGAGAACCTCAACCTTTCTGGGGGGAGCTGAGGTGCTGCTGGCAAGTTCCTCTTAGCTTTCCTTGCAAACAATTGAGACGTCGGTGCTTTCATGGACCCTGGCTCTCGACGAATGAGACCACTCCTCAAGGATCCCTGTAATCACCATCACACATCCAGCGCAAAAGGGGAAACGGCGGGAGCTACCTTCGAAGCACGTTAAACTTGCAGTTCACAGGCTGATCACACCCCGAAGAAAAATGAAGTAATGGCACGCTTGATGCCAAAGAACACTGCCAGAACACTGTCGGTGGTGAACAGCCTACATAGCGCTTTTCAAATATACATTGCGCTCTTTGTTGCGATACAGAAACTCACTCGTGTACATCATGATCCAACAACCTACCAGGGCACACATGTGACGCTGAACTAAGCAGTCTTGCAAGTAGAAAACACGAAGCAGCACATGCAGGACTGCTGCCCCACGGCCACGGGAGCCGCCGCCTTGCTCTCAACATGGATACGCACACACACACACACAATTACGGAACACACCCGCACACGGCAAGCATGATGCCACACGGCAAGCAGGCGTAAGCTCAATGGTCTCTGTGCTTTTCCCTGTTCGTTGCTCCTTGTCTCCAACAAACAGAAGGGTTCAGGCAGAGGTGCCTGGATATGTATGCTGTATGCATATATGTTCAATATATGTGTAGAAATATTGTTTATGTATATCATGCGCAGTATCACTATTGCTGAAACACACACACACAGACACACACAGACACACACAGACACACACACAGACACACAAACACAGACACACACAGACACACACAGACACACACACACACACAGACACACACAGACACACACAGAGACACACACACAAACAAACACACACACATAGACACACACACACACACAGACACACACACACAGACATATATATATATATAGACACACACAGACACACACACACACACACAGACATATATATATATATAGACACACACAGACACACACACACACACAAACACACACACACACAGACACACACAGACACACAGACACACACAGACACACACAGACACACACAGACACACACAGACACACACAGACACACACAGACACACACAGACACACACAGACACACACAGACACACACACAGAGACACACAAAGAGACACACAAAGAGACACACAAAGAGACACACAGAGACACACAGAAACACACAGACACACAGACACACACACACACACACACAATACCGCCAAAGCCTGCTTTGGAGAGCTCATTTTATCCCCGCATCGGTGAGCTCGCCATGAAATAGCCCAATGTAGATGTGTCTGTATGTGTCACCCTTTAGACCAAGTGTAACAAGGGTATTTACGAACAGAGCGAGGTGGGCTTCCGGCGTAGTCCAGCATCAGCCTCTCCGCTTCCGCGCTGGACATGAAGTTCCGCCTGAAGGAAAACTGTTTCGCAGGCGCTGCTCGTGGAAATTCCCTCCTTAACGTGGTTGACGTTGGAAGGGGAGCAAAAATAATAATTTTAGCAGTTAAGTGGGAATTTCCCACTAAACCACCATAAGCAACAATGTAAAATGTTTCCCAACAACAACCATGATTAAGACGAGAAAATATCAGCACTCAAAACCTGCTAAGCCGGTCTACCGGTTCAACCATCGAGTCTTTTCAGGCTGACCAGTCCGCTCCCCATTATGGGCCTTTGGCTTGGATCATGGCCTTGCAAAAGGGGCTGCTGAAAAAAAAACGCCAGTCCTTAGGCACCCAGACGCCACTGCCACACGGGGAAGGAAGCTCCCCTTCCTCCCCCATCGCAAAAATGGTCCTTGATCTGCACATCCGAGGCATCCTAGTACAAGCCGCTGCAATCGACCGCTGTCCTGACCTTCTTCCTGGGTTTTGATTGCTCAGGCGCGCTCCGTCAACCAGTTGCTGGGGCAGTCCCTTTCCTGCGCGACCTCCTGACATAGATTCGGGTATGTGCTAGAGGGGAACCGCCCAACATGGTGGTCTTCCTGTTGGTTGTCCCTTTGACACCCCCTGGGTGAAAGCTTGGTTGCTATTGCGCCCTCTGCAACAAGCTTAAGTTTTGCGGGTCCGATTCGGAACATCCGAGCTGATTTAACCAACAAGCTACAGTCCAAAGGTCCGTTTCTAGAATCAGGGAAAAACCACTGTTTCAACCAAAAAGTGAAAGTCCAAAGATTCAACCAAACGGAACTCGGGAAACCAAAGATCCGTTACCAAATAGCCATAAAGAAAAGGTACCCTGAAAAGCAGACACACGTGGGAGCTGATGGGGCTCCGGGTGTCCGCGCAGCAAAAAGATGGGCGGGTCCTGCGCCAACACCTCCACCCCGCCATGCCTCAAGCATGGTACACGCGCCCGGCTGTGGCAAACCACCCAAACCGGGCAACATTGAGCCCCCCCCTCCGCTACTCCCAAGGAGTATGTGTTTTGTTTGTCTTCGGACAGAGAATTGGGGGCTTGCACATGGGAAAGAGCAGTTGTTGGGGCTGTTGGATGTGGAGGACAAAGGACACAAAATGCTTTGATGGTTGATATTTTTAGAGAACAGCCAGAGGTAAGGCCTTGGAGTTGGCTGCTTTGAAGGACACTCCTAAATGGAGGAGCCACAAATGCTTTGATGACCGATGGCAAAGGGAAGTCGCGACACAAGGCGAGACATGTCCGCCAGATTGATACTCAAGACACTCAAGGGGAAACCGGCTGCAAAGAACACAAGGTAAAATCACTGGGCAACTGGAAAGACTTCCAACCTACTCCGTGAGGTATGGGCAACTCCAAGTACCGGTGGCTGAATGAAAATTGGCAGGAGTCCCTCTTGCAAATTCACATGGGACCGGAAAACCATCATCTCTAGAATCTCCTTGGGTTGCATGTTGCTGTGTAGGGGAAGACAACAACGCGGCTGGATGTCGAGTGGGGAACACTCCTGCTCGTTGCGTGGGACCTCTTAGTTCCATCCATTGAACGGGGTATGTCCAAACGGACCTGGCCTTGCTCCATCCAAAAGCAGGATGTGCTTTGAGGCCTGAACGTATGCCGGATGTGTAGATACGAAGGGGGGGGACTCTGCTCTGCATGCCAGCATGAGAAGTGGTTTCAGAGCCTCAACCAATGGCCTCTCGCATTCTTTGGATTGTTTTTGGCGGATCACGTGGCGGATGGTGTTTGGCCTCTTGGCTTACCCTGCTCTCTCAGACTCTCAGCCCACCGGAAATTGTCAACTGCTCATTGGGGGCTCCGGGCCAGCGGGGCGTAGGCCTGGGCTTTCCAAATGTCTCGGAAAGGGAAGGGAACTCCAAACACGCACATAGATACCTAAATACCTGTGTATATATGTATACAATAAGTAAATAAATACAAATATCGTATGCATGCATGTATGAGATATATATATATATTTACCATATAGTATACATTCTTACATATCCGCCGACCCCTTCTCCCAAAACGCGATGGCGCATGGGAAGGGTTCCACGGGTTGGTGTGCGCCGCGTGTCTAAGCAAGACGTTTGCTTGTAAATCTGGGGGGTGGTGGTTCTGTTGCTGTATCATGTATTTCTCTAAATTATGTTTTTTTCATAACCGCTACGTCATTGCATAGTACACAACGTTGCTTCGTTATCACTAACATTGCAACAGTCAGTACTCATTATCATGTAAGATTCAAATTGTCCATGTTGTCATGTCGGGCCCTGGTGGTGATGCTCATCATCATCACCTTCGTCATCATCAGCTTCATGATCATCATCATCACCATCATCACCACCATCATCATCACCATCCTCACCATCATCACCAGCATCATCATCGTCATTATCATCCCCATCACCATCGTCCTCGTCCTCGTCCTCGTCCTCGTCCTCGTCATCCTCATCGTCATCCTCATCGTCATCGTCATCCTCATCATCCTCATCCTCATCCTCATCCTCATCCTCATCCTCATCATCATCATCATCATCATCATCTTTCTTGCCGGCTCAGTTGAAGGGAAATCCATGCGACGGTGGAGGAAAACAGGATCCATTGGACGGCCAGGTATGTGGATGTCCCAAGGCTACAGAAGAAATGCTGCTCCAAGAGCTCCCGGCCTCTGTGCCAGCGCTGTCCCCAGCAGCAGGAGCCTAGAAACAACCCAAGACACGCGGGGTTCTTTGTTGGTTACCTTGAAAGGAAAAATCCTTCAAAAGCGGTGCCATTGCTGCCTGGGGATCTGAAAAGCTGTGTTTCAACATCGAATAAGTCGCTCGGCAAAACTCGGTTGACGTTGGAAGGGGATCAAACAAGTATAATTTTAGAAGTTGAGTGGGGATTTCAACCACTAAACCGCCATAAGCAAAAATGTAAAATGTTTCCTAACAACAACTATGAAAAGGCAAGTCTCGTTCAGTTCTGCCATTTGCGTGTTCATCGGGAACACGAAAAACCTCTGCGCTACTGGCTTCATGGCGGAAAGTTTGGCATGGGGGTCGAAGTGAAACCAACCTCCCTGATCCCCCTAAAAAGTCAGGTGGCACTCTGGCACGGCTACTTCTGTGGCTGATTGAAAGGAAAGGTCTGATTTGCTGGCTTTTAGAGGGGATACCTGGCACACTTGCCCTCCAACACCACCGACCAAACGGTCTTTCAAAGACCGAATGACCGGCGCGGGTGGAGCAAACGACCCATTTGATGAAACCGCAGCTCAACGGCCCCGCACCTTGGGGTTGCTTCATCCGCCTTGGACTTTGGAAATTTTGGGGCAAACTATGGGGTGCCTGAATATAGGTACACCGTGAGGAGCAAGGTACGGCTTAGACTTGTCAGTTTATGGTTGCAAATATAAAGCAAAAACATGTTGCTATCTGTTTGCAAGGCCCTTACGTTCTTACGCGTTCTTGCACTAACAAACATTTTCACTCTTGTTGCACTATCATGCCCTCGGAAAATGCTGTAGTCACAGCACAACGTGCCTGGACAGCCAACGCTAAAGGTCTTGATTCGAGAGTGGCTAGAAATTCATCCGTTCACTCAAGGCCCCTCATGCCTGCCCGAACCGCAAAGACTGGACTAAATATTTTTTTCGGGCATGCTAGTGCTGCAACATGCGCCATGTGCAAACTGGAGCTGAATCCATGTCTGACTCCCCCAAATTTGACATGGGGGATACAGCAGAAGTAAGAACTAGGATCATGGATATGTCATGTACTTCTGAGGGTACCGCTCTTGGCAAAGATCACATAACATGTTCTACAGGTCCCCTATGTGTCAGACGAAAGCAAATGCGACAGGGGGCCTGCTTTTGTGGGCTCACTGAGACGACTCGACTCGATGGGCTGCGAATATCGATTCGCCGGTGCTGGCCTGCTTGATTCAAGGGTCCAGTTAAAAGGGTCCGTGATCTTTAACAACCAAAAGCATACCCAACAAAGTTCAGTTGCCGGTGTAGTTTATTAAACGAGGTATGTGTACCTCGTTTTCTGGTTGCCAGATTGGGTAAAGCATCGATCCAAGCTTTTCGCCTGGCCATTGCAAGCGGCTTGCGCCACGCATGGCCGGGCCATTCCAGCTGGAAGTGCCAAATCCAGTTGCAATGAGTTGGGTATGGGTCAAAATTACACCACCAGGGGACCGCAGGTTTTGGTCCATGGCTCCACTTACCAGGGTTCCATTGGGCTACATATTTTTGAACCACATCCAGTTAACCGGAATCAAGGGACCGGCAGCTGCGGACAGGTTCTGCCAGGGCTTACGAAAAAACGATGTGAATCGCCCGTCTAAGATTTGCATGCGCACCGGTGTCTTCCTGTCAACTCCTGCGCAAAACAACCATTGGGACTCCAGGGGCTGCGCTTTGCACGCAATCATGTGTGTGTGTGCGTGTGTGTGTGTGTGTGGCTTCTTGGCCTGTATATGTGTTTCTTCATGTTTGCTTTCTTGCAGCCTCGCCAACATGCCTCCATCAAACGAACTAGCTCACTCACCAATGAAGTAACAACTGTGTGAGCGCGCCCTTTCCCGGCTCTCTGTTCAAACCCGGCGGGCAAACAGACCGAGCGGAAGCTGACCAAAGTGTGGCTCAGAGTCTTCCCCAGTCCCAGTCACCACTGTATTTTCCATGCTCAGGGGCCTTTCAAGTGAGGCACCAGAAAGGAATCCTACCACCCCTAATAAGCCTTAGTCGCTATTAGCCCCTCTTGGGGATTGGGAACCATAGGAACATTAGGTAGCCAACAGCCAACAATGTCGCTTTCCTTACTTGAAGGGTGATTGGTTCCCTTGGCTACTACACAGGGAATGGAATCACTTGGTTCAGTTCGCCCATGTTTTCCTGCTGGGGAACAGGGCCAGAAAGGCCAAGCACGCGGTTGCAATCAAACATGGCTTTGTGAAGGGAAGCTTGGCTCGAACTATCTGGATGAAAATACAAGGCTTCTTCAAAAACGCTGGCACATGCAGGTAGATTGGTCCCTGCAAACAGCATGCACAAAAAGAATTGCCCGTCGGCTTTGGTCCACATGTTCGGTTCTTGAAGCAACCCTGCAACACTTCACCTGCCGGAGGCAGGGTACCAACCAGGGGAGAGGTCACACTACTAGGCGATACCGAGCACGTGGATTCTGTCTTGTCCCACTTTCCCAGTTTTTCTGCTTGGTGTGTCTTGAAGGCAACACCACCCGGAAAAAAACGGAAAATTGCGAATGGGGATCCACTGGAACACTGAGTTGTTTTACAACAGCATTGGACCTGGCAGGTTGCTTCCCATGGCGATTTCTGACTGAGCCAAAACCCGTAGAACAAAGGTTCAACTGTATGGTTGCCTTCGTGTATCCGAAGGAAAAACATGAAAAGTGGGCCATTTGCCCAAGGGTACACCATTCCAGAATGCATTAGGGCGTGTTGCCTGCAAAAGCGAAGAACTCCCTCTTGAATAAGACCCCTTATATTTGACAGCGGCTGTTTTGTTAATCCTGGGTTCCCATTGAACAGCTGCATGATCCCATGCTGGTGCGCTGAATGGCATTCGATGGAGGCGGCACAGGGCGGTGGTGCAAGAGTGTGGGCCGTTTACTTATCCCCTGGTAGCGGGATGGGAGGAAAACTGACATCTTTGCCCAACTGTCACAACTGGGTTCTTTCCCCCCTGAGCAAAGGGTCAATCACCTTTCCAGGTCAACCAAGTACATAGCCTGACACTATAGAAGTGATGGATGCGGCTGGCCCTTCAAACGTGGTTACTCAAATTGGGGTGAACCATTCAAAGTCCTTTGAGGCTCCACTTATTTCAACGGTGCGCACTGGCTCGTGAAACTGGGAAACGCCTCCGCTTTTCCCAAACTCGCCGGTGCATGCTAAATTTGCGCGTCCATGGCGAGATTCTTTGTGTACCTAGATTTGCCGAAAGGGGAGTGGGAAACAAGAACTAACAGGGCCTCCAAGTTATTTTGAAATCAGACACCGCGATATGAATCCGCCCAACGCTCTGGCAAACGAATGTCTATGCCTCTTGGCTTCGGGATCCCTCCAAACGCCCGTTGACAGTGCCAACTTTGGAAGGGTCCCATTAAACCGTCCCCATTAAACGGTCCCTTTCCTCGCATGGTCTTCCATGGCAAACCAGGACACCCTTCCGTGGGGTCGAAGCCCCAAATGCCGACTATTTGCCCAAAGCTATTGTTGCGCGTCTCTGCCAATCCATTGACCTGAATGGTGTTCTATTGTTTTTCTATCCGTCCGTCTGCCTGCCGTGCGTCTGTGGCTTCATTCTATATACGCATCTATCTGTCTATTTGTCTATTCGTCTGTTTATCTACGCATCTGTACATCTATCCACAAATGAGTCGGTTTACACCTGCTTACATACCAATCTAATCTATCTGTCTGCCTATGCCTACCTAAAAGTCTACTTACCTATCTACCTATCTATCTATCTCCCCTCTCCGTCAACCTAACCTATATTCTATCCTACCTAACCTAAGAGCTATCTGTCTATCTACCTCTATCTTTCCACCTGTCCATCTACCTACCTAGCTCTGCTATCTGTTTTGATGTTTCCTACAATCTGTTCATCTACCTGTCGATCAATCCGTCAACCTATCGAGCAATCTATCGGTCTCGCGCCTCTAACGGCCTATCAGGCTCATCTATCAATCTCAGAAACCTACCTCTATCTCTATCTATCTACCAATCTGTCGATCTACCTCCCACGGCCTGTTCATTTCATCTACCCATCTACCTGTCAGTCTATCCTGTCTATCTATCTCGCTTCATGTAAACTCGTCTAGCGGACCTACTCTAGCCCCTCTATCTAATCTCACCTCGCTACCTAACCTTTTCTAAGCTGTCCATGCACCTATCTAACCTAATTTTGCCTAGCTATCCTAATCTTGCCTAACCTAGTCTAGTGTTGTCCATCGCTTCTTTCTTTCTATCTCCCATCTTTCTAGCTATCCATGTATCTGTCTATCTGTCTTTTTGAAGCTAATGTGTATATAGGTATACATAAATGTGTGGCAGCCGATCAAAACTTTTGAATCAAAACTCCTATTGCCGGAAAACGCCTTTTCGCATGAAAAATCGCGAATCTTTCGCGACTCCGTCGCCACGGCCTTTTGTTTTGCAGCGTGCGCTCTGGAGCCATTGCGGCTGCTGCAGTTATGCTCGGAAACTCAGTACCCGCAGTTCACTCGCGCTGGCAGGCTTGCAGCAACGTTGAGTGAAAGCAGTCACCCTCATTCGCCCTTGCCACTTGCACTTGCCAGGGATGTGCGGAACCTGCAACAAGCTCCAGGGGCGTTCACCTGTCCTTCGTGGATGTGTTGCGAAACTTGCTCCACATTACTTGCTGCGCATCCTCCTGTCTACAAGGGAGTGAGGCCTGCAAATTTGCAGGCGCGCAGACAGAACCTTTCGAAACAATAGATTATTAACTTAAAAAAACACTTCTTTTGCAAACTCCCTCGCCGTTCTTTCGCGGAGGGATTTACACAAACACCGACGGTCACCGAAAACACAGCTCCTTGCAAGGACCTTTTGGCCAACCTATCTATCTATTTCCATCTATCTATGTAGTCTGTCTATACAGCTATGTGTCTATGTATTTCTCCTCCATCTCCCTTTGCTTCATCCCTCTATCGTTCTTTCTATCTGTTTATCGAATCGAATCGAATCTGTCTATCTTTTTGTCTGTCAACGCTCCTGGAGTCGCGCTATCTATCTACCTGTCTGTCTATCTCAGCCCACGGAAGCAGCACGCTGTGGTCCGAAGTGCTCCGCTTGCCACGAAATCTGCACGTGACCCTGCAAAGACTGCGCCTGCTGCGCACATCAGGCTCGTTTGAAACGCACTCCAATGTGCTGCGCCTGCCATAAAGGTTCAACGCGCGACCCTCCAAAGCGCTGCAAAAAGTACAGCACCTGCCACGCAAGTCAGCGCACTCCAGCGAGACGTCCCTCAAATCGCTGCGACTGCCATGGAATTCGATGCGCGGCCGCAAAGCGCTGCGCCTCCCACGCAATTTGATCACAGCGCTCCAAAGTGCTGCGCCTGTCACGCGAAGCAAGCCTCAAACAAAGCAACAATAGCGCTCAAAGTACTGCGCCTGTCATGAAACCCAACTTTGGCACGTATCCACCAGGCGGCAGAAGTTAGGACGGGGCTGCGGCTCCAGAATGATTTCGACCGATTCAACTTTTCAGCTCGCCAAACGAGCCGATTGTCTGACAGGGCCAACACAAATGACACACGCGCACCCCTAAGACGCAAACCGCAACGGCATGGCGACGCACCCCCGCAACCCTCCAAAGCGCTGCGCCTGCGCGGCAAAGCGACATGCAGTCCGTACAACTTGGGCACAGGCGTGCCAACGATTGAGCCTTCCCCAACGGCACGCACCGCAAACACACGCTGCCCCCAGACCCTTTTCTATATCACATTGGAGACCCTGCTACGCATTCGGGAAAACCTTGGGTCGTTCCCTCTCCAACTGATGATTTTGGTTGTCACGCCAATCTTCAGAACAGAAAGCTGCTTGCACACGCTAAGGGAAAGGCGGAAGGTTAGTATTCGACGAACGTCTTGGACGGCGCCCAAGCCTTCTACAGCAACGCCAGGCTCTTGCACAGGTTCCAGACTTACTCAAGCTGTGAAAAGGATACCCTCCCTCCCAGCGGAAAACTGGCCTTGCAACCTTCAGTCTGGTTCAATGTCAGTATGTTAGTGGAAGGAACGTGGGTAAAGGCCACAAGGGTAGTATTCCTATTGCTTTGCAGATCCAAAGGCTTAGTCATGAGATGACAACTCTTAAGAAATTGTATACGCTGGGGGTCAAGAAATCACGTGATAGCAAGACCCAATGTACACGATGGACCTTGTGCAGCGGACAATGATTTGAAGTCCTTTCTCGTTGGCTGGTGCGTCTTAACATTGTCTACCCTCTGGGGTGATTTTAAAGAGAAACCAACAGGATACCAACTAGTTTAGGGTCCGCACGTTTAGGAGTTCCCCGTTTTTGCAAACAGGCTAGCAAAGGGACCACAGTCCGCTAACCAAACACAAAACTGCAAAAAATTGGACCAGTTCAATTGACCCATATATGTGTTAGGCATATCACAATGTACGACACATGCACACATATCTATAGGTGTATATAGTGTATGTATGTATGTATGTATGTATGTATGTATGTATGTATGTATGTATGTATGTATGTATGTATGTATGTATGTATGTATGTATTTATGTATGTATGTATGTATGTATGTACGTATGTACGTACGTACGTACGTACGTATGTATGTATGTATGTATGTGTGTGTGTATGTATGTATGCATGTATGTAGGTATGTTTGTATGTACGTTTGTACGGTTGTATGCTTGTATGTTTGTATGGTTGTATGTTTGTATGGTTGTATGTTTGTATGATTGTATGGTTGTATGGTTGTATGATTCTATGATTGTATGTTTGTATGTTTGTATGTTTTTGTGTTTGTATGTTTGTGTGTTTGTATGTTTGTATGTTTGTATGTATGTATGCATGTATGTATGCATGCATGTATGTTTGCATGTATGGATGTACGCAGGTACGTATGGATCAATGTATCTATGTATCTGTGTATCTATGTATCTATGTATCTATGTATGTATGCATGTATGTATCTATGCATGCATGTATGTGTATATAACCGTGCGTATGTATCTACGTATCTATGTATCTATGTATCTATGAAACTGTGGATCTATGTATCTATCTATCTACGTATCTATGTATCTATGTATGCATGCATCTATGCATCTATGCATCTACTTATCTATTTATCTACTTATCTATATATCTATCTATCTATCTATCTATCTATCTATGTACGTACGTACGTATGTATATCTGTGTATCTGTGTAACTATGTAACTATGTATCTATGTATCTACGTATCGATTTATCAATGTATCTATCGATGTATCTATGTATCTATGTATGCATGTATGTATGTATGTATGTATGTATGTGTGCATGTACGTACGTGCGTATGTATCTATGTATCGATCTATGTATGTATACACACGGGACATGGCACTAAGAGTGCCTATCTTTCGACCAACTGGACAAGCCTTAGAACAGCATGCATGTGTCTGTGTGCGAGGAGGAAGCTTCCCATTTGTACATGCCCCAGTCTGCTAAACATGCATCTCCAGTCCATTCGTTCACTTGTGGACAAGTCAAACAAGGCAAGAGCGCCCGAGCCGATCAGAAGTTGTTCTGGTGTACTGATATCTCACTGAGCCGCAGTCAACATCACATGTTCCCCAAAAGGACATGGCACATTTGGTGAGGCCCCTGGCTTTAAGGGAAAATTAGTGAGTTCCGCCCCCATATCCCGTCCAAATGAACCATAGACTACGGTAGTTATTATCTCATATCTCGCTGGGTAAAGCACACATACTGCAGAGGAATGGAACATAGCGATGCTCGGGTGTCTAAATGGGAAGCTCCACTTTTCCATGGTGTTTTCAAAGGGAATGCCAAGAGGAAACCGACCATCCTTATGGCTCCCGCAATGTATATCTGTATTTATGTCAAAAAAACTCAAACCAAAGAAATAAGGGGTGGCCAAGTAGAGCCATGGTGACAATGGTTTCGTTTTACCCTCAGGTGAGCTTGCCAAACATTGGCAGATGTGTGCACCAAAAAGTCGGAGACATGCGCTCGAGCCTGGCTTGCGAATTCCGCGAATTCTACTCCAGCATGTTCAGCGTTGGCTTGGACAAGCGGTGCCCTACCTGGCAACAATGCTACCTCAGCCCAAAGGCCCTCCAAATGTTTGATGCTCCGTCAGTGAACCTATGTGAGATCGGATGCGTCTGCACAACCTGTCTGCCAAAGGCGAGGTATCCCAAGAAAAACACCTGCAAGATGTCTAAACTCCTTCTACACCCTCACCAAAACTGTGGCAGACTCCTAGCCTATGGGACTTATTTCAGCATTCAAACATGTTCAGAACGCACACGCACAAACAAACACAAACACAAACAGAAACACAAAACAAACACACACACACTTATCTCGAGAGGCTTCACTAGCCGAGATGAAAAACGCAGTCAGTAAAAATGCTTGAATGCAAACGCAAATCAACAGGTCACAACATCGACACCGAACAGGAAGCAACAGCGACAAACAGAAACCGCAAAAGGAATCAGGAAAGAGGGTCAGGAAATAGGCAGGTACGCCGGATTGATCAGATCCGGTATCCACCGAAATGCCGTAGCTTCATTGGACTGGATAGGCAAATCGGCTCCAGTCCCCCTGCAATGTGGAATTTCCGTCCGTGCTCCAGGACGCTTCACACACACGGAGCCCCAACTGGGGCGACATCACTTGTGCAAGGCCCATTGAGTCTTGCAAGCATCAATTGTGCGAGAAAGTCTTGTGGCGATGACTGACCACACATACTTGGCTTTGGAATTGGTCTTAAGGGAACGGAGGAGTTCAATCTCTCCCTCAGTCCAAGGCTGCGAGGCTTCAGGTTCGGCCTCAGTAGAGGCATCAGTCCTGGTCGATGTGGTAGCTTCGCTTGGTCCACGAGCAGGTTTTGGATGCCGTAGATCGTGAGGAGGCCAAATCACGTGCGCGGCGAGCTCGTTTTTCGCCGGGAGAAGACGGAGGAGGGGTGGGCGGAGCCCAATGATCAGGGAATTGTTCGTCATGATCAGTGGGAAGGTGTTCATCTGGAGCATCAGGAGGTGGCTCAAAGAGGTCCTCAATGGCGGGGTTGAGCGTGGCCTCCGGTGCCAAATCAGGTTCGGCAGGCGGACTCTCAGGGAACTCGCGGATGGTGGCGATGCCTTGTTGGGCAATGCCAAGGATGAGTTCGAAGTCTTGGAGCAGCTGGCGTGCTGTGTTGGTATCCATGCTCGTAACGGATTTTGGTCAAACAGTCAAACAGCTGCGGCGCGAAAATCAGGTCAAATCTGTCAGGATGCAAAGGCAGAGAAGAAAACCAGTGTGGTTCCGCAAAGGACGGTTTTTCTTCTCTTTGTAAGGTGAAACCGTGTTGGAGGTGCAACCTCTTCAACATTGCAAGACCCTGACCTCGCTGAAACTCAGGAAAGGAAACTCGGTTGATCAGCGTGCGTCCGGAATAACATCCAGATTCCTTATGCATCAGTGGTGCGGCTGACTTGACGGAGAGCATGTTGTGCTTCTCATGCGAGGGGATGAAGGAGATGGTGCTGCTTGTGAGGTTCAGTCGGAACCCCAAGAAGTCCAGGGCGGCTTCTGTGTCCAGGAAGATGTCTCCTCCATAGAAGTGTTCGTCGCACAGTATGTTGGCTGCCGGAGTCGAGAGCCACCTGGGGGTTGCGATCACGAGTCTGTTGTCCACGTAGCGGAGTAGGAGAGTATCTTCAACGGAGCGAAGTCCCGATGTGATGTGAGTGTTGGTCCAACATTGTTCGGCGACCGCGATCACCATCAAACAGAGAGCTGGGGACGCGGGGGATCCCATCGGTGCCCCACGTGTTTGCCTGAATGAACGAAGGCCGACAGAGAAGATCTGCATGTCAAGGGTGGCCTGAATGATCTCGGGGATGTCGTCGAGCCACAGGGTGCGTTGTGTGGGTTTGTGTCGGCGACGGCGTCCGTTGTAGACGCGGGTGATGGCAGAGGTGTCAAGTGTGTCCACTGTGAGGTGTGTGGTAGAGGAGTGTGGTTGTCGTTGTCGGTACCAGGTTAGCAGTAGTCGCCAGGCGAGGAAGGGTGCAAGCATCGGTCTGGAGGGGCCAGGTGGAATGAGGCCCCGGAATCGTAAACTGGATCGAATGGCGGAAAGGCATGCCTGGTGGTGTGGTTCAGGCAGGTGTGTGGCTATGCGATGAAGGACATAGAGAGCGGCGGGTGGGAAGTCTCTGCTCCGTATGTAACGGATGGCATCAAATCGTCGTAGAGTGTTGCTGCCAAGATCGCCCAAAAATCGCCACAAATCCAGGCGGTTGTCCACGCGTTTGGCCAGGAAGGCCTGTTGTAGGGCGATGGGTAGTCGTAGTCGGCGGCGTTTTCGCCAGATGGTGGCGAAGCCCATGTGCCGGGATTGGGAGAAGTCCAATTGGCGTATGAAGCCCGTGCGTGGCCGGAAATGTTTCTCGATGAAGCCAAAATTGAGAGACGGTTGCAGTTCCTGGATGTAGAACTGTTCAGTGGCAAATAGGTCCGTTGCCGGAACGACAGTGTGAATGGGCACCGAGGTGTAGTGGTGGAAAAAGTCAAAATGTGCCCACCACCGGACTGCCAGTTCGGCATTGACCAGATGATGTCGCTGAACTTGGAGTAGTTTGCGAAGTTGGCTGCGGCCCCGTGCCATGAGGGAGGCGCGAGTGGCTCCGAGGTAGAAAAAGGCCTGCCACTTTGGATGGCTGGTGAATCTCAGATAAACCGCTGAAGGGACAAGCTGAGAAGAGAAATCGGAAGCAGGGTTGTCCAGGCCAAGTCGAGTAAGCAGGGCTTTCAGTCTGCCGGAACCACAGGAGAGATGGCAGACGTCAAGTAGCTGAAGCTGTGCGAGTAGCCAGGAGCAAGAATGACGTGCGGTGACGTCATCGGTTGGGAAGAACCGAAGAGTGAAACGGAGGACAGTGAGAAGTTGGCAGCAGTGGTGTTGCCAAAATTTGTGCTGCCTGGCTGTGCGTCGTTGTCGGTGTGCTGTTGAGAGTCACTGGTAGAAGTGACTCGCAGCGGCCAGGATGCGGCCCAAGGCCGATGACCCCAGTTTTGATAGGGTTCGCACCGGGATGCCCCATAGCACAGCGGCTCGTTCGAGTTGGGCTCTGGTGTCGGAGTCCAGTGTGGTTGCCCATTTTGCGCAGTCGTTGGACCAGCTTTTTAGGACTTGCTTGCTCTCTTTGCTGGTTTTCTGAGAGGTGATCCATCGCTGGACTTTGGTGTCGGAAATGTCGGGTGGGAAGTTGCTGGTGAGCCATTGGCAAACGTGGGGAGGTGGTTGGAGCAAGTCGCGGGGCTCCTTCCAAGTGGGTGGGGAGGGGAGGGGGGGAGGGGTCGGGGTGCCGCCGTGGGTGGAGGGGGCTGGAGGGTTGCCGCCGTGGGTGGGGGGAGCCGGGGGGGGTTGGGAGTCGTCTGCAATGCGAGTGGGCAGGGGTAGAGCGGGGGATCCGTCCTGCGGTGATGTGTCAGGTGTAGTCAACCGTGGTCGCTTCATGCCGAAGTCCAGGAGGGAGGCCTGAGATGGATTGGCTGGGCGTTTGTTGGATGAGGTGGGTGTGGGGGGGAGAGGGGGGGGATGAAGCCTGCTGGGCGAGTTGGTTGTGTGCGTCAGCAAGCTGTTGCTGAAGCTGGAGTATGGTGGCCGCGGAGGCCGGGTCGGCCGTAGTGGTGGGTCGGAGGGAGATGAGGAAGTCGAAGATCTTGCTGGTGAGTAGCTTCATGGCTGCTGGTTTGGTGGTCGAGGCGCCCTCCTGCGTGGCTACATGGAGGGCGAGGGCGTCCAGGTCGAGGTGCCGTTGTCGGATTTGGCTGAGTAGTCCAGCAGCAAACACTGATTCCGGCATCGACTTTGCGACAACGATGCGGACTTCGCCTCCGTGGGCGAGGTGACGCAACCACCAACTGTTCCACTGTTCGTGCATGAAGTGGAGGAGGGGGACGCGAGCGATGTCTTGTCCCTCGATGCCCATTTGCCGAGTAAACGCGGTGTGCGTTATGACCTTGGGCAGGTCGTACCCCGCGACGCGGGTGGTGTCGTAGTGATCGTCGCCAGGGTTGAACTCGGTTGGTGTTGGGACTGAGTGGATGGGTCGAAGGGCCGGGGGAGGTTTGGATTGCGAGGCGGTGGAGGGGGAGGGGGAAGGGGGAGGGCGGGAGAAGGGGCCGGGGGGAGGGGGGGGAAAGGGGTTGCCGCCGGGAGGGGGGGGGAGAGAGCCGCCAAAGGAGGGTGGACGAGGGCCGGGGTGTGGTGGGTAACGGGGAATAGGTTGGCCGTAGGTCTGACAGGGAGTCGGATGTGTAGCTGGCGGTGCCGATGCCGTGGAAGAGCATCCGTAGGAAGGCCCGGACAGGGCCCCGCACGGGTTCCCGGCCATGTTGTTGCCGTACACGATGCCATGATGATGGGATGCCGTGGGCGAAGGCTGCGGTGGTAAGTTTTGCCTTTGGAGCGCCGTAACCAAACCTCGAGGGGGTTGGAAAGCCATGAGAAAACACGGGGGAAAAGGAAATGTTCGAACCAAAAGCTGGTGAGCGGAATCAAGCGGGTAAGGTCACAAGGTGAGAGAACGGTCGCGGAAAGGCAGAACAGCAAAGCAAAGAAAAAAGGCGATCAAACAGTGCACCAATTCTTTTCCTGGTTGGGTGGAAGATGGTACACTTGCGCCCCGCTAAGCCGGGCGCTGCAGCGCGATGCCTCTCAGCATCGCAAACTTGGAGTGAAGGCACCACTTTTTGCCTCGGCGGCATGCGAAGTGGCGCCGCACGTTGTGTTGATCCTCGTGGCTTCCCCCGGATTCGAGGATTTTGTGCTGATTGATGGAGCGTAGTTCCCCAAAAGCGATGGCGCCGAGTTGAGACTTTCCGATTGTAAAGTTCTGCAAGAGCTGGCCGAGCGTGTCGGGCGTGCATGCCGTGGGGGTGGCCTGAGCGTAGCATCCAAAGCTCGGGTAGTCATGGTTCTCGGGCCTCCAAGCAGCGGGTCGGATCATGTTCTCATGGCACATGCGGCGCACTCGATCCGGGGTGGTGCCGTGCACATACATGACAGCGTGATGGGAGGCCGTGCCGGATCCAGCTTCCGGGTCTCCGCCAGCAACTGGCCAAGGATGAGGTCGGGGAAACCAAGTGGTTGCGAACACCATGCCGTGTGATTCCCGTCCCAAGAGGTGGTAGAAGCTGGGATCGAACGGTATGGGATCATCCGTGTCCATGGTTCGCAGTTCCCAGCATTCCGCGAGGAGATCGGCATGTGAAGGTGGCAAAGCAGGGTCCAGGTCCATCAAAATGGCCTTAGTCTGTTCCACCCTGGAGATGTCCAAGGCTGGAAGCGGGTCCAGCTCCCCCAACTCCCTAGGCGTGGGAACTCGCAGCGGGTCAGTCTTGGCCGTGTCCATGACGTTTCTCCATAGATCAAGCCACCGGTTGTCGGAAGTGGTGGTGGCATTGATGTCCGCCTCCGATGGAGGGGGATCCAAATCACCGGTGTTGTCGAAGGGGGGTTGGGGAGGGTGAGGAGTAGCCGGCGTGGGTCGGGGAGGGGGAGGGGGAGTGGAAGTGAAGGCCGCCGCAGGTGCTGGGTGAGGGGGCAAGCTAGTGTTGTGGTGGCCGGTGCGGGAAGTGGGGTGGGGTTGCTGCCCATGGTGCTGCAGTGACCAGGACGATCGTTTGTCCTGGTTGTTTCGGTGGCCGGTGTGGCTGGCGCCATGGTGGTGCATGTCCCAGCGGTTTTTGTTCTGTGGTGGGTATCCCCACGATTGGTTCCGCCAGTGTGAGGAGGACCATTGAGACTTGTTGGTTGGAATCCTTCCCGGAAGTGCGCCAGGAGGTGGAATCATGAGTAGTGTGAGTGGGTCGGTGCGAAGTCGTGGCTCTGGGTGCAGGGGAGTGTCGATGGTGGGACCTGTGTCGGGGGGAGCGGGAGCGGAGGGAGACAGTGGAGTGGTGTGCACGTCGGGAGTGGTGGAAGTGTCGGGAAGGGGAACGTGACCTGCTGTAGCTGCGGGATCGTCGGGTGTCGTGTCGTCGGTGCGACTTGTTGTGCCTGCGATGGTGGCTGGTGTGGGAGTGGGAGTGTCGGTGCTGTCTGTGGCGGGAACGGGATCTGCGAGAGTGGGGATGGTGCCGAGTGTCCGGGGGAGGGTGGTTGGTTGAGGAGGTAGCGGCAGGAGCCGCAGCGGCAGCTTCGGGCGCGCGCGCCGGCTGAGGCTCGGGCGGTGAAGATGGCATGCCGCTCTGAGTCATGAAAGGCATGATGGTGCCAGGTGCCAAGTTGCCGTAATTGGGAGGGCCACCGTAGGGCATCATGGCCATCGGGTTGCCAAAGTTCGAGAGGCCGCCGTAGGGCATCATGGGGAAAGGTGTGAAGGATGCCGTCTGCGAGTTGGGTGACGGTACAAGGTTCATGGGCTGCGTCATCTGGGATGACAGCTGCAAGTTCGGTCCACAATTGCCTGGTGAGCCGGACGCGGTGCCGGTCGCAATGCTATGCAGGAGCGAATGCATCATGTCATAGAGCTGGTGTCCAGCCATCTCGCAAGGGAGAGAGAAGGTTGGAAAGGGGTGAAAACAAAACCACAACTGCGGCAAAAATGCGTCAATGGTGCAAATGCATGCGAGCCAACTTCAACCTGCGAATCGAAACCAAACAGAGGGAATTCCACCAGGGGACCGCCAAAACCCCGCGGCAACGGCAAAAGTTTCCACAGAAATGCATGCGAGCACAAAGGGGTTCTCAGAGGTGCCTGTCAAGTGGCCTCATGAAAGTGCCTCATGTGGCAATGCCGATGAATCTGAACTGAACTCATCCGAGACGAAAGCTTCCATAAACGCCACGAATTGCAGAGTTGGTGTATGACCAACTCGTCACTGGCGCATGAAGCTTAGGAGCCTGAAACCTCGTGGGTGCAGCCTTGCTTCAAAGGCAGGCAGTGCAGGCAGTGCAACGCGCATGAAACCAGCAGAGCACCATTTGGGTGCGGAATACCTTAAGACCTCAAGCTGCAGCCTTGATCGTGGTCAAACGCGCTGAACTGAACTGCAGCTTGAACTTGAACACTTGAACGGTCTTCCCCTCGCAGGGGGCTCCCGCATGTGGCGAGTCCAGCCCACAGCGCCATGTCGGACAGGCCGTGGGTAAACACACTTATCTCGAGAGGCTTCACTAGCCGAGATGAAAAACGCAGTCAGTAAAAATGCTTGAATGCAAATGCAAATCAACAGGTCACAACATCGACACCGAACAGGAAGCAACAGCGACAAACAGAAACCGCAAAAGGAATCAGGAAAGAGGGTCAGGAAATAGGCAGGTACGCCGGATTGATCAGATCCGGTATCCACCGAAATGCCGTAGCTTCATTGGACTGGATAGGCAAATCGGCTCCAGTCCCCCTGCAATGTGGAATTTCCGTCCGTGCTCCAGGACGCTTCACACACACACACACACACACACACACACACACACACACACACACGCACAAACGAAAAAAGAGAGAGACACACACACACACAGACAGACAGACAGACAGACAGACAGACAGACAGACAGACAGACAGACAGACAGACAGACAGACAGACAGACAGACAGACAGACAGACAGACAGACAGACAGACAGACAGACAGACAGACAGACAGACAGACAGACAGACAGACAGACAGACAGACAGACAGACAGACAGACAGACAGACAGACAGACAGACAGACAGACAGACAGACAGACAGACAGACAGACAGACAGACAGACAGACAGACAGACAGACAGACAGACATACACACACAAACACACACACAAACACGCAAACACAAACACAAACACAAACACAAATAACCACAAACACAAACGCACACACACGCACACACACACACACCCATGCACGCACGCAGGCACGCACGCAGGCACGCACGCAGGCACGCAGGCACGCACGCACGCACACACACACACACACACACAGGGCTTCCGCAACAACAACTGCCTGAAATCGCAACAAGACCTTTAAATATCGCTTGCAGAGTCTTGCCTCTTGTGCCGTCAAGCCTGATTGGCCCGGCAGAGTCGAACATCAAACATCACGCTCATGCCAAAAGGAGTGTGGATGTTTTGCCCAGAAAACCCAACCCAACAACAAGTCTTAAACCGTTTGCTTCAAGAAAAAATGGCTTGCAGAAACAGCAGGTTAAAGTCATCAAACTGACGGCAAGTGAGAGTCGTGAGACGCGGTTCAGTCTCAATGAAGCCCCGAATCTCCACCGTAATTCGCAAGTGGACTCTCCCGCACCTTGACTTACCCTTATGTTGATGAGTCGAAGTTGAGAACTCAAGTTCCCAAGTGAAAGAGTACCAGAGGGCAAAGAACCCGAGTTCCCAAGAAGTGAAAGGGTAGAGCTCAGAGGACGCTCTTGAACCCACCATCTCGGGATTTGGGATTTTTTCCACACGCTAGGCCGCTAGGGTGTTGCTTCAAGCGAGAGCACTCAAAAACCAGGCTTGGCTTTGAGCTCAGACCTCAAACATGTTCTTCACTTTGAGGTTTATTCATCCAGAACCCCTCAAAAGGGGCAAAAAAGAAAAATGAAATCCGAAACGCACATGTACATTAAAGGCATAGTATTAGAACGCACGGGGATCAAAGGTAGAAAGCCCTGGGAAGTTGGAAAGCGCTGAACTTGTGACTGAAAGGCTGCTTTTCTTAGAAACGTGTGTGTGAGTGTGTGTGTGTGTGTCTGTGTGTCTGTGTGTCTGTGTGTGTGTGTCTCTGTGTGTCTGTGTGTGTCTGTGTGTGTCTGTGTGTGTCTGTGTGTGTCTGTGTGTGTCTGTGTGTGTCTGTGTGTGTCTGTGTGTCTGTGTGTCTGTGTGTCTGTGTGTCTGTGTGTCTGTGTGTGTCTGTGTGTCTGTGTGTGTCTGTGTGTCTGTGTGTCTGTGTGTCTGTGTGTCTGTGTGTCTGTGTGTCTGTGTGTCTGTGTGTCTCTGTGTCTCTGTGTCTCTGTGTCTCTGTGTCTCTGTGTCTCTGTGTCTCTGTGTCTCTGTGTCTCTGTGTCTGTGTCTGTGTGTCTATGTGCGTCTATGTGCGTCTATGTGCGTCCATGCGTCCCAGCAGGGCTTCCAAGCAATTTGAAGGCATAGTGATCTGGGATCACCCATTGCAACTGAAAGAACCGTTTTCCAGCTTGACATGCTTGGAATAGGACCAAACATGGACCTGCTGGAAGCAGCTCCGGGCCTGCCTGTACTGCCCGGTACCTTAGTGACACTGGCGAGTCCCAAGTGCTTGCAGTTGATTCTTACCGACCTCGCGGGGCTGGTATTTCTTGGCTGCCTCTTCGATCCATTCCCAAAAATGTCAAGTATCTGAATGCGTGTCATGTTTTGGGGCTACACAACTACTTCACAGCACAACTTGTAAACCCTTGTATATCGACAAGGGTTGTTACCCCAGTTTGGGCACCTGAGCACTTCAAAAACCACTGCCGTCGATGCGTTGTGTGAATACGACAGAAGGAACAAGTAGGAAACATTAGGAAAGGATAGGAAACCACCACAATGAATGCCATATACCATAAGACACCATAAGTTGGATGGATGGATGGATGGATGGATGGATGGATGGATGGATGGTTGGATGGGCGGGTGGTTGGTTGGGTTGGGCTTCGCTGCATTGGGCTGGGTTGGGTCGGGTTAGATTGGGTCGGGTTGGGTCGGGTTGGTTGGTAGGTTTAGACTCGGGTTCTGCAATCCTCGGAGATAGAGCAAAAGGGGTGGGCCATTTTGGGAGGAGGCTGGGCAACTGCTCCTTCAGCCATACTCTTCTGACTTGCTTGTGCACGAATGTGTGCACTATCGCTGACAGATAGAATCAAAATAAAGTCGCAAGGCCTGGGATCGCACGTGAGAGGAGTCACTTGGAATCCCCGGAGCTCATCTTCCAAACGCTTTGAGCCTGGAGCTCAAAAGACCAAGACAGCACATGCTCGAACAGAGGTGGCTCGAAACACATCCACGAGTGTGAATCAATCAGGTGGTCTTAAGGGATACATGTATCAATATACATCATGGTTGAAACCTAGGTCCTCCAGTAGAGGTTAGAATAAGTTGGTACCCTTTTTTCTCTAGTCTATTTTAGTAGGGTCCCGAACCCTCCCAACCTAAAAAGTGGGGAAAGGGCACTGGACCTAGAAACAGAAACACAGGTCCCAACCCCAACCCGACCAAGGAGCTGCGAGTCCCAGTTGACTTGCAGCTTCCCTTTTTGCCCGGCTTCCAGGTCCTATCGCGGCGCTAGCTCAGGTCGGGGCTCCCTTTGGCTTGCGCAGCGTGCCACAAGGCAAACCAGTCCAACCGATTCAACTATACAATTAAAGCTGACACATGAACAGGAACGAAAGACAAAAAAGGACAACCACAAACAAACACCTGGATTTTACAAATAGAGATGTATTACACTACCTCCGGGTCGACTGGCCCAGCCTTTAAACACACGGAAGCGATATATGGAGAAACAGATCTGATGGGTTCTCTCCAACTTAAGCCCCTCAAACCAAGCCACGTTCCAATTCAAACCCATTTTGGTTTTTTTTGCCCCACTGGCGATTTGTCTTGCGCTTTCGCTTCGATTTCGCCTCCCTTCAACTTGGAGTTGCGCGAAGCCAGCGAAGCTGGAGGCGTGAAGTGGAAGCTGGAACCTTTTAGAGCCTCACGCCTGGAAGTGGTCGTTCTTTACTAGAGTTTACATAAAGTTGACATATTTTCCTGAGTTTTAGCTTGAAGAGAATTGGCCATTTGGCCCAAGCTCTGCTGCTGTGGGCTTCTGTCCCCCGGTCGAGCGCCCGATTGGGCACTTGAAGATGAAAGAAGACAAACTGCCGATGCCTTCAGCCGAACACCCGGGCTCATATTTGGTGCCAGCCGAAAACTCCCAACATGCAAGTGGACAGAAAGCCTCTTCAAGGAATATAGTCTTCCAAAGAGGACGTATGCTTTTCCATGCGTGCTTTGTGTGGAAACGGGAGGCGGATCAATTTGCTAAAGGCCCATCGTACAGAGATAGATACGAACACACACACACACAATAACTAACACAGACACGCAGAAACACCCACAAATACTCACACAAACACAAGAGACATCACAGGAAGAGACAAACAAACAGGGATAAACACACACACTCACAGACACAGACACACAGACACACAGACACACAGACACACACACACACACACACACACACACACACACACACACACACACACACACACACACACACACACACACACACACACACACACACACACACAACACACAACACACAACACACAACACACAACACACAACACACAACACACAACACACAACACACAACACACAACACACAACACACAACACACAACACACAACACACAACACACAACACACAACACACAACACACACTCACACACACACACACGAACAGCAACACGTCAAGCACATATACACAAACAGACACGCTCTGAAACAAAAAAAACAAACACTCGAGAAAGCACAAGCTGAACAGAACAACACTCGAGGCCGCATCGATGGAAAATCTCATCAGTGCCATGGATCAAACCAAAAAAACACATCCAGTTTAGAAATTGGCGCTTCTCCTGCGTCCAGTTCCATCTGGACTTTTCGGAGGCCTGGCGGAGAACGGGTTTTTTCGACCGAACGGTCCAGCTGCCTGACTGAGCTGTTCAAAATGCAGCGCGCTGGCTAATCCTACATACCTCCGACTTGTTTTTTGTTTTTTTGTTTTTTTTTTAACGCAAAGGAATCCGCTTCTTTTCGTAGCCCAAGGTAAGGAGCCAGGGTTTTTTCTCGGCGCAGAAATAGGTGGGAAAACCCGCAGGGCTGCTTGAAAGAGATGGACGAGGGTTTTTTGGCGCCCCAAAAGGCAAACACGGAGCCTCTTTCAGGGCCCTTGGATTTTTTTAAACACTTTGCTCCAGGGGACCTCTTTGGGCTCTTACAACCTGGCGACTCACCTCCGGCGCGGATTGGTCTGAAAAAGCCCGGACGTTTGTTTCCCACCAAGCTGGTCCGGCGCTGCACATGGAGACTCCCGTGCTTCTGATCTTGGGAAGTCTCGCACCCTGAGACCAGGAAACATGGGGTTACCCGTAGACAACCAGTAATATTGTACCGATAGGCAAAAGAAAAGCTCGTGTCTGCGCAGCGTCCCAGGGGGAGGAGCTACAACCGCCAAAGCGCTTGAACAGCTCTGTGTCCTCCGTGCAAAAAGCGATCGTAAGGAACAACGTGCAGAAGACACCGCATGCAATCAGAGCGAAGCTTTAAGAGCGAGCCAGGGTAAATGTGAGGATGTCTTTCTAAAATGGACCCAGTTCCACCCTTGGACCACCAATATGATGTGGGGACCGCCATCCCTGCCTGCCATCCCGGCCTGACGTTTCTTCACCGCATGGGACTTGCGGCGCTTCTGGCGCCGGCTCTCTCGGTAGGTGCTGCAGGAGTAGTGCAGCGTGCTGGTGGAGTAATTCGCCACCTATCCCGCGAAGGGCGCGAAAACCCCAAGGATTTTGGGGTAAAGGGTGATGAGGCAATTGTGCCATCAGAAATGGCCGAGGTGAACACCTTTGATAAAAATTGGGCAGGGCGTCATGGCTGAGAACCTTGGAGTTGCTCCCCATTTTGGGGGGGGGGAATGAGCAAAGGTAACCCACCTATAGTGGGGTTCCCTCCTTGAAATCGACCTGGGCGTCACCAAAGGCAACAAATTGTTTGATGCCCCATGAGTGAAGAGCATGTGTTGCAAGTAAAACAAAACTGCCTGGGGCAACTTGGGGTAGGCACTGCCACCAAGGCTGCTGCTTGGAGGATGGGCTTGGATGGCCAGGGATTCAATGGCGCATCAGCGACGTGACGCGACATGCAGTTCTTCCCTGCCAGGGTTTTCCTTGCATCCCCTTTCGGAAAAGAAACCACCTCCAAGCGTACCAATGCTGTTTATCGGGGTCCCATGATTTCTCAAGAAAACGGGTCAAGCGAAAAATGATACTGTCAAAATGACATGGTGGTCAGGAGTCAAGGAACGCTCAGTTCAAACTCGGAATGATCCAGCCCCCCAAATTAGCCTCTCAGTTGCGCAAAAGCCATCAACATTAGCATACATATATCGTTGCTTACTGGGCCATCCCCTCCCTAAAATACAAAAAAAACAGAAGCAAATCAAACAAAACAATGGGAAACACAAACGCCGGCGGGCAATGGAACTTTTTGTGAGACTCCTTTCCCAACGTGCTGAGGGTGCATGTTGCTTCCATTCGCCTAGTTACAGGTCCAGCGCCTACGTGCTTTCTCCTACCCTTCCCACCAACATACAACCTCACAGAAGGTGAAAATATCATCTGCCAGTACTTGATCTCTGGTTCCAATAGGAGGCAGGGTGTCAATCCTACTAAAGAAGGCGAGCGCTGGGGGAAGTCAAAGGTGTAAAGCCAATTTACAAACTCCATAAAATCAGGGGAACGCTAGGAAAGTCCACAGTACCTGTCACAAAGTCAATTTTTGGTTTCTGAATCCGAGCCTATCGCTGATGGACCTCTACAGCACTGTGGGTGCTTGATGGATCCTTCCCTGCGGGAGTCGCTCCGAAATCAGCCAAGAGGAAACCGTCCCAAGTGGGTGTCAACCTTAGGTACCCCGTGGCTCATTTGGGTGTGGCTCAAAATTAAACAGGAGGGGTTACGCAGGTGTTGGTCCATGTTTCCACTTACCAGGGTTCCATTTTGGTACCGGTTTTTTGAGCCACAGCCATTTGACCATCACCGCAAGGAACCGGTCTTTTGACACATCTGATAGGCTCATAGACTATCTATCGACTGGTGGGACTCCATGATACTCCATGGGACAAGCCTAGGATGAGACCTCAGGCTTCAATATCCTCCGCCAAGATGCTGGACTACGTTGTTTGATTGAAGGCATTCAATCTGCACATGTTGGGAACCCGACAGTTCTACAATTATTGTGGTTTCTTGTTCCACTTGCAGAGGCCTCCTTCACGTTTGGAGGACGCAGTTCCTGAACAAAAAAAGATAACATTCATCACAGGTGTATTGTGTGTGGCTCACATTCGCACCCAACGTCAGTAAACAAAACCACAGTCAATATCCATCGTGTTCAAAACCGCATTGGGGGAAATTTGTTGACTAACCCGCAATGCGAAATGGGTGTGGCTCAAAAAACCGGAACCAAAATGGAACCTTGGTAAGTGGAAGCATGGACCAAAACCCGCGTAACCCCTCCTGTTTAATTTTGAGCCACAGCCAAATGAACAATTCGAGTGTAGCGCACCCCATGTTTTATCCCGTAAAGATGATCCATCCCGCACGATTCGATCCCAGCGAATCGGTGGTTCCAAGCTCCGCGCCGCGTTTTTGGGCATGGGCCTGAGCTCGAAGATCGTTTGCGGCGGATCCCCAGACCTGGAGTCTCCTTTGCACCAAAAAGTGGGAACCCTCACACTTGAATCTTCGGCATATGAGCTCATTCTGGGGCCAAGGAAAAATTCAGCTGCGATTTGTTTAAGCATCCTGCCTCTGGCATAGGCAAACAAGCTGCTGAAATCGATGAACGAAAGGACACATGCCTTCCAAGCTGCTTTGACCCAGTAGCACAAGACGAGCATCTAACTGAACCTCCACTAATTGCTAGCATCATCTGTTCAATGTGATCATCCCAAGGGAGTTCCTACTTTTGACACACACACAAACATGCCGTGTGAAGGAAACAAGAGCTGATTCCCACTTGCAACTTGCAATGTTTGCCCGTAGCACCCGCGTGGAGAGTTTAACGATCTTGAATGCTGGCAAGCGCCATAAGATGAGAACACAAGTCCGGGAAATTCCAGCATTGCTTGCAACGAATCACATTGACATGACACCGTAACAAACTGAACGCGTTGGTACGGTTTACCAAGTCTACATATGGAATTGCGCATTTTACAGGGTACCCTTTTCAGGTTAGTTTCAAGCCCATTCTGGGGCCTCCCTTACACATGTGTTCCCTGATCCGGACTACCCACATCTACAAAACAACTATGAGCCATCGAACATTTCAGGGCAAACTGCCAGCGAGCTGGGAACTTACCCCCAGAGTGGATGGGTATGGATTTGACTGGCTTGGAGCCTTTTCGCTGGACATCACATAGAGGAATGTCCACAACTTCTGAGGTTCCCTCTCAAAATTCACAGGCATATGTTCCACCCAAACATGGCACCATTTAAGTGTCACAACGAATGGCCGCGCAATGCTTGACCTTAAAGAAAATTGTAAGGAGCCCGTAGGGAGCAAAAGCAAACCCCATAGAATTCCATGCCGGCTGAATGTCCCTGCCCGTTGCCCCGGTTTTGCCCAGTTCCCCCGGTTCCCTCCCCGGTAGAAAACAAATTGCCCAACTGCTCGATTCGGTCGGGGGGCTCGACGATGGGCAGAAACAGCGTCTGGCGCTGGTGCTGCGCCAGACGAGCGTAGGAAGTCAAGTTGCCTGGAGGAAACAACGCCCGGTGTTGGCGTCGGCTAGGAGATTGAAAGCTTTTGCTATCGTTCCATTCTGTGTGTGATTTGGGTTTGTGTTTGCATAGTAATGACTTTGCTTGCCTGAACCCAAAGGACCTGGAGATGTCCCCCTGTGATTCAAGACGGACCCCCTTTTGGTCTTTTGGTTGGTAGCAAGGGAAACCAACAGGCAACCAGCGTTTTAGTGGACCGCTTTCAGAAACAAAAAGCCGGTCGGTATGGCTCGTCAAAAGGGAGTCGGATCTTCGAAACGGACCTGTTTTTTTCTTTTGGAGGTGCAGAAAGGGCCGAGCCTCAGCATCTCTACTCTTGGTATAGCGAAACTCTGACTGTTTTCCAGTAAAAATGAACAGAACCAAAAAAACTAAAAACCCAAAAACAACATGCCAAGAACAGTGAAGTCAGCATGCTGGTTCAATGGGACTTCTTAAGCTTCCTAAAATCCATAGCCAAGGAGTTGGCGATGATCCCTCAGACATGGATATGGTGTCATGTTGGTTGAACAGGGCGCGAGAGGGCTCCCTAGTTTTCCTGAAATGCCAACTGCTTCAGGCCAAGCGCGCTGTATGGTCCAACTATAGTTTTCACACATCACGTTTGGGGGGGGGGGGTTGATAGGGGTTGGGATCCCTACGCCCGGGTGAGTTAATCATAGACTCTATGAGCCAGAGGGGTCGGTGACTCGTACAAAGTGCCAAAGAGTCTTGCGATGTGCCGAAGAAGATCCCAGAGCGGCCCTGCGAGAGCCGCAAGGTCGCCCGGCAGAATTCGTCGAGATTTCAGTGAGCAACCTCGTTCTCAGTCGGGATCCTGCGAATCTCTGAATTCGTGCGTCGGGTCTTTCTTAGCCCAAAGATTTTGATGACCATCTGTGAGCACGGATAGCTACAGTCAAAGATAGTTGCTTCCCCAAGCGGAGAAAGGAAACATTGATAAGTCCCCTGGGTCTTTGCGGGGTCCCCCCATGCCCCTCCCAAATGGCTGTATGGGCGGTGTTGCCGCTTCATCCTACCTGTTGCTATCCACCCCGAAAAGGACCAACGACGCCATTGCAAGACATCTTCCTTGGTGGCCCCTACCAAAAGCTTACCCGAGTAATCATGGTTGACCAGGCTCCAGCAGGGAAGTGGGATATTCCCCATCTCGGCCCACCAGAGTCAACAGAGTACACCACAAATTGATATGTCCATGGGTCCAAATCCCGTACCCCCAGTGAGCATCCCAATCCAACCCCTAAAATAGGCCCTAACATGGGTGGTGAGTCACCTATCCCCACCAAAATGGGATCAAAGCCAAAACGGTTTTGACCACGGCCACATGTCGTCCACCGAACCTCGCCCTTTCCGCCTAGCTGGAAGCCGGGGTGGATGTCCTTCTCCGTGTAGGCCTTGAGCCTCGCGGCCTCAAGCGAAAAAAGACAGAGACCATGCCCCAGCTTTGGCTTCCCCTTTGGGGAGTTCATGGACAAGCAAGCAAAATAAATAACTTGAATAAATAAACAAGCAGCTAAATACATAAGTGATGAAAAGAAGAACTTCGTAAGCCAATATACATATACACATATGTATAGTATATATATATATATATGTAAATATTATATATATATATATTATAACTTAGCACCTGAAGGAAACGCAATGGAGAAGCATGGGGGGAACATGGTGTCACCGGGCTGAAGAATCGTTAACACCGCGTTCCAGGAATTCGCAAATGAGTCGACCAGAGGACCCCCCGTGGTTGCTTGACAATCATTTGGAGCTGCAAGTCTTGATGCACCGCTGTCCCAGAGGGCAATCGCACTGGGTTTGTGGTTTTGTGAGGCTCAGTACCCCTTTTGGCTAGCATATCCACTAGGTCCTCCAGTAGAGAGGATAGAATAAGGGTACCCTTTTTGCTGTAGTCTATTTTAGTAGGGGAACCCTCCCCCACGAAAAGGGTAAAAGGGCACTACTGGGGGACCTAGTCCAGTTCAGCTAAGAGGGATTGCGATGCAGCAGTTCAGGTTCTCTAGTCTTTCTAAACAAGATTGGCTTGATGCAAACCCTTGTCCCCTTGAAGAGCTAACACAAGGTCATCGTTCAACATGCGGCTTGTACGCATCAGGCAAGCTGCCCCACCCTCTGTGGTCCATCTACTCTAACCTTCCACACAGCTGCATGGTGCCCCAGAAAAACATGAACCATGTTCAAAGGAACCGGAAAAGGCACGAAATGACCAGCTGCTGTGCGAACATTGACCAGTTACAACGAAATGTGGAGGTCCAGAAATGCCTTAGCTGAAGGGGCAAGCTCGAAATGTCTGCATTCATCGCTGTGTCGCTTGCGAAGGCCAAATCAAATGCAGGTTGTCAAAACGTCAAAACGGTAAACCCTGGTGGGACTCTCTTGAGAGCTGGCATGCAAGGAAACCAAGGTTCCAGACAAAAGGCATCTTCGTTTGAGCCACATTAAAAACAAAAAAACACATTCAATTTTGGGGTAGATGCCCCATTTGTGTTTCAACGGGTTTTGCCGTGATTTCCTTTGGGGGCGAGGTTTCCTAACATTTCGCGTTTTCCCTGACCTCAGAACACAAGCGAACTGCGCTGAAGCGGTCCTTGTTGGTCTCCCAGTGCAGGTATTTCTGCGGAGCTGGTGGCCGTATCGGAAAGACCCATGAACCAGATCCTTCTTGGTTGTCAAGGGCGCGTTTCTGGGGCGAGCCCCAATCCTAATAGGGATGTTGCGAATCAGAGTTTGGGGGCTAAGAGGGTTCTTTTTGCGCGCTTTTGCTTGGAAGGTCTCCCATGCTTGTGTAAGGCAAGAAAAAAAAAGAAAAAAAAACGCGAAGCATCCCGCGCATGATTTTCTGAACAGCCTAGCGGACTGCCTGCGCGATCGTTTGCCGCACCAGAGTTCCCCCGGAATACTAAGCGGATACTCTGCTCAAATTCCACCCCCCAATACCCCCAAAAAAAACACGCACAAACAAAGAGAATGACGGTCAACCCCCAACCCCCAATCCAATCCTCAAACTTGAGGGAGGGTTGGAACTGAACGTTCCCACAACTCAGATTCGCCAAGTCCGGACTTGACAAACAAACTCATTAGTAGTATGCCATCAATGCCATCAACCTCAATTCACGGGCAGAGGGTGCCGCCTTTCGACCTTTCTGCGTGGCTACAAACTGCATCCAAGGACCTATTCTAGTTTGGCGTTTTTCAACCCTGAGGCGAAGCCGCTCATCCTTGTGCAGCTGCTTTGTAGGCGGAGGCGGTTCGCCGGTTGGGAGCAAGCCTAGAATCACAAACGCGAAGAGCACTCCGTCAATAGAATGGTGTCAAGTCAGGGAAGCCTGAACTTATCACTTGCGTTCAGTCCGAAATGCAACCGAACTCATTTCTCACCAATGACCCTCAACAAGGGGAACCCCAGAATTCACAAAACTTTGCCAGGCTGCGTCATGATTGTGCGTGTCGTTTCAACACTTACAAACTTGGTGGTTTCACTTAGGCTATCCTACTAAATTTAAACCAGCCCAAATCAAGGATAGGCCCAACAAAGACTGCTGTTGCTGTTGCTGTTGGTGCTGCTGCTGGCGCTGCTGCTGCTGTTGTTGTTGCTGTTGTTGCTGTTGCTGCGCCTCTGCTGCTGCTGCTGCTGCTGCTGCTGCTGCTGCTGCTGCTGCTGCTGCTGTTGCTGGTGATGATGATGATGATGATGATGATCATGATGATGATGATGATGATGATGATGATGATGATGATGATGATGATGATGATGATTGTGTTGTTGCTGTGCTGCTGTTGTGGCTTTTGGTGCGCTGCTGCTGCTGTTGTTGTTGATGTTGTTACTGTTACTGTTGCTGTTGCTGCTGTTGCTGTCCCTGTTGCTGTTGCTGTTGTCTCTGTTGCTGCTGCTGTTGTTGCTGTTGCTGCGTCGCTGATGCTGTTGTTGTTGATGTTGATGTTGTTGTTGCGGCTGCGGTTGTGGTTGTTTTTGTTGGTAGTGGTGGCGGTTGTCGTTGTTGTTGTTGGTGGTGGTGGTGGTGGTGCCGACGGTGGTGCTGTTGCTGGTGGTGGTGTTGTCGCTGCTGCCGCTGATGGTGGCGATGGCAATGATAGTGATTATGGTGATGATAACAACTCATGATAGTTGCCGGGGCTTCCCCAAGTGACTCAATATGTCACACTTTGAGGTGAAGATGCTCCTGCGCCCAAGAATCGCTCAAGCTTCCGTGGCCTTGCGGTAACCATCCAGGCGAATCTCTAAGTTTCCCCTACAAGGCGAGCAAGGGCCACCGCATTCCCCTGCCTCCTCCACCACAAGGCACATAGTTCCATCTCACCATGCTTTGGAGCACTCTTTGCAAGCCCCGCGCATCGCTGTAAGGGCAAGCACTTGGTGGATTTTGCTGGGAGGCGGGTAGACGTGCTGGAAACATGTAGGAAGCAAGCCTCAACCTCGAAAGCTTACACCTGCGAGCATGCAAGAATGAGGTCGCAAGTGCAACCTCGGGATTTAAACCTACTGTAAGGAAGCAGAGTCGTGCCCAGCAGGTGCAATCTTTGAAGGTTTACCAACTGCCAAGAGGATGAGATTGCACAAGCTGGCGGGTGTAAAATGAAAAGAAATGGTTCCCCTTCTAGCGATAGAAAGTTGCACTTTGTCGATTCATGATGGCGATGATGATGATGATGATGATGATGATGATGATGATGATGATGATGATGATGATGGTGATGGTGATGGTGATGGTGATGATGATGACAATGATGATGAAGACAACGATGATGAGCATGACAACAATGACGACCATCAGTCGATGATCGTCAAAGGTAGGCAAGTGGTCACTATCATTGAAACACGGCACCTGCCATGTTCTTGCAAGTGTGTTTCACCAACAACAAGGCTGCAGGCCGCTTTGTGCTGCGCCCGGGCGGTTTTTGCCGAATCCGACTACGCCGTGATTCGCCCGGCCTCCATGCCCTCGGGGTCTTGGTTGCCCTCCCAAATGAAGCCAGGCCTCAAGTCCCACGGTCAAAGCTTTCAATCAAAGCTACCTCAGCTTTTGCCCCAACCAACAACTATGCTTCATTAGGGTTCATGTTTCATGGATATGATCATGACTATGTGAATGAACCACTTCTGTCAATGCTTCCAGTCCTGCGTAAGCATACTTATCCAAATACGACAAATAAACAGTTGCCCACGGAAACAAAACCGAAAACGCGTCTGTTGAGCCATGTTCGGGAACAAGCTAGAAGGAAAACACCTCGCAAACTGTTGCACTGGCACAAGTGATGGTGCCACCCAGCGTCGCAAATTCAAGTTTCGCGCAGCAAACACGTTTCAATCCCCAGAGTAATTTCAGAGGCCCAACCGACCGGGGGGTAAACCACGTGAAGCAAGGGCAGCTGGTTTCGTCGACTACACGTGATCTTTCAGGCGCTCAAACCAAACTCGCCTCACAGGACACTCATCGAGTTGTTACATTAACGAAACATCGGCTTGCCAACTTGTAGCACGGTGGTTCGGAGGTTGGGTGGTTTCCCAATTGCTGTCATTTACCCTCTACAAGATCCAGAGGTATCAAAAACCCACTCCACTCATTTAGGAGGACTTTGACATCAACGGCTGGCGCCTCTACCTCCCAAGGTGTAGACGGATGGAAAAACCTGGTTTTTTCATCAGTGCCGGCAGAAGCCCACAGTCAAACATGACGGATCCCCTCATGGATTTCCCATGTAGTAAGTAAGCCCATGCTAGCCTCATGCAGGAGTCGGTAAAATCAAAAAACAAGCTGTTGCCACTAACGCGAACACATTAAGCGTAAAGTCGATCAGGGTGAATACACGCACCAGGCTGAAACAAATGAGCCCCCAAACTTGGTCAGGATTCAATTGCCAGGTTGCCCCCCCTCCCCCCGAAGTCATGTTCCAGAACCTCCACTGGATTTCCATGGGAATGTTGTCTGTAAAGCGCTTTGGCCCAAGAACATTGGAAGCCACCACCTGCAGACGGAAAGCCGCATGCGGGGCGCCGGCGGAAAGCTCAACTGAGATGGCGGAAGTACCACCTCCTGGCACGTCCGAAGCCTTTCCGTTGATCATGTTTCCTTTAAGCGAAAACAGAACCCTGGTATCATGTTTAGAGTGATAGTGTTTCAACCTTCTGGTTGCCCTCGAAATCGGAACAGGGGGGTGGTTTGCCAACAAATTGACATGATCCAATGGGCCTCCCGAGCCCGAACGGCAGGAGGCTGATTTGGAGCCAGCATCACTTTATCCAAAGGTGGCGGCAGGCTTGGCTTTGCGGAAGTAGCCTTGCGGTCTCCGCTTTTGCCTCCACCATGAAAACATCCTCCAGTGCACTCGCTAATGCGGGGGGGGGAGGGGGGGTCTGATTGATAAAGGGGCCCTCCGAACCGTGGGCAGGGTCCGAATTGTGGAAAAGCTGGTTTGGGGTTGAGAACTTTGGGGCAGTTCATTGTTTGACTGCGATTTTTAGTGGGGAACCTGGCAGCATCCTTTGGAGCACCCACTCCGAGCGAGCATGTTGCTTTTCAGGCAAGAGCTTTGCGGGGTAGCGGCCTTGCAAGGCATCATCAGCAGCAGCGTGTGGCAGAGGAGGGGCCATTACTCAGATCCTTTGCAGCAGCAAGGTTTGGGGAGCTTCTGGGGCAGTTTGGGGGGACCTGGGAGAAAATCTGTCCATACTTCCGACCCCCAGTCAAAATTCGCAGATCCCTTTATTCATCGGCGCCCTAAATTTGAGAGCCTCGCCAGTGTTTGGGGAGGGGAAAAATCGTGACTGGGCGGGGGGGCCACCGAAAAAAGGAGATGCCTGATACTTGGTGTTGCCTCAGTATTAGGGGGCCAAACAAAATGTGTGCTTTCCTTTTGGTTTCATTTTACATCTCCCAAAACAAAAGACACGCCCACTTCTGGTGGGTGAAAAGGCGGGGCGAGCTGTCTGTTCAAAACCTGGTTGATCCCGCAGGATTTCACGAGCACAAGGAGACATGTTTGTGTTTGGCGAGACATGGGACACCCTCCCTAATCCCAAAAAGGGGCGTTGCAGTAGCTCATGCTTTTCCCTTGGAACAAGGAGAAGATGCGTTGCCCTTAGTGAACCGTGGCAAACTCAAGAATATACCCATCGCCATGGGAAAACGGGGCACCCCTGAAAATGGGGTGCGTTCTTCTTTGATACAAAGTCCCGGGGGCAAGGGCACCACATACACTCAGAATGACTGCGTGCCGGGGAGCAAACCTGACCACTCAAGTGTCTCAACAAGTTGGACACTCTACATGACCCTACAAGGTTCGTTTCACGTGCGGTTTCTGTTTATAACGGAAAGGAAGTCAACAAATACCCACTCCGAAGGGAAGGTTCATTCTAACCTCCTTCGATGAGGTCCTCAAAAGGCTTCTGAGAATCTTTCCTTTTTGTGTCTTCAGATCCCCCGCTAAAAAAATAACTTTTAGTGGGCTAAATGGGAAACCCCACTAAACACGAAAAAGCTCAAAAGCTAAGGAACCGGATGGCTGGCTTCGCCACCAAGGTAGGGTGGCCCTATTATTTCTTCCCCTTTCAAGATGGGCCCCAAGCCAGTCCAGCAAATGCCAAAAGTTTGCTTCCGACGGGCACAGGGCACCTCCTCCGGCTCCTCCTCTGAGGCTTCAAGCGCCTGAACGGAACAGCGCGCCACCTTTCTCTCGGGGTCTTGGACACAAAACGGCCCAAAGCGCCGTTGAAATGCTAAGTCGGGATGGAGTTGGGATCATTCGTGGCTGTGCCTCGGCAATTCTCCGATTTACAGCACCCGACGTGCCCGGAGGATGTTTAGCTGGACGGGACATGACCAAAATGATCTAGCCACCGCGGCAAGTCCAAAGGTTGTTCTGCTGTTCCAGAGGGTTCTGGATTGACTGCTTTTGATTTGAACAAACAAATGTATGGTCCTCAAATCTGGACCTCTGAATGCCCAATGTCAGATTTCGAGTTTGGGCGCTTTTCTTTGTGATTGACACTCCGGTTGCTCACTGTGCCACAAAGGCTTTGGCATGTGAGACGGTCAAAAGCTTCAGGTTAGCTTCAATTAAGTTTCAATTTGCACCGAAATGCCTCCGACTCGTTTTAATTCATGGCCCTTCACTATGAACTCCTCAGCTGGTATGGCTTTTATTAAAGAAAGGATATCCCTCCGCCATTCAAATGTCATTGTGCTTGGTTGTTGGGCGCCGTTAACGGATCGCAACACAAAGGTAATAGGCCTGCATGCTTTGAATGCGTCACGACACTTGATCTGAGGAATCGTCCTTCGTGATGGGTGAGCTCATTTTACCCCTGGTTCGTGACCTCGCCTGGTATTGGACCGCTTGTTTCAGCCAGTTGGCCCATCTGGTTTTTGTCCTTCCAGTCGCCCATATCAAGTCGGGCATGGCTCCCTGCAGGCCCCAGTGGGCCGCGGCAAACCACGTTTTCTCGCGGAATATCCGTGAGCCTGTGTTTGCCGCCGGCGACGATCCTCAAGCTCCCCGTCCATTCTTAGCTGTCTTGCGAGTGATGGCCCCGCACGCCCGTGGGAACAACTGGCGCTGGTAGGGTCGCCTGGTTGGCGCTCGCGTGATACGCTTGGGCATCGGAGGTCGCAGGTGCGAGCAAGCTCCTAGTCGTATGTGGAAAGGTGGTCGTTTGCGCATCTCCTGAGAACTGGAGAAGTGTAGACCTGGGCGCACTAGGCTTCATCAACATCAATGCGGAAGACCGCGGTGCCACGAGCAAAGAGGGACAAAAAGGGACAAATAGGAACAACGAGCTAGGGTGCTAGGAGCAGAGCCCATGCCATACCGCACATCTCCGACCAGCTCAGCCAGCTGAGGAAGCTACAAGTTTCTGCGAGGCATGATGCCAAAAAACTTCCCCAAAGATCAACCCTGGCACTGGCTGTTTGGCCGCCCTTAAGGCATGGGGTTCATGACGCACAGCACATGTTGCTTTCGGGTGGGAACTCCAGCCCTCGCCTGCGGCAACTCCTCCACGACGTCTGGTCTCTCCTGACCATTTTCTCTCAAGCTCTCGTCCAAGCCAGTGGCTATGGGAAAAAACCGCCCTTCTTTGTAAGGCAGTTGGTTTTGAAGGGCGGGTCGGAATTCTGCGGCGAATCAACTCCGCCAGTAAGCACGATGACACTGCGACAACGAAACAATTGACCCTCTCTCCCTCTCGCACTATAAATATGTAAATGTGTATATATATATATATGCTACGCCCCCCCCAGGTACCCAGGTTTGGGCTTGGTTCAGATGTGCTTTGACCGCGGGAGCAGGCAGAAAGAATCGCTCAGATTTGCACACTGGGAGACCAGAGGAAGGAGGTTTGCCTCATTGAAGAAAGACGCCTTGGACGTGACCCATGCCCTTTTTCAATGGCTCTTCCACACAAAATTCAGTTCAGATATCTTCCCATACAAACCATGCCTTCTTTCAAAGGCTCTTCCACAAATAACTCACATCTTCCCACACAAACCATGCCTTCTTTCAAAGACTCTTCCACAGAAAATTCACACATCTTCTCACCCAACACATGTCTTTTTACATGTTTTCTTTCAATGAAACAAGGGCAGCATATGTGAAAGAGTTGCCAAGGAAAGTGAACCCTGTGTAGAATAACGCCAGGCTATGGCTGGGACAGTTTGTGTTACATACATGGTGGTTTTACATGATATTTACCGTCTTTTGCTGTACTTTTATGAATCACTGTAACCCTGACTCTTCCACAAAGACCCACATATCATCTCACACAAAACATGTCTTTTTCAACAACCCTTGTCTACAGAAAATTCACATATCCTCTCACCCAGAACATGTCTTCTTTCACAAAGGTTCACATATCCTCTCACCAAAACATGCCATTTTTCAAAGGCTCTTCCACAGAAAAAACACATATCTTCCCACACAAACCCCTTCTTTCAAAGACCCCTTCCACAGAATATTCACATATCATCTCACACAAAGCATGTCTTTCCATAACTCTTCTCTACAGACAATTCTTTCATCCTCTCACCCAAAAACACGTCTTCTTGCACGCCCTCTTTCACAAGGAATCACATATCCTCTCACCAATACATGCCTTTTTTTCAAAGGCTCTTCCACAGAAAATTCACATCTTCCCACACAAACCATGCCTTCTTTCAAAGACTCTTCCACAGAAAATTCACACATCCTCTCACCCAACACCTGTCTTTTTGCATGTTTTCTTTCAATGAAACAAGGGCAGCATATGTGAAAGAGTTGCCAAGGAAAGAGAACCCTGTGTAGAATAACGCCAGGCTATGGCTGGGACAGTTTGTGTTACATACATGGTGGTTTTACATGATATTTACCGTCTTTTGCTGTACTGTTATGAGTCACTGTAACCCTGACTCTTTCAAAAAGACCCACATATCATCTCACACAAGACATGTCTTTTTCAAGAACTCTTCTCTACAGAAAATTCACATATCCTCTCACCCAGGACATGTACTTTCACAAAGATTCACATATCCTCTCACCAAAACATGCCATTTTTCAAAGGCTCTTCCACAGAAAAAACACATATCTTCCCACACAAACCCCTTCTTTCAAAGACTCTTCCACAGAATATTCACATATCATCTCACACAAAGCATGTCTTTTCAATAACTCTTCTTTCTCTACAGACAATTCTTTCATCCTCTCACCCAAAAACACGTCTTCTTGCACGCCCTCTTTCACAAGGAATCACATATCCTCTCACCAAACCCATGCGCATTTTCAATGGCTCTTCCACACAAAATTCAATTCCGATATCTTCCCACACAAACCATGCCTTCTTTCAAAGGCTCTTCCACAGATAATTCACATATCTTCCCAAACAAACCATGCCTTCTTTCAAAGACTCTTCCACCGAAAATTCACACATCCTCTCACCCAACACCTGTCTTTTTGCATGTTTTCTTTCAATGAAACAAAGGCAGCATATGTGAAAGAGTTGCCAAGGAACGTGAACCCTGTGTAGAATAAAACCAGGCTATGGCTGGGACAGTTTGTGTTACATACATGGTGGTTTTACATGGTATTTACTGTGTTTTGCTGTACTTTTATGAATCACTGTAACCCTCACTCTTCCACAAAGACCCACATATCATCTCACACAAAACATGTCTTTTTCAATAACTCTTCTCCACAGAAAATTCACATATCCTCTCATGCTCCGCAAATGTTGCGCAATATTTGGAATTTGTTGCGCAACATTTCAACAAACAAAAAACCAAAAAACAAAGAATCCCAGCCATGGTGGGGGCTAGGATTGGTTTTTGGTTTTTGGTGTTTTTCGTTTTTTGTTTTTTCCACAAAATGGCCTGCAGAGAATGCATGAGTTCAATCAAAATACACTGTAAATATCAATGGTTTTGATACACGCTGCAACAATACCTGGGTACTGGGGGGGGGGAGGGTACCATATATTTATATGGTACCCCTCACTGTGATCCACCTTTTCATGGTCCATTTGGCTGCTGCCATGTGAAGGCCATCTTGCGATCCATCCTGAATCCTGGTCTTCAATTCTGAGAGGAGGTACTAGTACCTTGTGGAAGGTACTAGTAGTTTCTGGATTGAAGATTGAAGATTGAAGATTGAAGATTGTTGGGGATTCTTTCAGAGAATCTTCAATCCATCTTCAATCGTGGGAGGAGGTACTAGTATCTCCTCGAAGGTACTAGTACCTCTTGGATTGAAGATTGAAGATTGAAGATTGCCTGAAACTCTTTCGTGGAATCTTCAATCCATCTTCAATCTTGGAAGGTGTCAGACCCAGTTATCGCATGGATTGAAGATTCCCTGAAACAGTTGCAGAGAATCTTCAATCTTCTTCAATCTTCAATCCAGGAGGTACTAGTACCTCCTCCCAAAAATTACGTGTCCCGGCACCTAAGACTTCCTTTCTGCAGCCATTCACTATCAAGGAGTCTTTGATCTCTTCTGTTTTTGCCATGACCATGCGTCCACGGCACGGTACATATTGGGCGGGGAACAGCCCTGAAGCTCATCCAGTCGGGGGAAACTCGGCTGAACAGGACCGCCTGAAGAGCAAGTTGCTGGACCCACAGGAGGGCACGGGATTTGTACCAGCGCAACCAGATCCTGGAGAGGGCCATGTGGGCGGCAGAGTGTGAGATTGAGACCTTGACATATGCCAGAGTGACACTTCGTCTTCGGTTCGTTGTCAGGCTAGATGGACGCCGTGACGAAAAAAAGCGTCGTCTTAGCGGAGCGCAGGGCTGCGTGTGGGGATATAACTTGAGATGCATGCCTGCTTGCAGTGCTGACTTGTAATGAGCTGGGTTTAATAGTCCATGGCAATCTCTTGTTTGTGTTGTTCCATGCGCAAACCCGCATGCGACGCAGCATCTTAGGCCTGGTCAACTGTCTAAGGTGTCGGTCACACATTCTCATCATAGCAATGTCAGGGAGACTATTGGATGATGCCATCTCGGAAGTAGGTGGGAAGCCCTCACCAAGGCGACTCTCCGTCAATGCCCGTGCAGACCCCTCTCCACCAGCCCACCCCCATCCACTGGCGCTCGTTCTTGGAGCATGTCGACCTATGTTCGGCGTGCACCTGGGCATTCCTGAGATAGGGACGGGCGCCGAAACTATCTGCACCCACTTCGAGCAACAGCGGTGGAACACGCTGCCACCCTTGATGCAAGTGCCGGGCGAGAATCTTCCAGAGGATGTCAAGGTGGATATCATCGTAAACAACCTCCAAGATGGAACGATGGATTTCGCGAAGATTACCTGCGCCCTTAAGACTGCTGTGAGGCATGCAAATGGCCGATGCTATGTCCCCCTCTTCCGCAACGGTCCCTGGGCAGTCAGGAAAGGCATCCAGTTCCTTCTAAATAGAGTTGGTGTTCAAGTTCGCTGGTGGTCTCTCTCCAAGCCGTCTCCGACTATCTCACGTTCATCGTCTTCTACATGGAACCCTGACAATGCCGATTTGCAGGCTGGCATTGAGTGGATCAACTCACATGCCCCCGACTGTGACTCCAAGAATGAACAGACATTCTGCATTTTGTCTAGTATTAAAGAGGATGCAGACACGCACATTGCTGGATGTCCTGAATCAAAGGTGAGGATGATGGCTCAGAACGAGTCTAGGCGTCCACAACAAGATTTTCCGCTTACCTTATCCAGCCTAAAGCCCATCCTGTCTAAGGCCATCCTTCCCATCTTGCCGCTCTTGACCAGCTACGGGGTCTTCATGCTGGGATGGCCCGGTGTTGAAGCGCTCATGACTCATGATCATCATGGCAATGCCTATAGGCAGGTATCATGTGCAAAGACTCGGTCTCACGAACCGGGCCGTGTCGAGATTTCCCGCAGACGTGCTGACTGACAAGGACAAGCACCTCTATGGGATGTACAAGAAGGGTGAATGCGAGTACGGGCACAGCTTCGAGGAGGATGCCTGCAAGGAGCAGTTGCCCAGCTCCGTCGCCAGCTCCGGTGGTGCTACCAGCCTCGCCAGATGATGAGCTCGACAGCACATGGGCTGGACATCAAGATGAGAAGGGAAAGATTGTTTTCCCGAAGCCGCTAGCCATTGGAACTTCCACGAAGAACTCACGCAGCGCCAGGCCGTTTCTCTACCCCAACAAGCGCCGTCGCAGCAAGATGCCTCCATCCAGTACTTTGCCTTGGACCCCCCTTGCGGACAATATAGATGTAGACGCGCGCACCGCCCCAACGCCTCCTGGCCAAGAGGCAGACCTGAACAATCTGGATGCAGATGAGCAGGCGAATGAGGAGCTTGCTTGGTTATACATTGCAGAAACTCAGGAAACGCGCGTGACACGCATGACACTGCAACTCAAAAAGCCGTGCGCATGCATGTGGAGCCAGTGACATTGCACTTGTTGCCTCCTCGACTTGCAACAGATTTTGGCTCCGATTCCGGCATGCTGATGTGTGTCACATGGCCCTCACACGTCACCTCGGCCTCGTGCCAAGGCGGTGTCAAACGGACTGCATCCAAGAAGGACCAGGAATACAAGAAGGTGAAGTATGTCCAAGGAGTTCGACAAGTTCCACCTCGAGGTATCCGGAAGGAACATAGCACGTGGAAGCGCACCTTGAAAGAGCTCTTGACAGCGGGGGACAAGAAGATTGTCCAGATCTTGCAGCGGGATGGCATCCTCCCCAACTGCGCCAACAAGCTGCGCCCATGCTGCTGGAAGGGTCGCTTGACAAGATGGCTTCTACCAGTACAGATGCCGTGCCAAAGCTTGCCACAAGTTCGTGTCCTTGCAGCACCTGCACTCCGCCTGGTCTGTGGACATGGCAGTCAGAAGACTTCCTTGCAAATCCAGGATTCCGTGCTCTTCCTCCTGCTTGTCGGTGTCAACCGTCCGGATACCCACCTCATGCGCGGTGTCAACCACAGGGTGCCGGAAACCATGGCAGCTCGACTGGCGGCACGTCGCCAGAAGCTTGTCGAGGAAGATCTTTGGCGGCAAGAAGGGGTGGCAGGATGTGGAAGGACGAGACCACATTCGACAGGGCAGACGTGACCAGAGATGTGACCTACAAGGAGTATGTCAAGCAAGAAGGGAAGCCAATCTTGTGGGAGCAGTGGGGTGGCATGCTTGCTTGTGGACAGTCCGACGGGCACCGGGTCCTGGAGCAATCCGGAAAGTGGACTTCACACAGATGCGCCCAAGAGCTACAAGATGAAAGTGTTCGGAGTACTTCATGATGTAGTGGCCCACTGCAAGAAATTAAAGACAAATAATGCCGGCAAGAAGACATGGCAGAATCCGCGCTACGTGCGTGTCATCCACCACACGCTGCCCGACGGCAAGAAGCTGAGTGTGAAGTCGGGAGCGCAACATGTGGACAGGGCATGGCGTTTCCTCAAGGACCGACTGAAGAAGAATCAGAAGGTCCGTGCCGGCACAAAGCAGACGCGCGCCCGCAGCAGATCCGCCCAGTACGAGTACTGGTTTCGAGGTATGGATCTGTGGTCCAAGACCGGGGAACTGGTCAAATAGGCAATGTCAGCATATGTCCAGAAGTGACAAGAGCATCTCTGGCGGGGAAAAAAAGAGTGCAGTCTGATCTTGTGCCAGTGCCGCGATTGCATGCATGCTGACGACCACACATCATCTGCATATCCTTCGACCTCTCTCGATCTGTCTGCATCTGCAAAAGCCCAAATCTCCTCGTCTGAAGGAGCAAGACACTTGCTCATATGAAGGAGCAACACATCTGCTTATCTGAAGGAGCAAGACACCCTCTTCAAAAAAGCGGATCGCAGTGGGGAGAGGGGGGGAGCATATATATATATATATGTATATATATATATACACATCGCGTATATATATATATACATCATAAGCACAAACAGCGCCCTAATGAATTCAGCGGCGACATGACGATTTTGGCAGCATCATGACGATGTTGGCATCATCATGATGATACCGCGGCTACGAACTTTTGCGCTACACATCAGCAAAGACAGCTTCGCAATGAACTCAGCAGCACCATGATGGCGTTTGCAAACAACATCATGATGATACCACACCGAACCACTGTCTAATCTACGCATAAGCACAAACGTCTTAACGGACCCAGCAGCATCACGATGGTACTACAGCCACGAACGTCTGTGCGCTACATAAACACCGACTGCGTGCTAATCAATCCAGCAGCATCATGATAATGATATTGACAGTGTCATGATGATAAGGCAGCCACGAACAATTCTGCCTATGTATATATATATAGTCACAAACAGCGTCCTACAATCAGTTTGGCAGCATCATGATGATTTTGACAGCATTGTAATGTCCACCTACGATTAGTAAACTACCCCTGAATGAAGCTACACTGTTTCCCAAACCAAAAAAACAACTACCCCTAAACAACGCTAAACTTCCCCCCCCCAAAAAAAAAGAAGAGAAAAAGCAACATGCCCAATACTACTTTAGAATTGGCCCAATTCTAAAGTAGTATTCGAAAACCCAAAAAACAGAGCCCAATACTAAACACATTCTAAACTTGTCCCGACCCTGATTTTTTCCCCCTTAACCCTATTTAGGGGCATTCTGAGGGGGGCCCTATTTATTAATCAGAGGTGGACATTAATGATACCGCGGCCACAAGCCAGCATGGGCTCCACATAAGCACAAGCAGCGTCTGAAAAAGTTCAAAAGCATCAGCACCTTGAACAACACCCACAACGATAGCACCCCGACCAGCACCCGCAAAAGCACCAAGACCAGCACCCACACAACAGCACCCTGACTGCGGCGCCAAACACCGCTGAACTGCTCTCCTACAGGGCAGTGTCTACTTCGGCAAAGTCACTTACGACTTCCACGCACCGCGTGTTTACGAGCCGCTTCAGCCCAAGTAAGTGGGCAAGTTCTAATTGTCAAGTACCAATTAGAACTTGCCCACTACCCACTTATAAACAATTCTGCCCAATCAGAACTTGCGGCTCGTCGCCGGCACACCCTTTCCGGGACGCATCGATTGGCTAGATTGCCAATGTTTTTTACTCTTGCAAACAAACGATGTGTTCCACAAGACATCCAAATGGCCATATATGCACAGTGTCAGTGCAATTGCATCGCTAAACCAAGTTTTAAACAGCACATGCTGCGGTACAAGCAATGCTGGGCACAAATTTCCCACAGTAGCGGAATGGGAGGTTTGGATATTTCACACCTCGGATGGTACCACTAAACTGTCTATCTTTTTTGGGGGGACCCTCCAAATTGGTCGCTTTCCTTTTGGTAACCACCCAACACTAAGACAAACACAGTCAAATGGACCCCAGCAATGCCGTGGATGGACAAAATCCACTTCACACGGGGTGGATGAAGCCCTATAAAATCCGGCTGACAGTATGGTGCAGGATTTTGTCCATCCACAGCATCATTGTGATACTGACTGCTCCAAACTGACAGGTTCAAAAGCGAAAGTAGCGACCTTGGCAAGTTCAATGTGTGCCCTTGCACATCGAGCCTTGTGTATATATATAACATATATATATATATATGATATACGTATACGCAAAATATATCTGGACTACATGTATGTGTATATATATATATACATGAATATCAATATCTACCAGCATTATATATATATTCTATATATATATATGCTGAATTACTCGTGTATTCATTGAATAATGTATGGACTGCTTCGTTTATGTACCCTTCCGTTTGAGTCCTTACCTGTATGCATTAACATGTATACAGTATACATATAGTACAACATGTACAGTACATGCAAACCACGTCCATCCACCGACCAACCCATCGCCTTGGTCCTATCTTTGGAGCCCCCAGCCCGATGGGGGGACTTCCTGTCGTGGCCCTGGCGTTTCGGAATGCTGTAAGTTGGGACTTCTGCCAAGCTTTGGGAGAAAGGGACCCTGCTTCATCCATTTGGCAGGATGGGAGTTGTTGCCACCTCATCGCAGACAAAACCAGATCTATCAGTTCCACAGCAGCCTGAAACGGGCGCGTGTCTGTTTAAACAGGCGGCCTTCATGCCACACGAACTAAGCCTAGGCTTGCGACGACTTTTGTCATTTCTCAGATTCGTATCACCTAAAGATGCCCCAAACCCAGTTCCACAACCATGTCCCGACTCTAAGAATACCATTTGTCGGGTCTGTGAGTCAAAACCATGAACCTCATTTGCTCAAAGTGCCAGTGAGGAATACAGTATTTGCCCGCCGTGATCATATCAAGTCTCAAAGCCAAAAGGGAAGAAGGGTCATCATCTAGAAGGAATGGGAAAACGGTACCCTCTAGGGGGTCGACTTCAAGTGACAGCCCCCTGCCAAGCAACGTTTGGGTCATTCCCTTTGCCCACATGGGATGCGTCGTTGCGTTTTGCGTTTGTTGGCGTCACAGAACCTCCAGCGTTGCCTAAACACACTGAGATTGGGGTGATATGTGCATTGACTTCAAAATGCTTCAGGGGTTTGCTCTGTCGGGTTTCGGGGTTGTTGTTTCCCGGTTTGGGCAGCTTCAAATGGGCAGGGCCCTCCATCATGTTCACTTTCGTGAATCGGGTTCTCCTAAAGATCCTCTCAAAGAAAATCGAGCTGTCAAATCTCTGTAAGCAGAAATATGGGCAGGAATTCTAAAAAGGGACCCTTTGACATCATTTGGGTGGGGGTTCATGTCCAGCAACCACTTTTGAGGTTGTTCCCTATTCAAAATAATAGCCATAATCGTCATGGGGTTCACTTTCCAAGTGCTGCTCGATGGCAAACATGTGGTGGTACACCCCAACTGCTCGCATGTCAAGAACATCGGAGAGATCAACAACATCCATTATTTCAACGGATCCTTTCCAGAAACCTGTCCAAACTCCACAAAAAGGCGGGTGTTTGAAAAGAGCAATGGTTCAGATCACAATGGTTGAAAAGTGAACTCCGGCATTGTCGTCCCACATTTTGGCGAACAGCTCAATTCTTGGGATCTCAAACATCGAGGATCAGCCGCTCGAGAAATGTTCACTTGCAGTATGCCGAAGCCAGTAGAAGTAGAAGGACATGAGTTGAATAGTTAGAGCTCCGCTCACCGAGAGGCTCAAGGTCGCCAATCGGGAAGCAAACAACAAGTAATCAGAATAGCGGCTCAGAAGCATCCTTGGCTTCAGGATGCGTTTTCCCTCTCAAATGGGGGTGAAGGAACTGAAAGCTTCAACTACACCCTAGGGTTCAACCCCCACTAAAGGCATGCTTGACCCAATTTGGATGACAATCCTTAGGTAAACAATGGTGGCCGCATGACCCCCCCTTGTTTCAAATTCTGGTTGGAACCTCAGGGTACCAGCAAATTGCACAGTCACAGCCCATTCCCCGCCTTCCGGCGGTGCTTCGGGGACTCACCTCAGTCAACCGCCGCTCGCGTGCCAGCAGCAGGTCAGCCCCAGGTGCGATTGGGTGGCCCATGTGGCCGCGCCAAAACCCATTTTCTTTTTGGAAGGGGAGGACCTCCGGCGCCCCTGCTTTCCTTTGCTTAAGAATATGTAGGGAATCTTTCATGCATTCGAGATGAGCAAGTGAGGCGCCGAAGAAGTTCTTGGGCCATGTCTACGCACGTGTGTTGTTGAACCAAGGCGTGGAAACAAGTCCGACACACGCAAAGCAACGCCAATAGAAACTGACCTTGCCAAACGAGACACAAATATGTTGGTGCATTCCGTCAGTGAATTAGACATTGCCCACAAGTCACCCCAATTGAGTCGCGTACACAGGCCTAATCACATTTCGGCGGCTGCACACCCGTTCTGTGAATTTTTACATCGCGCAGGTTGACTGAATGTCCCAGCCGTGAGAACAAAAGGTCGCTGGCATGTTGTGTTTGTGATTTTGCCCAATTGCAGACTACCCAATCAAAACAATCTGAAGCACTGATTACAGCTGCGCGAAAGTAGATGGCACTATGCCCCTTTTAGCTCAGTGATCCCCTTGAGCCACATGAAGAAACTGTGTGCACATCGATAGTGTGTTGTTCCGAGACAAGCCCATCCGGAAACTGAGTGGTCCATCAGGCACCATATCCTTCGGAACTTGTGCCTACTTTAGCGGTGTGGTGCCACCGGAGAACTGGTTCAAACCATTCTGACCCCGTCTACGAAAATTGCAGGTGGGCATTGCAGTTTGAATACCCGTACCTCTGCACCGACTGGTCGGCCCTGTGCATTAAACTGGCCAGGCATTTCAAGCGGCCAGCGCTTTTTAAACTGTTTATCCCATCACACAGGCCCTTCCAAGACATGAACGAAGGTCGCAAATGCGTCTGCCCAAATGATCAACTCCTCAACACATTGGATAAATGTTATTGCATGTCGAACTATCCCAGACACTCCAATGTTGGTGCTATTTGCCAACATTTGCGAACATTGGCCTGAGAAGGACCATTGGGGTTTATAAGGCCAATGTTGCTCTGAGAGGCATACATCCAAAATGTTGGTTCGACAAATGCATGTTCGACAATTCTCCTGCGATCTAATCACGCCAAATCAAGCCAAATCACGGTAATACATGAATGTACCCCAAATTTGGCATACATTTGGCCCAAATGTTGCCGCAAATGGCATACATTCAGTCCGACAATCAAGCCACATCACGCCAAGTCACGCCCAATCACACCCGATCACGGCATCCGACAAAGTCATAGCAATGTTGCCAAAATATGCCTATATACCGAATGTTAGTAAATATGACCAACATGGAGTGTGTGGGTATTGATGTCCGTGCTTCTTGTTTTACATGTATGTTTCGGATTCCTGATGTATCACATTATTCCTTGATGTCTTACATCGTGCAAATACAGGAGACTCCAAGAAAAGCACCTTCGCCGTAGTTACTTGAGCTCGTACCCCCAGTTCAGCTGATTGCAAGCAACAGTTGACGCGTCCAACCAATCCCAATTACGTTCTTTTCAGAGGCTTGCCAGAAACCGTCCCAATATTTCATCTTCCAGTTATTTGTCGAGGTTCGCCTGGAATGAAACAACTCCTCACTAAAATCCTACCGTCAAAGGGTGGTCTTGCCCGGCATGACACGTGGAGATCCCATACCCGTGGCCATATGTTTTTTTGCTGGTTGATTTTAGAGGGAAGCCCTTTCCCCAACAAAGGAAGGAGAACACCCCGCCGACGGTTTGGGAGATTGGGGTTCAACCACTTGCAATCGCTTCCACGCTGACCTGAGGCTCCAGGCGTTCGATCTTGGCTGGCTTTGGGCGCCTACGACCTCGAGGCAAATCCGATTTCTGCAAGCTGGACACCTCAGCACGTGTCAAACAGGGATCCGGATGCATTATACACCTGAACATTGCCTTGTAAATGGTGGGGTCCCTTTATTTTGGTGGAAAAAGCCATGTTTCAAATGGGCAAACGGTATCCTTTAAGGAGCCTTGTCAAAGTTTGTCATTTGGTTTTAAAAAGTCCAGGTGGAGGGTGTTTGTTTTCCTTGGCGTCTGAAAGGCAAAGCAAAATGACAACTTGAAACGTCGGATTTTGGTTGGCAATGGGTCGCAACACACTCCCGGTGATGGTCAGTTTGTCGAATGGCCGCAGAAGTCTCGACACGAGGTTGTTGAATGTTCGAGTCTGAAAAGATTTGCACGGCCCTAAAACAACCAACACCCACGCCCGCACATGTTGTGTGGCATTCATTCGTTCTTGTTCTTATCTGTTCGCATATTTATCTTTCAATTAGCGTTCGTTCTACGGAAGTTCCTTCCAAACAACCCTCTCGGTCCATGTCACTTCCTTTGACACCCGTTCTGCCCACCTCCTTGGTCCGCACCTCACCCTCAGTTGCCTGTTGGCGGCTTGGGGGTTTGAAGCCCTGGTGGTGGTAATTAGAAGGAAGCTCAAAACTGCTTCCGAATAGCCTCTTTAGAGACTTAGGCTTGCCTCTCGACGAAAGGATGCCCAAAGCCCATTTTGGGCGGTTTCCACTTTGACCAACAAAAGTGGCGCTGAGCACCACTCTGAGAGTCACACAAGCGGAACGGTGTCAGGTAAAAGGGGTGTCCCTCAGTTGCCCCTCTGAGAGTCCGGACATTGAAGGCAACTGCAGGATCGCAGGCTCTGCAGCACAGGCACCAGTGGCTGAAGCTTCATCTGTAGCCAGCCAGTGCAGGTGGCTTCTCTCCGACGCTGCACCTCATCCTGAAAAGCAAAAGCCCGGGGCAGTAAGGGGAAGACCTAAGGACCTAGCCCTCCGAAAAACCTTCTTGGTTGACAAGGCCGAAAAACAAGGTAGCAACCCCGCGAGGGGGTCGTGGGTTTTACCATTCAACCTTGAAACTTGGGTCGTCAAGCCAATGTTCGCGAAATCAACCGCGGCTATCTTTTTCCCCGAATCCTCCGGTCTTCCGAAACGCATCGCTTTACGAACTCAGTGTAACGAGCGGCTGAGCTTACCATTTGCCAGGTCTGTGCTCAGCGCGCGGATGCACGCTTCAAACCGGGCGTGTGTGTCTGCAGTGCTTTGAGCGGGTGTGTTTGAGAGCTCACTGCCAACCAAAGCCATGGAGGATATGGCTGTGGTTGTCAAAAATGTGTACCCAAAATGGCTTGTCCTGGTGAATGGAAACATGGACGGTTTCACCTGCGGTTGTATTTTGACCCATACCCATATGGAAAAATCACGCCCCCTTGGTTGACACCAAAAGCAACACATCTATGTCTCATGTTGTGTTGATGTCTGGGTCCCCTGGCCTACCCTTTCGGCTCACCCACCAAAGTGAAAAGCCTCCGGCTTCAAATTGGCACACCCCCATATGAAAACCACCAGATTCGGCTCATGGGGTGTGCCTTTCGTGGCGCCCTTTTGGCCCTTTGCAGCGCGGCCCTATTTCCACTCACTCTATTTGTGCCAGATGGCTGTGGGTAAAAGTGCCATGTGTTTGCACCCCCTGAGCGACGAAAAGGTCGGTAGCCCCTTTGAGGAGCTACCGCTGCAATGCCTTATGGCCTTTTCGGCCACAAAGCTCAAAACACATCCGACCAAGGTGACCCTTGATCATCGTGGCCGGCTGGACCTTCGTCACCAGGTCCGCCTCATTCTCCTTCCCATCAACCTTCACCACCGCGACCTCCTTGGCGAAGACCTTGTCCTGCAGCCAAAGAAACCTCGCCTGGATGTGGCGCGTCTTGCCCACACCCTTCCGAAGGCTCATTGCCCGAGCCGCCGTGCTGTCCACCTTCAGCATGACTCTCGTCACCGCGTAGCCCCAGAAGTTGATGACCCCGCGGATGAACTCCGTGCGCGTTGTCGTCCTGCACATGCCGTAGAACTCACCCTCGGCAGAGCTCAGCGCCACCACCTTCTGCCCCGCGGCTCTGATCAGCACCGTGTGATGCCCAATCTTCACCACCGATCCCGTGGTGCTCCTCCTCGTCCTCAGGTCTCCGGCCCAATCCGAATCGGACCAAGCCAGCACGTCCACCTCCTCAGGCCTCTGCTCCAAAAAGGTCCTCTTCATGTACGGGTACTTCAGCAGGTACCGCACCACCTTCTTGAGCCGAAGCCAATCACCCATCTTCGGGTTCTTCATGGCCGACGCCAACGTCCTCGAGGCGTGAATCACATCCGGCCTGTCCTGGCTCAGATAAGCCAGCCTCATAGTCATAGACCTGAACTCACCGGTCTGGGCCTCGTCCAACGTCTCGGAGCGCTCTTCAACAATGATGTCCTGGTCCCGAATCTTGTCCTCCGGGATGTCGCTGCCCTTGGTCTTGGAGTCGAACCCAAACGACCTCATCAGGATCTCCGCGTGCCGCGCATCCGCTTCCACCTCCAAGCGTTTTCCATCCGTTCCATCTGCCACGTACCTGATGAGCCGATTGAGAAAGAACATCTCCTTGCCGTCCAGCTCCCCGTCTCCGACTGTCTTGAGGACGCCATCCATCCAGGTCAGCTGGTCGTCCTCCGCCAGTACCAGAAAGTCGTCTCCGTGCACCAGCCCGATGATGCCTCGCTCCTGGAACTTGAACAGCGCAGGGCACAGCTTGCTGAACTCGCCCTTCTCCTTCTCCATGAGGCCTTGGTAGTCCATCTGGAAGATCTTGCTCGCGTCCTGCGTGCCATACATGCTCCGCAGGAGTCTCCCCACCATCGCCTCCTGATCCTCCGGGTGCACCAAGTCTTCCTGCGGGAGCTCCACAAACAGTTCCCGTTCTGCCTTGCCCATGAAGTGCGCCCGGGAGATGTCCCACACCGCCAGCTTCCTCTTCTTCTTGATGCCCTTCTGCGACATGAACAGGCTCAAGATCATCATGACGCATTCTACAGGCGGCGTTGCGGCGAAGGTGTCTTCTGCGCCTAGTTGTTGATCTGGCCTCTTCGCCTTCTTGATCTCCTTCGTCACCAGCCGACTCCTCACCTTCGGATTCTCCTCATCTCCTTTATTCACATCTAACCACTTCAGTTGAAGTGGCTTCCTCTGCTCGCTCTGCTCGCAGAGCTTCCTCGGAACTCTTTCGTAGACCGCCTCCTTTCGGAGCCAGTCCAACTCCTCAGCTCTCGCCTTTCTCACAAGCTCGGCTGGCAGAACCGTCCCCGACGAGTCGTCCATGAACAGCTCGTCCAACTCTTGGTTCTCCTTCTCCTGGTCCACCCAATCGTCCGGCGAGGCTCCCGTCAGCATCTCCTCCACGCTGTTGATCTGACCTCGTTTCCTCATTTCACTCCGCAGGCCTCTCAGGATGGCCTCCACCAGCTCCACCGGGTAGACTTGGGCTGCCTTCGCACGATCCTTGCCGATGAGGTGAACATGCCGATGGACTTCTCGCCCTTGTAGCACGTTCTCACACACACCCCTCAGCTCCTCCGCAATGCATTCGCTGTTGGTCAGCCACAGCGTCTCCTTTCTCACATGCAACTCCTCACCATGATCGTCTCTCATCTTCATGCCGAAGCGGCACATCGGGCTCTGCACCAGGAAAGAACCCTCTTTCTTTACCATCTCATCTACCTCCGGTTCCTCCCAACTGGATGCCCCTTTCGGGTGCTCGTGCAGGAAGATGCCTCCCTGCTCAGCCTGCTGCTTGCAGCACCTCATCGCTTTCTGCAGCCTCTCTCTCCCTAGCTTCTCCTCTCCGGCAACCACGTCTGCGTCCCTCTTCGGATTCGTGATCCTCCGCAACGGGCTGAAGGTTGTGCAGGGGGGAGAGCTCGTCAGCAGCAGCGGTTTCTCCTCCTTGATCATGTTGCAGACCTTCTTGAAGTCCGCCTCCTTGTCCATGTCCCATCTCGCCGTTCCACACGGCTTCATCTCATCCAAATCCACCGCCACTCCATCTCGCAAGCCAAATCGCTGCAGTTCCAGCGTCACCCTCTTGGGTGAGAATATCTCCACCACATCCAATGCCCCGATGTCCGCAACCAACTCCGCTGCACCGCGGCTGCCAACCTCCTCAGCCAGCATGTTGATCGCTGCGTCTCTCACTGCGCCTCCAGGGCCCGCATCTTCCTCTTCTACCTCCTTGAGCAGATCCTCGATGTCCACGGATCCGCCCTTCCTCTTTGGCGAGGTCTGCCCGTCTCTACTCGAACCAGGCTCCTCCATTGCCGCGGGCTGTTCCCGCTCATCTCTTGCCTCCTTAGATGCGGCCCTCTTCTGTGACCTTCTCTTCTCTTCTGCCTCATCCTCTAGGCGTTGCTTCCTTCTCTTCTCTTGGTCCGCCTCGTCATCATCCTTGATTCTCTTCAGGATCCTCAACCGGCACTCCTCTGAATGCCCAACCTGCTGGGTGCCTCCTATGATGGAGATGCACCCGCCACACCCAGGCGTCTTTCCGTACTTGTTCAACATCTCCCTTCTCACAGGCCAGGCCTTGCCTCTTCCTGGCGTGCCTGGGGCTGGGGTCTCCTCACCTGCCGCGGCGGGTCGCGATTCTGGAGGCTGCTCTAGGGCCTCCTCCGCCCGAGCTGCCCGCACCTCTCCTCCAGGTCCGGGACTACCCCCAATGATCACGACCGGCGGCGCTGGCAGTTGCTCTTGCTGTGGCTTTGGCTGCGGCTCCAGCTCAACGTACTTCTTCACGTCCCAGGGGACTCCTCTCATCCCTTCTTCTACCTTGCCCAAGTACCGACCCGCCTTCATCTTCTCCAGGTCTCCTCGCCGCCCTTTTCCAGCTGGCTTGACCAGGATCTTTTCGCCGAAGAGCGGCATCGGCTTCACCCACTTCTTTCCAGTCCTTCTCTCGTCCGGGGTCCTTCCGTCCTCGCCGACCTTGAACCGATTGATCTGCTCGGCCGCGTACCTGGGAGCCCAGTACGTCAGCGGATGTCCCTGAGGTACTCCACCCTCAAACTTCTTGGCCAGCGTGAGAAGGATGGCCCTGATTCGCCACTTGACCTCCTTGACGGCCACCTCTGCTTGCCCATTGGCTCTTGCATCCCCTTGCGGCGATTCCTCCGGCACCGCTCTGGAAACTCCTCGTGCCTGCTTTGCCGCCTCCATCTTCATCTTCACCAGCGATCTTTCACCATCCGATTTCAGGACCACCTCCCTGTAGCCCAGTATCTCCAGGAACCTTGTCAACGCCTTCTGCGCCGTCAAGTCCACCACTCCTTTCTGGTTGATCGCTGTGGCCATCACCATGCCCGTGTCCCGATCGACCGCCACCAGGTTCGGCTTGGCTCCCTCCTCCTCGCTCATGTAGAAGTAGTCCAAACACACCGTAGGCAGCCGATCTTCTCCATGATCCACTTTCCGATGAACTTGGACCACTCCCCTTGCTTTGATACATTCTTCGCACCAGCTCCTGTAGACCGCGTGCCCGGTCGCTTCATGCTCCTTTCTCTCACGAGCAGACGGATTGGCTGGACTCCAGCCCGGATTCACCGCTCTGGCCTCTACCGACTCCTCAACAGCTTCTCCGGCGCCATCTCCTCCAGGTCTGACCGGAGCCTCGTCCTCCAGCGCCCATACCGTCTCGCTCTTCTTCTTCCAACCGTACTCCTTCCGCCATGGCGGGATGTCGTCTTCTTCCTCCTCAACTCTATCCTCCTCCTTTGCCATGGCCTTAGGTCTGGCTCCCAAGCCTGATGCGGCCGGCACTGGATCCTCGGCGCTTGATGCGGCCTCCGGTGACGAAGACTCCAGCATGGCTACCTCCACCATCTCCGCCACTTCCTCCTTCTCTTCCAACTCCAGGTAGAAGTTGTAGATCCCGTTCTCCTCCACCAAGGGGATAAGCCCCTTGTCATGCTCCTTGAGGGCCCACTCCATCAACTCCTCCATCTGCTCATGGACCGGGTGCGTCTTCGGGATGATCGTTCCTCCTCCGGAGGTCATCCAGGTGCTGTACCCTTTCTGATGTAGCCGACCTGCGCTGATCAGCACCTTGTGGACATCCGTGGCCTGCCCGTTCAGCACCCGTTTGACTCCTCCGGCATCGTACCCTGAGACCTTCACCGGCCCATAGTTCTTGATCAACTCCCCCGAGGCCGTCTTGAAGTAGTTCTCCCTCTCCAGTAGCTTCTCGCTGTACCTCTTGGGAAAGGCCGTGACCGAGGCGCCCGTGTCCAGGTTGCACTTGAGCCACTTCTGGCTGATCCCAGCCGCCTCTCTCTTGGCCCTCATGTTCTTGGCAAGTGGAGACACCGCCCATGGTCGTGCCGTAGAGCTCGTGTTGGACAGGGCACACAGCTCCAGGCCATTCGCCTCTCCTTCCGGCTCCTCCTCCAGGGCTGCGGCATCTTTCTTCTTTCCTTTCTGCTTCCCTTTGGACTTTCCTCCAGCAGCTCCTCCACCAGCCGCCCAACAGTCCTTCTTCATGTGGCCGGTCCGTCCGCAGTTGTTGCATTTGCCGTCAAACTTCTTGTTCTGGCTGGGCCCCATCGGACGTGCTGAAGCCCCTTTTCCTCGGCCCATGCTCTGCGGCTTCGACCAGCAGTCCTTCTTCTTGTGCCCCACCTTGCCGCAGTTGTCGCACTTGCCCTCGAAGCGCTGAGCCTTTCCGGCGCCTTTGCCCTTGCCCTTCACCAGCGATGACAGGCTCCCTGACACCGCCTTGACCAATGAATCCACGTCCATGGGCACCGCCTCGTTCGCGGCGGCTTTGCTGAAGTTGCCCGACACCGTCATCTTGCTCCCCGTCTTGGCCTCCATGAAAGTGACCACCTCCGCCTCCATCTCCTCGAAGGTCTTGAAGCGGCTGTGGTTGAGCAAGAGGTGCGTCTCCAGCTCCCGAGGAACCAATTTTTCTAATGCATTCATGGCGAGGCTGTCGGGCAGGTCCTCGCGCCTCCCGAATTGGTCTTTCTTTTTATTGTAGCGGCCTCTCAAAGACTTCCATCTCTCTAGGGCGTTGCTCAGTGACTCGTACCCCGCTCTGTCGGGGTTCGTGAGGGCTTGGAGCATGATCCTCTTCCGGCCTCCCGTGGCCGGATCATACTTCTTGTGGAGCATCCTCCAGGCCTCCAGCCCATTGCCCCGAGGGGCATTCTCCACCAGGTCGAAGACCACGCCCTCGGTCGTGGCTCTCAGCACGGTGTAGAGCTGCTCGTTGAACTCCAGCACCTCATCCCACTGATCTATGAGATCAGCGCCCGTGCCATAGACCTTGTCGATCTCCTCGGCCACGATGTCTCAGAGCCTGCCGCCCACTCCAGAACCTCCCGGCTCTTGCCGCTGAAGACCCCCGTGACATAGTCCTCCAGCTTCGATGCCCAAACCCGGAACTTCTCCTCGGCATCTTCTCCCAGCGTGTAGGGTTTCCCCAACCCTCTCTGGTCCACCAGGCCTCCACGCTCCTTCTTGCCGAGCTTCGCCAGGGCATCCGGCAAGCTCTGCAGTGCCCTGAGCACCTCCGTCTCCATGCCTCCAGAGCCACTCGCCAGGCCCTGCTCAGTGGCCTGCAGCCTCGCCTGCAGCTGTGCGTTCTCCTGCTGGACCTGGACCAGCTGCTGTTGCACCTGCTGCAGAACTCTCATCACCTCCTCCGCCGTAGTCATCGAGGCAGCCGATGATCACCAGGTGCAGGTCCAGCACCAGGACCACCGCGGTGATCCACCTCCTCCAGCGACCTCCAGTCGCTCGGCCACCCAGGACCAGGGCCCTGCCACCAGCCTGCCGGCCTTTCTCCTCCGGCTCACCCCGGCCCGGCGCAGGCTGACGGTCTCGCCTCTGGCCGATGACCCGGCGTCTGCCCCTGGACTTGTCCAAGGGCTCCGCTACCATGCAGCGCGGCCCTATTTCCACTCACTCTATTTGTGCCAGATGGCTGTGGGTAAAAGTGCCATGTGTTTGCACCCTTGCCTTCAGGGGCTTCGGGTTTTGAGACTTTCCCACTGGACTGGAAGCCATCACTGGAAGCCCACTCGATGGCTTGGGTTGCCTCGGGGGGGGGCCTTCCCAAACTTTTCGTAAGAAGAACCGGGGCGCAAATCCCCACACAATGCGAACCACCAAAGGGCTACTTGAAAGTGCGGAACAGGAAGAACAGGCTGACCTTTCAGCACCATGACTATACACATCGAGTAAGAAACCAAAGTATTCAACCGTCTATCAAGTAAGTGAAATGATCGGCGTACTTGAGTGAAGTCTTTTGACAAACTGCGAACCTTCAAGCAATAAGAATTATATAGGCTTGTCTTGGCAACGCGCTCCTGCAATGCCTCCTGCACAGCTTGTCCCCAATCTGCTGCAGGATCGTCGGGATCGTACATCTCAGCCTCTTCCTCCTCGCGAGTTCAAACTTGGGCCATTCGGGGAGCAAAGGCTTCGTTTGGCGGGAGCGGGGGCTGCGGCGCCCAAAGTGCACGAGCAAAAGCAAGGCAAGGAAGCCAATCACTCCTTCAAAAAGGCTCAAGGAAGCTAAAGGCCGCCGACTCGTTTTGGGAAAAACAAGAGACACACGGTGCAAAAAAACAAATCCTGCACCAGATTTCACTCGCCGTCCCACTGGTGCCCCAGGAAACCAGGCACCCACCAGGCAAGGGGAAGTTGCAAACACAGGCATCAAAGAATTGTATAATATATCACAAGGAAAACAGACATGAAACCGACATGTTGAAAGAGAAAACCCGAAAGGCAAAGAACAAGCAACAAAACCAGCAAGGCTCAATGGCGACCCTGGGTATACAGAAGCCAGGATGAGGCGCTCAGAAGTTCCTTCATTGATGGCTGGAGTGGAAGACTAAGATAGATCACGAACAACGCGTGGTACACATAAGTGCTGGGTATAAGGCACATATGTGTCTGTGTGTGTGTGTGGGTCTGTGTGTCTGTATCTCTGTGTCTGTGTGTCTGCGTGTCTGTGTGTCTGTGTCTCTGTGTCTCTGTGTCTACAGCACACACACACACACACTCATGCGCAGAAAGAACAACACAATCACATATATCCAGACAAGACACACACACACACACACACACCCACAAACACATGGCCACACACACACACACACGTGTCCATCCAATGACCGCCCCCCCCCCCGCCCCCGCTCAAAGAGATGCATATACTGACAAAGCACAAACACAAACACAGTCAGAAACAAACACACACAAACACCCAAACAAATACACAACTAAGAAGGACTCTGCCTGCAAATAGAGCACATTTCTGTGATACACAATTGGCTTGCCTGAGCACTCTGTTGCGAGTGCATGGACAGTCTGCGCACTATGCAACTGTAAGTGGGTTTTATAAGGACAGAAGGACAAAGACGGCAGGTTTGAAGGTTCCTAAATTCCCGGCACAAGAACAAAAGCCGGAAAACATGGATGCTGTGCGAAGAGCAAGTTCCTGAATGCAATGCCGCGATTTCCGGCCTCAAGTGGTCCCATTGGCGCGTGCATACAGTTGGTGTCACGAACTCAAAGTGAACGCCTTGGCCAAACCGCACTTTGCGGGACCAAGACTGAACGCAGATCAGAACTGGGAACACGGAAGGGACAAAAAGTTGGCACTGGACAACAGAGAAGCCATGGTAGGGACCATGCGGCTATGTATCAGGTGCTTCGCACACCCCATCTTAGTGCACTGATTGCTACTGGCAAGTGCCTGATACGCTGGATGTACATCTTCTGTGTGAAGAGTTCTATTCCGAGAACTTGGAACTCCAAGTCGCTGCACCTAAAACTTGACTCGAGATATATTTGAGTGGACCTGGGTAACTCTTAGCCAGAGCCATCGCAACTATCAATATGATATGATCATGACTTGTGTTTTAAAGTACTCCACGACTCAATTCCAACGATTTACCCTGCATCTCGTGCTCACAACCTGGAATCAGGCAGAACAACGAGTTGGGTCGAGTTGGCAAAATTGGTTTAGACTCTGGCCCCTACTGTTGGTTTGAGGACATGAAGGGACCACCCAAAGTACCTTTGAACACCGGGGGGACCTTTCAACCATCAACCTAAACAGGGATACTCTAATGAAATTAATCAGAGCTAGGCCGTACTCTCCTGAAAATCAACATTGTCCGGACACCCAACAACAGGCATTTGTAAGGCAGCTTGGGCTTTTCACACAAGTAGTTGAATCCCAGCTAATCATGTCAAAGGTCCCTGCCCCTTTTCAGGCCTTTCCAGTGCTCTTTGAAGCTCGGGGCATTCTGTCGTATCAAGTCCCAACCCGTTGTGTAGGAATTTCGCTTGGGGCCGTCTCGGGGGTTCCTTCTGTTTCCAGGAAAGTAGATCCAGCCAAAACCCGATTCTCGGGAAGTCTTTCACTCAGTCCTTGCCATAGTTCACGGGCACACAGTTACACCTGGCAGTCAGCGCAGCCGTCGGAAAAAGAAAAGGGAAAAAGAACTGGGCTGCCTTTCCTTGCGAAGCAGTGCAAACTTGTGGCCGATTTGGTTGGATGACATTTGCAGGATGAAACTCGGTTGACGTTGGAAGGGGAGCGAAAATTTAAATTTTAGCAGTTGAGTGGTTGGATTTCCCACTAAACCACCATAAGCAAAAATATAAAATGTTTCCCAACAACAACCATGGAAAGGGTCCATTTTGGGCTGCCCAACTGAGAGAAACCATCCTGAGTCTCCTTGGCCCTTGTGTTTCTATTCGTGTCTTGGACACGCAAATCTGCATTTGTTCAGCCTCAAGCAAATCTGGCAAGAGCCAAGCTCCATGCAAACGCCAAGGAATCAAAAAGGTCGAAACATATCATTAAAAAGCAATGCTTTGCCCAGCCCGATCCAATCCAATGGTTAGCCATAGCTGGGAGACTGCACTGGGATCGACCTGGGGGCCATTCTCTGGCAAAAGAGATCCCAGTAATCTGTATCTGTATCTGTATCTGTATGGCCATCACAACCAAGCGGTGCGCCAGCAATGCACCCCAATGGTTGGCGCCCAGCGAGCCCGTAATGAGTCGGTTGGATTGGACTTCTCTGTGATCAATACTCCTCCGTAAAGACAAAATCACGGCCGGCTGGTACTCAAGGAGTCAAACAAAACCCGGGTAGAACCACAAGAGCTGGCGCAAAAAACTTACATCTCCAGCTCCATGGTCGGAACATAAAAGAGTCCACAACTAAACTTATTTTTTACCCAGCTGGCAGCTGAAATGCAATGACTCTCTTGCGAAAGGTTTGAAGGACAGGAACTGGAAGGTTCGGGAGGCTACCATTGAATGTTCCAACTGCACACTCCAATGGCCACATTACGGGAGTCTGCTCTACGCGACACATTTCCTTGCCGGATCAGGGAAAGTGAGCAGGAACAGCTCGAGCAGTACTGTTCGTGCACCTCTCCGGCACCAAAGCGAAGCATCAATTCAATCATTACATCAGGGTTGGTCTTGGTTTCCCAAAGACAACCCTGGCCTGGTTGCCTCAAGTTTTGCGCCACCCTGTTCCGCACCACTCATCTCGCTAGAGGCATGCCGCGGAAATTGCGACGGATGCATCACCGGAGTCCACGCATCTAGACCATCCACGGGCCACTGTGAAGCTGCTTTCCTGTAGTCCTTTTGGCCTTCCATTGACATAAGGTATCATCCAGAAAGAAGGCCCTCATCATGTGTAAAGTCGCAACATGCCTTTGTAAGGTCGTTATAGTTAGCCCAAACCGATGGGAGGAACGGCAAAAACTACACATGTTCGACAGGGCTCACCAAATGTCCAACATTGCAGCATTTTAGAAAGCACGCTCAAGATTGCCAGGTTCATACACCAGTAATGCTTGGCCCTTCCAAACCGAACTCAGCTTTTGCCCCCAGCCCAAAACACATGTTCAATTCTGGTCCCAGATTTCGTGATAAACCTAAACATGTGGATGTGTATTTTTTGAGGGAACCCTAAATAAGTGGTTTCTCTGTGATTTTTCTTCAAAACCACCCAAACAGGGGTACCCTAAAAGACACCCCCATTGAGTTTCGTAAAATTCCTAAGGACTCACTGGCTCAGTGTGTGGACTCTTTACGACTAAAATGGTCCCAAAAAGTTTAAAGTTCATGAACTCAGGAAGTTCCGCAGAAACCCCCAAAGGGGTTTCGAAGCTTCCTGGCCAAAAAGCCGCTGGCCTCACGTCGAAGGCCAGCAACACTCTGGCCTCAGCCGATCCCGGAAAGATTTGAACCGGCCAGATTCCAGTATGGACATATGTATATGTATATATATATATATATATGTATACATACATATATATATATATATATATGTATGTGTATACAGTGTATACATACATAGGTAATACCGTGGGGGAGGGCGGGGGGAGCGGGAAGTTAGGGGGCTGGACCCTATACTATATATATATATATATATATTTGTATGTGTGTTGTTGAAAAACACATTTTCTAGAGGTGTCCTTTTTGCACACACACACACACCCCAAACAAGGACCAAACCCTCCAACCAAGCAACACCCCTTAGAGGAAACCAGCCATCCAGGGGCATGTGGGTGGGTAGACACCATTGAGTTAGCAAGCCATCATGCTATGATATCTTCTGGAGGCAAGGACCATCGTGTTAGCAAGCCATCCTCCTAAATCCTCAATAGCATGATAGCAATGACTTCTGGAGCCAAGCCATCTGTGAGGACTCCTTGTTTGGGTCCTGCCTGGATGGGGGGGTACCTACAAAGGAATCTCCAGGCAACCTGCGGCAAGCGGCTGAGGCCCCTCGGCCCTTCCCATTGCCCTTGGCGTTTGAGACAACCTATCAATCAAAACCAGCGACCCCTAGCCATGCAACCAACCATCTGAAGGAAGCTGTAGACCTACTTTGTGGGGACCAGTACAAAGCAGGGGCGCACCATGTATCCCTCTTGCCCCACGCTAGCTGGGCCCAAGTGCCAACACGAAGATCATGAGGATGCAAACGAGGATTGCCACCTGGCTCGATAGCTATGGCCATCCCAACTCCAAAACCTGGACGACCGGATATTCTTGGAAATCCAAAGTATTCTGCTCATCGCCTCATCACTGAACTGGGGGGCGAATGACTGTTTGGGCCAATAGAAGCTGTTTCGAAGTGACAGCAACAGACTGTGAGCCAGCTTGTGAACAATTCAATGGAAACTGGTCATACAACCAACAAGCATATTCTCCAGAGAAGGGGGCCCTACAGGCAGCAATCTTCCTCTGCTGCATCTGTTTCACAGCAAGCAACTTCAACAACTTTATCACAGAAGAGTCGCTCACTCCCATGTGTGTGTGTATGTGTGTGTGTATGTGTTTGCTTTCCGGGCAGCCTTTTTGGAGTGATCCAAAAGGAAGGTAAAAGGAAAACCATCCATGTTGGGATTCTATCTCGAGACAGCCCACTATTGCCACACTGAAGGCATCTCCGCTACTTTCAACGGGGCCAGCAGCGAACGGGCACTATGGTCCATTTGGTGCACCAGAGAATTCAGGAGATCCCGACTGCTTATTGGCCACTCACATGCTTCTCCGTGATCTGGAACTCGCGTATCACCCGTCTAATGAATCCCAACAGAACCTGTTCGAGTTCACGAAGCCGTTGCATTGGGTTGCAAAGAAGGGCTCCTTCCTCTAAACTCTCGCCTTGAACCCTGTCCTGGCTTTCTCAAACATAGGCGAAACCAACAGCAAGAAGTGCCAGGTATTGTGTCTGATGTAAATATGCGCGCGCAACAAGCCGAAGAACACCGAACAGCTGGATCAAATAAAGCGTAGAATCGTTTCCTCTTGTAAACGAACTAAGAACTTGTATTACTGATAAGTCCCTATGTGACCAAAGGCCCAAGGGCCCGCGGACCACTGATTTAGGAACTGGGTCAGTTCAAGTCCCATTGAAACATTGAGATAAACATGACGAGTCCCTACGAGTGACGGAAAAATAGGGAAACTTACGACAAACCGGGCGTTTGGTCCTCCTGCGGCCTCTTTGGTCCTGCATTGTCGTCTTTGATCCGGCTCCCCCCCTTTCTGCGAATCGTTCAAAAACGGCTATGTTTGAGAAGGGCTTAAGCCATGCAGCGGGAAGCAAGCAAATATATAGTCAGAATCTCCACTGCTTTCGCAGCGGTTTGGCACTCCATGGCACTTACCCAGCACTGTGCAGAATCGGCAAAGTATTGGTTTAGCCTTGTCGCCACGAGGGAGATGCACTTTTCGCCATCCCCTCTCCATTTGCTTGAAATTGCAGGTCAAAGAAACGCGTTGGAAACACTTGTTTTGAGCAATTCCTTCCCTACCAATCACAATCCGACATTGCACTCCAAAACAAGCAGCGATTGGCCCATGTTGAGGGTGTCCAGTGCTTCACCCAAAACGATGGCACAGTTCAACAAAACGGCTCCCCCCATCACCACCACCCAACACACACAGACACATGCGCACACACACACACACCCGCTTTGTGCTGTTGCAGTATTCCCTACTTGGATGGTCAACCCACTTAGTAAGGCTTTAACCATGCGTGCAAGTGGGATAACTCAGGTTCGCTCCCTTATGACCACGGATGTAAGCTACTAAGAGGGTTGAACATCCAAGTAAGGGAGTGCGAGTTTCTCAAAATGGTGGACCCCCTCTTGGTTGATACGTACAGGGAAACAAAAAGGACGCCAGCCAGTTTAGGGAACCCCTAGTTTGAGAAACACCCGGTGGGTTTGTGCGTGTGCGTCTGCGTGGTGTGTGCGTGGTGTGGGTGTGGTGCGGGTGTGGGTGTGGGTGCTGGTGTGGGTGTGCGTGTGTGTGCGTGTTATAAAGATTATTGAGAGTGCTATTAAGATTAATATGCTCGGTTGCTTTCTGCTCCTGCTGAAAGTGACTAACTTTTAGTGGTTTAATGGAAAACCCATTGGTTGGCAAAAAGTTAAAGTCCTAACCTCCAAGCAAAATGCACCAAAGTATGGATGTTAATGATATCGCGGGTACCAGTGCTTCGGGAGTCCCTTCCGAGGTGTGGCAAAAATCCGGCGGTGCCGCTATGATCACCAGCAAGGAGGTGTCCGGCTCCATGTAGTGCTTTAGGTCTAGCACGTTCTCCCTGTCTGCATCTACCTGCATGAACAATGAATCACAACAGGGGGGCAATACATCTTATGCACCCTTGAACGTGAATGTTAGGTTTTCCCGGTGATGGCCCTGTTCTTCAAAGGGTCGTAGAGACTCCAGGTAACCAAGTACCTGCTCAACCCTGTCAGCGCCGAAGTTGCTTTTTTTGCAGCGCCCGCTTGGCTTCCCTTGCAAGGGGGGCAGTGTCTGGCTTCATCACTACAACTTCGGTCAAACTTTTCCAAGGACAAGGTCTTCTCAGTTGCCCAAAGGACCTGGAACTAAAAGGCTAACCTTTTGGGCCCATGACTAAAAATAGACCAAAAGGGGAAAACCAAAAGGTCAAAAGGTCGGCTTTGAACAACTGAGTCTTGACAGGTTGGAGGCGCGCATCTCGATGGAAACGTCATGGTCCGACAACTACTTCAACACACCTCCAGGACCTCCAAACTTACTTGAATCGAGTCCTCCCAACAAAGCATGCTTTGTGGGGGGGGGGCGGCGTGTGCTTTGGGCCGATCCCCGGAGAGGGGGTGCGTTTGAGCATGTTTAAACCCAAAAGGGAACTCTTGGTGTCCTAAAGATGCCTCCAATCGCGGATCGATTCTTAATCAGCTAATTAGTGCAACGGCTTTCGCAAAATGGTTGGACCGTTGAACCTCAATTTCCATATGAACCGACTATGAACCCCTGGAATAAACCCCTAGCTTCTTGTAATTGGCTTCCCCTACAAGGGATTCGGAGGCCATGAGTTTCTATGCACGGACGTCGGACTTCTAGAGAGGTTTCTTTCAACTCACAAAATGGCTGGCCAATTGGTGGGTGAATGCACCCCACAAAGGCAAATGCTTGGGGCGCGCGAACGGCTACGCCTTCCAGAAGCTTAGTGTAGTGGATGCAAGTGGCAATGGGGCCCTTTGTGATAGCTTTCTAGTTGCTCCGACTAAAGTGGGACTAAAGTGGTTTATCAAAACGATCTTACAAGCCCTAAGGTGTCCTAAACAGCATGATGGTTTGTCTGCAAGCCATGATATTGAGGATAACTCGTCTGAAGAATAGACCTACTTTGATTCGGCAGGATGTTCCTGCCTATGGAATCAGACTTGTCCCTGACTTCAAGCCCAATTGGTCGGCGACGCAAACACGCTTGAGCCTGTTTGGTTTCTTCAAGTTCGCATGCCAACAGGACCTTAGACACATATTTTGGGCATGTGTCAAAATAGGGAAACCCCCCAAAAATGTGGTTTTCCTCGTGATTCCCCTTTAAACCCCCCCCCCCATGGAGACCTTTAACACCTATGCCCACATGAATTCCGAAAAGTGGTGGCCAAAGACTAAGCTCTGCAAGATGTACAAAAGCTCCAAAGCCTGAACAAAAATCCCTAGTAAAGGACATACTGTGTATCATAGTGAGCTCGTTTTATCCCCATGTGAGCTCGCCATACAAGTATGCAAGTAAGCTCCGCACAGTAAAAAGGCATTGCCAGGATCCAGAGTTGCACCTGGCAAAGGCGACTCGGCCTGCTGGCTACTTCAACTCCCCCTTTCCTGTGCCGGATCACCATATGACCGTACGCCGTTTTTTTAGGGCCTGATTTTTGTGTACTGGTGAGGCGCTGTTTCAAAGAGTGCCCTCGCACCAGCATGACTGCTGCACAGGAGCCGTCCCTTTCTAACAGGAAAGTCGGCTTCCAACGCGAGTCTGTGCACCTGTCGTTGTGGCAGAGTATCATAGGGTGTGTCTCCTCGACCTTTTGCGCGTGGGGGGCCATGTGCTACTCTTTGGTACTTTTGCTTGATGGTCTGGTCTTTTGGTTGCAAGTGGTTCGGAGCGCTCGTGTGTGCTCGTGCGGGCTGCTTCTGTGGGTTAAAATTCAAGAAATTTAAATGCATACACGGTAAGCCTCCACACAAATGTCTCCACGCTTCAGTTGAATTTGCGGAAAGTGACGTCCATACCGTCTTCTTGAGCTTTCCGTGCATGGCCGTCTAGGTTCTATGACTTCTGACCAACGCGAACCTTAGCTTTGGGTTCACCATGGAAATCAAGCGTATTAAAAGCAAGCAATGTCCAAATACATTGGACACCATCATCCCAGCAGAAGACTCAGCAGGTTGCTGACAGCTTGGATTGACTTACAAGTGATCACCTCTGTGTTCGTTTTCAACCATGCTGTATTTCTGGAATACCGCTCTGTGGTTCTTTCTCCCTCTCCCTCATTCAAAGGCGGCAAAAAAAAAGGCCCTCTCCCCAGAGGCACACTCTACCTCTCTGATTGTGTAGTAGCATGCAGGAGCACACTGCTTGCTGTACCTGCTGTATCCCAGGGCCGGGGTTTGTAGTTGCTGCGCGCAGGGGGGGGGGGGGGGGAAGGGCTGCGTTCATGACGCCATTGCGGAACATGCATGCTTGAAGGCCTCACACATGAAATTATTGCAGACACCGCACCAAGTCTGAAAGTAGTCGTTGGGGCCCGCCAGCAAAGTTAGGTGGGGCCGTTGTTCTTTTATGTGCGCTGGTCCATATCATATTCCTTCCTATGGCCGACGTGGTCCAAAGCAGCTTCTTGTCCTTGGACTTTACTTCACTGCATAAGTTAGTTCTGGATACAAGCGATGTTGCTCCACTTCTGTGATGCCAGAAAAGCCCACTTGACATACAGTGTTTTCGGGGAATAGACAAAGGCATCACTGGAGTGAGCATGCCCTTTGCGGTGTTTCGAACCATGAACAAACCACTGATACTTCTTTTTGGGTTGCCCCTTCCCCACACAAAGCACAGCAAAAAAGCAGTACGTTGTTGTAACCGGAAGCCCCGAAACCTGCCACGTTTGCTGGGAACGCAGTGCATAGTCAGAAGTTGGAAAGCTTGAAGACATGTTTTTGATGCAGTAGGCCCGCAAAGAGCCCAGGGTTCACGGACACACATGTCCGACTCTCAATTTAAGACTTTTGCAGATCTTTCGTCAGAACAAGGCACTGAATAATGCCAATGAGTTCCTCTCATGTATCATCAAAGTTGCTGAGGCCAAATATATGTTCCAGAAACCACGAAGAACCAGTTTACGCGCACAGGCGACTCATGCGATTGTGGACCTGGCAGGGTTCCTTTGTTCCCTCGAAAAAGGCTTGACCACCAGGTATCTTCACCCCTAGTGGACCTAGTAACCTAGGGTATATAGCTCTATCGATTTTCTTACACATTCACCGCCAGCACCAAAACCTGGGGACGCACTGCATGGGGAAATCTGAGACTTGGCCCCTGTGCAAAGACATGGCTCGTCTTTGGTTCAGGGTAATGTTTTTCGGGTTGGTGTAAAGGGAATCTCCAGGCACACCCCCCCCATTTTTGCATTTTGTTGGGTTGGTATAGAGGTACACCTTAGCAACCACCACTTTAGGGTTCCCCTAGAGACAAACCTGCATGTGCATCCCCATGGATGGCCCATGCCAAGAAAACGTTCCTTGCAACTCAACAGGCAAAGGCAGCCGTCAAGACTGAACACACTTGCTACCAAATGGAGAACCATTTGAGAACACGCAGAACATTTGCAAGGCCAGGTGCTTTTGTTTGCAAACCAGGTATTGACAAATAGACAGTACAAGATTATGAAGGCCACAGTTGTTTCAAAAGTCACCTGTGGCTCATGAAATCACGAACACCGCGCCACTCACTGCAGCACACCTCGCACCGGTCCAGTCGACTTTACCCAGGCTGCCCCAGGTGTCGCAAAAGGTCCTGGGCTGGCAAGCGGAACGGATCTTGCCCATGCCGCCATGAACTCACTTGCAACCAAACCTCCGGGTGATCACCTTTGGGCACGCTTGTTACAGATTGAAAGGTTGATGCCCTTTGGACATAATTTTCACTGGTGATTCGTCTTACCCAGTTGATTAGGTCGGCATTCGAAACAATTCTCCAGCAATGGAAGGCGTTGATGGCATGTCAAGGGTTTCACACCTTTCTATCATCGATATGCCCAAGTCAGGCACAAGTCTTAGACAGCCCATCTTCCAATAGTAGTCAGCTATATGTTTAAGGGAAAATAGTTTGCTCACGACAAAATTGAATATGGAGGTCTCAACAGAACACTCGCCTTCCTGCCACAAGCTCCAGAAACCTCTGCAGCGCATGGCAAGAGTCCGCGCTCTGGTTGCCCCAAAGACTGAAACTCAGGGCTTGGAACAACGGAACTCCTGGAAGCCAACCAAATTCAGCTTCCCTCTAGTGGCTTGGATTGGTGGTTGGCGGCTGGGGTGTTTTCCAAAGAACCAGGTGCCCACCCAGCAAAAACCAAAAAAACATGCCAAGAACAGTGACGCCCCCGCGAAGCTCCCACGCCAGGCGGTGAAGTGTCACTGAGCTTCGGGCTCTGCGGTCTTCCTGACGCGAGAGTTGGATGAACAGGATGTGGGGGAGTTGCGAGGCGAGGAAGACCAAATATATGTGACCCAGAACGGGTACTCTTTCGGAAAGGGTCTGTGACTGTTATGTTTGTTTTGCGAGAGGGGTGGGGGTTTACAAACTCTAAGGCATGATTAGTACCATAATGTGTGTGCGTATCATTATTTAGTGTGTGTAAGTATGTGTGTGTGTGTCTCTATTCAATGCGTGTTCATAATACATAACTACATGTGTATCTAATTAAAGAAATACATATGTCTGTATTATCTGGGCAAGTCTAAGGGAACCAACACGCCGCGATGATAGGATTGCTGAGGTGGTCTTCAGTCTCGAATCCACCCTGAGGGCTGCGAATGAATCAAGAATGTCCGACTAGTTCTGCAAGAGGACATATGTGTATATATATATATATGTGCGTAGCATAATATGACAATAGTGCGCGCAAAAATGAGAAACCACCCACCGGTTCTTGATGGTAGAGGCGGTTCTTGACTTTGCCATGGGCAACTGGTGTGTTACAAGCAACACACTCCAGCTACGGAACCAGTGGAAGTGCAGTGATCAACACGTGCACCCTGTGGAGAATAAGGAGCATCAGACAATATGTATTCCCAGCATGACCTCTTGGAACCGTGAGACGATGTTTGGAAAGACGCTTGCGGGCCTTTTAAAGCGCCAAATGTGAACGGCAATGGAATGTTACCCCTGCTCCGCATGCACATGACACATCTGCTCTTGGGATCACTGGACGAGAATGCCTGTTCATAGTGGGTGATGAATATCATATCATATCTGACAAAAACAAACAAAGTCCCATTTGGTTTGCTTTAGGAGAAACCAAACAATAGAAGTTGCTTAACACCTTGTCAATATCACCTTTCAAGGCAAAACAGATCGACATCAGGCCGAACTGCATTTCGAACTGGGCCCAGTTGGGCAGTCCCTGGATGGAAAGTACTTGCCCATGGGGCCACGGAGAAAAACACACCTTTATGTTGGAGGAGTCTAAAGGAATCCCTACTATACACCAACAAAGAAACATGAAAAATAATAAGTGGCACTGAAGCACCAAAGGAGTTGTCGGGGTTCTTTCTTTGGAACCCTTGGGATGTTCTGCACCACCCGAAAGCGTTGTCTCGATAGGCTTCTGATCGATTGCAGTTTCAGGGATCACGGTTTCAGAAGTTGGGCTCGTTGAAGGCATTCAAGGGGTCTGTGAGTTGACATGTTGATTTGTCAAAACGGACCCCTTTTCTGTTCCTGGTAGGGAAACCAAAGGAAACTTCCCAGAGGCCTATTTTGAGAAATGCTGAATCCCACCCTGTTCCATTCCAAACCAGTGCGTCTTCTGGAAAAATGCGAAATCTTCACATCAGCACCACCCCCCGGTTGTGTCCTTTTGAGGGCACCCTCGAATTGTGGAATCCCCCAAATCAACCCTCTCATCGCTAAAGCGCCATCTTCAAAGTTACCCTCTTTAAATGGTGGCTAGGGAAGTGTCCCGCCAAACAAATCGAGAACCTCTCAACATGCAACCGCAGCTTGGCCTAAATCCGTACACTAAAACAGATTATGGTATGTTTTTGTATTGGGGAACCCTCTTTTAGTTGCCTCAAACTATTTTCCACATATTCTCGAAGGAGATCCATAGGGACCCCGTAGGCCCTACGGCTCACGGCGAGCTTCGAAAGCGACCGGGGCTCCCGGCTGCTCCACTCCGCCGGCCACCAGGCTGCAGCAGTTGGGGACTTGGCCCTGTCGGGGAACCGTTCTCAAATTTTGGTACCTGGCAAAGCTAAACGGAAACCCAACCAATGTGTACAAGAGCGCAACAGTAGCAACCGTGGTTTTTCTTGGGGGCAACCTCGATTTGGTTGGTTTCAAATTGAAGAAGCCCGAGGCGCCATCAACTTGGATGGACCGGGGATTCATAAACCAGGCACCAAACCGGCCACACAAACTAAATTGGCCCAAATTGGCCAGTGGCAGCTGCAGCATCAGTATACAAGCAAGCAATGCGTCATTGCACAGTTCAGTCATGAGTCATGACTCATGTTGTTCGAAGACTGCAATAGACCCAGCGTAAAAACCAAGACGGAATCAGTGTAAATACGGAAAGTCAATGGAATTGCCTTCACGTCGAATCGCACCCCCGATGGAAGCCAGGAGTTGCTGCGCAATGTGGACGACAGTGAGATTAATCTCCAAGTCGTGGCAGGATTTACCAGAGGATCACAGCGATGCCTGCATTCGGCACCTACAACGCCTGCAGAATGGAGCACTGACCCTCATCGGTTGCGTCAATTCAGGTCTCAAAGAGAGCATCTGATCGCCAGTGCACTCATGCTGAGTCTGCTGGATGAAACTAGTCGCGCGAGTTGTGAACGTAGAGGGGAGCAAGCCGGGTGAGTGATCCATACTTGCATGAATAGGGCACGCTGATCCAAGAAGCACCCAGTGGCCCATGACCGTATTCAGCCCATGAGGTCGGAACTCCTTGGTGAGAAGTAACGTAAGCATGCAAGTCAAGATTTCCACACCGGCGGATTTCCACACCGTAGCAGCACTATGAAGAGCGCGCTTTGAACTGTGTGCCGAATTGTGTGGATGGCCTCGAGGGAGGGGCAAGCATCCCAGGTCAAAAAGCATGTTGATCCTCGCTCAGCATAGCTGCAGAATGCAAACTCAGAAGTGTGAAGGGGCACGCTCGCGTGCTTGACAACATGGCACCTGTGTTGGTTCAGGTGGCGATGTCATGGCTGGATTGGTAGGGGGACCAATAGCTAGGTCACCACGTCCTCCTAAGAAAGGAACCTTGACTATGGGTGAAATCACAAAACCCCAATGGTGACGTCTTCACAATTTGCCCAGAGATCTCCCCAGGAGACTCCTCTTGCTTGTGAGATCACCGCCACTCCGGATGGACGCCGGCGCAGCTGCGGTTTTGGTGGGATTTAAAACGTTTTATTACGATTGAAAGGCTTGTGGACGCGTGTACGTTCGTGCGTCTGCAACTACCGCACTCCCGGATGAGCGCCGACGCTGCTCAGGTCGTAATTGTTTTCAAGACGCTTTCTTTCGGACGGGCCCCCCTACTGGGGTGACGTGTGTGCTTAGAAGAGGGTCTCGTCGAGATCTGATTTGTTTTTCAGGAAAGTGCGGCTTCACATAATATTACCACAAAGACTCCGACAACCACCAAAACAGCCAAAAACAAAAATCCGCAAACAAGAAAAACTCTTCAACCAGCCAGCCAGCCAGCCAGCCAGCCAGCCAGCCAGCAGCCAGCCAGCCAGCCAGCCAGCCAGCCAACCCAGCAAGCGCGCAAGCCAGCCAACCCAGCAAGCGCGCAAGCCAGCCAGCAAGCCAGCAAGCCAGCAAGCCAGCAAGCCAGCAAGCCAGCAAGCCAGCAAGCCAGCCAGCAAGCCAGCAAGCAAGCAGGCAGGCAGGCAGGCAGGCAGGCAGGCAGGCAGGCAGGCAGGCAAGCACGCCAGCCAGCCAGCCAGCCAGCCAGCCAGCCAGCCAGCCAGCCAGCCAGCCAGCCAGCCAGCCAGCCAGCCAGCCAGCCAGCCAGCCAGCTGCAAGCAAGCAAGCAAGCAAGCAAGCAAGCAAGCAAGCAAGCAAGCAAGCAAGCAAGCAAGCAAGCAAGCAAGCAAGCAAGCAAGCAAGCAAGCAAGCAAGCAAGCAAGCAAGCAAGCAAGCAAGCAAGCAAGCAAGCAAGCAAGCAAGCAAGCAAGCAAGCAAGCAAGCAAGCAAGCAAGCAAGCAAGCAAGCAAGCAAGCAAGCAAGCAAGCAAGCAAGCAAGCAAGCAAGCAAGCAAGCAAGCAAGCAAGCAAGCAAGCAAGCAAGCAAGCAAGCAGAGCAACACACACCTACGACCATCTGAGCAAATAAGCATATCATCACGTTAGCAACTGTTCACATCCGCACGTGCACATGTTGTGGAATGAGCATGCGAGCAAGTACCAAGGCTACACTGACACACCTCGCAACACATAACACGCGCACCAGCTGAGAACCGGTCTCACTATGTGACATGCTGTAAGCATTTCCTCGTACTGTGAGCTCAGCAATTGCATTTCATGTTCCAGCACAACCAGTGCTGGGGGCGGGAACATGCCGAGTAATTAGTACCTTCAGTAAGCGATAGGTCAGTGATTCTGGTTCTACGCATCGCCAATAAAACGGCTTGAGGGCTTGAGGGCTTCACAGATTGCGCGCCGCCGACTGCTATGCCGTCAAACTGTGGCGACCAAATACGAGAAGTAGCCTTGTTGAGCAGTGTTAAACATTAAGGTACAATCCAATGCCAGCTATACCCAACATATCCTCTCACATGGATTTGAAATCGTGCTTGGCAAGTAACAGCATACAGACATACTCAGCCCAGCTGTGAACACAGACTTGGTGACGACGCCGTACGGACCCCTGCAGAAGGATTCTGAGAGGTTTTGCCGCTTGACCGCCTTTGGGGGAAAAAGGTTTAATTTTGGCAGGTTGCCCGTTCGGCAGAAGAACCCGACCCATGTGAAACCGTGCGCTCCCTCAATTGGCCAAGCAAATGCTCCCCGCCTGGTCGTTGTTGCAGCATCTAAACGGGTCGCCTGCAGTAACCCAAGGGACTACGAGCGAGCGTCCGCTGTGCGCTAGGCAAAAGGGAAACTGCCATAGAGCTTCACCAATTTGGATGCAAACCGTTGCCCGAACAAACTGCCTTTTGAGACACTGCAAGACAAGCAAGTGAGAAATCAGATTTGAACAGGGCCAGATGTCAGGGCTGCTCGGGCGACCTGTTCAGGTGGCTGGCTTCCTCTTGGTTTCCCCTTTCCATCCAGCAGAAACAGCGTGGGCGCCTGGCTTTGAGGGTGCCGAACCAAAAGGAATACCGTCCATGTTTGTGGTCACCTAACAACACACACACACACACACACCCATTTGCAGCAAGTCATTGCCGAGGCTTGTCAGGGCTTATGATAGCCATTTCTTCGTCATAGATGCCCGCACGACATGACAGGATCGTGCCTTCATGTCTTCAGATAGGACTGCGCAGAAGTACAAATCACATGTCTAGAGGAGAGGCAGTGTGCCAACTGTTGAAGTGACCTGAGTGTCCTCCATCGCCAGGTGTCAAATGACAAGCCATTGCCAAAGAGTCAAACACCATTCTGGACAACTTGGGGATTTTCAAATAGTGGTACCGTACCTGGTACTAAAAATGGAGGTGTCCTTTTGGTTTCCCTGTAGGTACCAACCAAAAAGGGGCGCGTTCTCTGCAGCAGAAAGGGTGGCAATTGACAGCAGGTCACTCAGTTCAAGCATTTGTTGCCTAAATGCTAATGCGAGATTGACAGTTCACACACAACCCCTTTGCAAATCTGATCGACGAAATCCCTTTTCCGAAACCTCTATTGCAGAAGAAGTTGAGGCCTACCAAGCCCCAGTCAGAAGGATTCAGACCATACGCTTCAAGTTAAACAAGGTCAATGCTGCGCTTGTTGTATTCCATCCTCAAAGGCTCAAAGAACATTGCAGGGGTTCGCCACAAGTGTTAAAACCACTTGCAGGTTTCAACTCACACAAGTTCCACATTGGTTCCATGCGGGTTCCCTTGTGCAGCACCTAGGTCTTCCTGGGAAATGGTGCACGTTGCAAGGGGAACTTTCTCGGCTCCGCACCGTAGTACCGGGTGTAGACGCCCTCCGCGCCGGTATGCTCCTGAACGCGGAAGGGATTGACAAGCTAGGCTTGGGGATCTTCCTTTCGTTATTGGGTCAACGGGAAACCAAAATGACGGCGTGTCAACGACGGTGGCTTCAGCATATTCAAGAACTTGATGGCGCCAGAAGACGTGGAAAGTCGCGTCGTTCAAATTACCCAGCTCCCATGCTATTTGAAGTCCCAGTGAAGCAAATTATATTATACAGGTGAGTACTGGTTTTTATTCCCTTGCATTGACGCATCAAACCTTCCGCAAAAACTTCCTCGAAGCCTGCGCGGTGTGAAGGGTACCTTCCGCGAGCCTGGTATTTAAAAAGTTAATATAAGCGCTTCCGCGGGCCTTCTGCGAGGGAATTCGTGCGCGCGCTTTGCTGGTCAACGTGCTTGGCAACAACCACCCAAACAAAATCGAACTACTGTGTGCAAATCAACAACGTCCCTTCCGCGAGCTTCCGCGGGAACAAAGCCTTTCGCGAATCCACGAACCTTCCGCGGCTGCAGTGCGGCGCTACCTTTTTTTTGAGATGTCAACATTTATACATGTTTGCTTTAAAAAAAAAGAGAAAAAACAAGAACGCTCATGTACGTGTACGTGTGTGTGTGTGTGTGTTATATCTGTGTGCGGCTCTGTGTGTGTGTGTTTTTCTTTGTCTCTGCGCCTCTGCGTGCCTGCCTGTCTACCTGCCTGTCCGTTTGTGTGGTGCCCCGTGTCCCATCAGCTCTCCCTACCGCTCTCACACTTGAGGTCCGAACCACCGGAAGAGTCCAATCTTGCTTCACCAGGTACCTCGCTGCCGACATGCCACTCAGGTTTGAAAAAGGCAGAGAGGAGAGAGCCCTCGGGCCGATTTGAACGGGACACCACACAAAAATGCAGGGGAACCCAGAGGGAACCGGGAAACCCGCATTCCCGGGGTTCATGTTGAGACCATAGCCGATCCACAACGTGGAACGTAAAACGTGCGTTCCGGAACGTACGTTCAGAACGTGGCCCCTGAAAAAACGCATCCAGGATCCCTGGCTCCAAAATGCACTTTTTTGGGCCCGAGGAAACGCATCCGAGCTTCCTGGATCCAAATGCACTTTGTGGGCCCGGAGAAACGCATCCAAGCTTCCTGGTTTCAATTGCGTTCTTGGAGGTTGGAAAAATGCATCCCAATTCAATGTGGCATCGGGGAACACATCTCCAACATAAAAACCCTATATATCCTAAGCTTGATCCTAAGGCCTCATTGTGAGTTGCAACTGCGTTCTCTGTTGGACAAATGCATCCAAGCTTCCCAGTCCCCTAAAGTAATCAAAAGGGTTGCCTAAATGCGTTCTTTCGGGCTGCCAAAATCCCTGAGGAGTGCCAATCCCTAACGGCCAAGAGAAGGGTTGCCTAAATGTGTTCTTTCGGGCTGCCAAAACGCATCCCTGAGGAGTGCCAATCCCTAACGGCCAAGAGAAGGGTTGCCTAAATGCGTTCTTTCGGGCTGCCAAAACGCATCCCTGAGGAGTGCCAATCCCTAACGGCCAAGAGAAGGGTTGCCTAAATGCGTTCTTTCGGGCTGCCAAAACACATCCCTGAGAAATCCCTGCCAATCCCCTAACAACCAAGAAAAGGATTGCCTAAATGCGCTTTTTCGGGTTGCCAAAACGCATCCCTGAGGAGTCCCTGCCAATCTTCTAGCAACCAAGAAACGGATTTCCTCAATGTGCTTTCGCGGCTTGCCAGAATGCATCCCTGAGGAGTCCCTGCCAATCCCCTAACAACCAAGAAAAGGGTTGCCTAAACACTTTTTTTTTTCTTTTTTTTTCGGGTTGCCGAAACGCATCCGTGAGTCCCTGCCAACCCCCTACAACCAGGTGCCTAAATGCGTTTTTTCGGGTTGCCCAAGCGCATCCCTGAAGAGTCCCTGCCAATCCCTAAACAACCAAGAAAAGGATCCGACGTAGGCTGCTCAAGTGGGTTGCCGAAAAACGCATCTAGCCAAACCGTACGTTCCGGAACGTAAGTTTTTAAAGTTCCGAACGTGAAAGCGTACGTTTTGGAACAGCTAAGGTTGAGACAAGCCCATGTTTCTGGTTGCTTTGAAGTGCAAGACTTTTGGTCGATACGGAGGAAGGGGTCAACAAAGGGAGTGGGGTAGAAGACACTGCCTTCATATCTTCACTGAAGTCTCCATATTCCTACACCGCTGGCCCGGGCTGCTTCATACGCGCAGCTCAGCAAACATAGTACGCCAAATGCCAGTTCGGCTCTTGCAAAAAGTGAAGCTTTTAGTGGGAGGCGCCAAAACACTTCGCCAAACAGTATAAAGGTGTGGCTGGGAACCGCCAAGTTCAGCAAGTGAAGAAGACCAGCACATGCCGTTTGGGACAATGCCGCCTGCTGTCCCCAACAAATCGATGCGACACGCAACGAATACACAATGTCACCCCTCCTTTTGGATTCAAAAAATGAAGGGACCTTCAAAGAGCAGAAACCCTGGTGGAAAATAGAAACCCTTCTAAATCTGAAAAGGAGAAGAATCCCAGGCATGGGCGCACAAGTCGGTGCTTCGCACGGCAACCTGGCAGAGCTGCAGACTTGAGCGGCTATTGGCTGGTCTTTCACTGTTTAAAACGGCTTTGCTTGAACCGGTAATAGAACTAGGTCCTCCAGTAGTAGGGGAACCCTCTCCCAAAAAAGGGTAAAAGGGCACTACTGGAGTACCTAGAGAACCACGTAATACAAATGCCCTTTTGGGGATTTGCCAGCAGGGAAAATAAACGGCAGGCAGCCTCGTTTGGCGAGGTAGGGGGGTGTCCTTGAGCAATGGTTCAATGGTATGGCTCACGTTCCAATGTGGTCTCCAATAGAGGAACCGCCCCCCCCGCACCCAAAAGGAAAGAAAGAAAGAAAGAAAGAATCAAAGAAAGAAAGAAAGAAAGAAAGAAAGAAAGAAAGAAAGAAAGAAAGAAAGAAAGAAACAAACAAACAAACAAACGAGAATGGTTTCCTTTCTGCTTTCGTTTCAACAGGGCTGACCACCACTTCGTTGAAGTTCGGCCCTGCTACGCAAAACATAATGCATCGTGTTCTGCATCTTTCTGGACCCATTAGAGGCCGGAACGCCACGGGGGCTGTGACTGTTCTGCCGCTATCACAGTCGCCCCCAGGCAGCAGGCTGGAGAGAAACAACCCCAGTGTCTGACTCTGGTAACCCACGGAAGCAGTTAAAATAAGACGCTAGTCTGGTAAAAGCCCACCACACATGTAATTACAAACAACTGAGGGTGGTCCAAATTACCTCCGGGCTCCATTGCTTCTTTATCACACCGCTTGCGCATCTTCCGCAAGCGAAACGGCGCCTTCCGCTTCAAAAGCAGAACTGAGCGCAGTGCCCAGAATTGACTCGCCCTTTCCGCACACAAAAGGTTTGGCTTGTGCGGATGTGCTGGTTGTGCGCGCGTGGCTTTGCCGCACCTGGCAGGCCGCGCTTGCTCAAAGGCTTCGCGAAAGTTCGCGGAGTTCGGGAGAGTCCGTGAGGCTGCCTTTGCACACGGCCGAGATGTGTGTTTTTGTTTGTTTTTGTTTTTCCGGTGGATATACAGCAAACAGCTCCTGCAGATTCACAGGGAATTCAAGTCATGGTGAAGCTTAGTCTTCCTAGGCCTTCGCAGCTTTCTGCGGGCTTCACGCTCAATTGGCACCAGGGTTGGGCCAAGTCTCTATTGTAGCACACGTAAAGGTGGGCAGGGTATGCTTCTTCAAACGGTGCTTTACCTGTCGCATTTCCCCTTGGGTTCTTTTAAAGAATGAAGGATTCCCTTAAAGGAAACCATAGGGGGTGGTTTATAGGGTCATTCCCTCATTCCCTGCTGAGAACCAGCAAGGAATCTGCCGGGGCAAACATCATCCCCGGGAAACTACATCAGCTCAAACGGGGATGTTCAAAGGAAAGGCAGTCTGCCCCATGATTTACACAGTCCCCTAGGGAGGCCATTGTTTTCGCATGTGCCTTCTGAAGTCTTTGGCTCCCTTCTCAGCACAATGCATCTTTTCAGTACTATTATTCCTCCGTTCTTGTTGTCTATAATATTGGGAGCATCGGCCTCCAATGCAAAGAACGCATAACACCCCTGCCATGTAGTATTGATCGTAGGTCATTCGAAACTCGACGTCAAAAATACCGCACACGTTGGTAAGTAAGCCTAGGTACGAAATACATTATCTCCAACACAAAACCTATAGTACTAACATGACTGTTCACGCGCTTTGCATAACGTATTGTTGCTTTGAGTGATTCTGTCCGCGGCCGAAAGGAGTTCTCCAAATCCCGTCAACACAAAACCCCATAGGCGCTAAGTAAAGCTGATGTTACTGTTTGGCAAATGGATACCCTCCCACCGACTAAGGTGGAAGTGTACAGACCCCCGTGGAAAAAGACTACTTTCCTCTTGGAAAGGGGGCCTTTTTCCACTTAGATGTTAGTTGGTGGGAGGGGTGTATATATATATATATATACATATACCCCTGTTACTTGGTGGGAGGGGAACATAGCTTCTTGACGCTGGCCCCCAAAACGGCCGGCGAAGGCCCCAGCATGCCCGGCTTTCCGGCCTCCACGAAGCAGCCGCCATTTGCCTGGCGTCCGACGGGACGCAGGGAAATGTCAAGGGCTTGTTCCCACTTACGTATTGTTTCCCACCCAATGGAGACCCTCTGGCTCTTAAACTTGACACATACTCTTGCGCGCCATGCAGAGAAAGCCCGGCACGTATCCCTAGGTCCTCCAGAGGGGGGGTATATGTCCACCACTTTTCAGGATTTCCCTACTGAAATTCATAGCCAGGGTGGAAACGACCTTGATACGTTTGTACTTTGCAGAAGCGAAGGCCAACAATGTGCAGCTTGAGTATCGCACAATGCGTGAAAAGCTTTCTTGCACTTAAACATATGCTGGCAATTCACGCACGTGATACATTAAATTTTGAAACACGTAGTTTAGTGAATTGGTATGATTTTTAATTGGAGGGCCGTTTTTTGCGTCAACCTGTGGGCTGATGTCCACCAAGAATCTTGGAGGGTGGTCCCCAGCCACATTCATACCAAATCCAAGCAGGGCCACACCTGGCCTTCTAGCGCTCAAGTATCATTGATTTATTCCTGAGAAGCTTTCGATGGATGCAAGTGAGTAGCCCCCTCGAAAACGGACAACTTTGTGAATATGAAGACCCATTTCGAGGTGCTTGTGACGTTACAACTGCCAACATGCAGCAACTGGAGTCAAGGTTGCAGGCCCACCCGCCGGTGCCAGGCACACAGCCACAGCCAGGTCCAGCTGCTCTGGACTTTTCCGTTGAGTTACCCTGTTGTGGCAATATTTCGGGGGCGGCTGAAAGGCAGGTGTTCATTTTATGTCGTTTGGGTTTGTCAATGGTTGGTTCTTAGGGAGCTCTACGAGCCGTCCATTCTTCAGCATGGGAGGATGTGGTTGTGGGTAGTGAATTGAGCTGGTACTGCAAGCCCTTGCCCCTTGCGCCTGCATGCAGCTCTGGTTGGTGAAAAGGGTGAGGCTGCAGGTGCCAATCTCAGCAACTTGAAAATCTGAGGCGACGCACCATAGGAGAATAGCATCTCTACCCAAATGTCTGTCATAACTTTGCCAACTGGAATTGTCCAGAAAAGGCTCCTACTTGACACATTCCCATCAGCATGTAAGTATATGCAGGAATACATGTGTAAACAAAACACATATATGGTCATGGGTCAAAATCCCGTACCCCCAGTGAACATCCCAATCCCCACTAAAACAGACTAAATGCACCTACCCCAAAACCCCAAAATGGGATCCCATTGGTTTGGACAACCACAGCATGAGAATAGCAACGATCAACCCCAAACCCTAGGACTGAAGACTCTACCATCGTAAGGCGGAGAGATGTAAGAATGTTTTTGCTGCCAACCTTTTTGGTCGACACAGCTGAACATCCCCCCAAAAGCCTAGAAAAAAACAGCTGTGCCCAATGTGCCAGAAGATTAGACCGTCTGACAATCGGATTTCTTTAGCAAAAACATGCGTTGTTTTCTGAATAAAGTGGCAACGCCTTTGTGTTGGTTGCTACTTCATGCTACGTCTGGCGGCTGTCAATAAACTACCCAAACAAGAGGTGCGACCAAAACCAAAGCGATCATTGGCAGGGTTCCATGTGTATATAATATATACATATATCCTGCCAATCTGGAACTGAGCCTTTGCATAAACTTCAACATGCAGCTGAAAACTGTAGGGAACAGGCATGTTCAATGTGAAAGCATGTGCAGGTCTGACTGGGGGATTGCTCTGGTGGAAGAATAAAACACCTTCTCTTAGAATGACGGCCATGGAATGCGCTGCTACGCCTGAGATTGTCATTGCCCAACATGCACCCAATCCGGAAACTTCTATGGGTACTTTGATGGCTTGCATTTAGTCCCTGTGGCGTTGTGTCTTGAATGGTCTAATCCTTGAAGGTAGCATGTTCAAGCATTGCTCGTATAAACGACCCTGTTCTAGCTTCATGACTATCCTACCAACCGGAGGCAAGTGTGCTTGCATTGTGCATCTGGTGCCGGCCCCGAGGCTGGAAAAATCGCCCCAACAAGCAGTACCCTCAGGACTTGGCCAATTTTCAACCCTGTCACAGCTACGCGCGGTCACCCAACGCCCGGAAACTTCAACAAGTCTTGAAGCTTGAAGTACCAGAAAAACGACTGGCGCAGACTGGAAAGGTCAAGCGGCCCACATGGCCCACCTTCCCCAGGACGTTTTTTTGCGAAAAACGTCCTGTGAGAAATACCCGAAGAGTTGACACCCGCATTGGTTTTGGTGCATGTTTCCACACACGAAAACCACGCCCTCGGGGGATTTCAGCAAAAGCGCACGTTCCAGAAGGAGTGTCTGCCCAAATCCACAACTGCTTCTCCAGTGGCAGTCAACGAGTCAAGCTTTGATGGCTTCAAAATCAAACACAACTCCTAGGTCCAAGCCCGAAGTCAAGCCAAACTTGCGATAGCACGCATGCACAGGGCACAGCTCCGGCCTTCTGAGCAAAACCAAAGCAAACTGTGACTCCGGAATGTCCGGCTCAGACTTCAGGATCTGGTGGCTTTTTGTCACGCCTGTAAGTCAAGCCCTGCTTCACATGGTCCCGGCGCTTGTCGGACACTTCTCACTTCGACCGCTCTTGGCAGTGAGCAAGTGAAAGCAGTTTTTAGATTCGTCTAGCCAAAACGAAGCGTCTTCTGTGCACGTATTTTCTGAACAAGCACGCTTCTGGCCACAAAACGCAGTAACCCCCCCCCTAAACCCACCCAGCCCCCAGAAGACAAAGGGGCGGGCAAGTGACGGGCGCCGGGTGGATATTGAGATTACAACCGGGATTTACTGTACTGGTTTTCGTGATTCTTCGTCAAGGGCAAAAATCTCTCAGATGGTCCCAAACGTTGACCCAGAACAAAAAACACTGCCACACCCACACACAATATTCGGTCTTGACCCGAACATTTCCGCCCCAAAGCTGAAAAAGAAAAACAACGAGGCCGCGGCCGTCCATCCGCGCGTGGCTTCGGTGACCTGCCACGCCTCGACTGAGCCGCCCTGTCTGCAAGGGAAATCCCCAATCCTCGCAAAAAATCCGAAAATGACTCCCTGAAAGCGGCATTGACATCAATACAAGGACCCCAAAACTCAGCTCAAACATCAAGACATGTTATTGCCTTGGGATTCCCGAGAATGCTTCCCCCGCAAATGAACAGCTGTGATCCATTCATGACACCTTCGCGTGCCTCCAAATTGCTCTGCCCGGACCCTTTTGACGGTGGACATGGGAACCAACCATCGAAGCGGTGCTTTCAAATAAGGCTTGGATTCCCAGAATGACATGGAAAGGCCACCAACATTTGTGGTGGCCGATTGTTAAGAAACACAAAGTGAGTCTGCTATGGATTCCTGGGGAAATCCCTTGCGGCATCTTGTAGCTGCAAGAAAAACCCGAGAAAGGGTTGACCTTGCAAAGTTGACTGTCATCCCCATAGCTGGATTGGCTGCCTACAAGATGCGGCCATTCGAACGGCCGCCTGCAATCCGCCGAAAGCTCTAGTTCCACCCTTCCAACAGAGCCTCCTCTTTTGTTTTATATAAACGATCTCAGGGGGGCATGAAGAGGTTCTAACAAATCAGGCTCCAGTTTGCAAAGGACAATCATGTGTGTAGCATCCCAGAACCTATTGGTAGAACTCATTTAGACTCACCCAACGATCCCTGAAAGAAACAGTGCACCATTGGGCCACCTACGAGGATCGCGCAATTTGCTTAGGGCATCCCTGGCGATTAGACTCGCTGTGGGCCGTGCAACTCGCAAAGGGATCGCACTTTCAAAGGATCCGTTGCTTCTTTGGCGAGGAGCTGGGGTTCATGTTGCTTTTCAATCTCTGTAGATCATACTTCAATATTGCATAAATGGGTACGGCAATGCACATCTTCACAAAGCCCGGCCAAAAACAAAAAAACAGGCCAACCAATTCAAAAGCAGGCTTCACTTTCAACCTGCTACGTCAAAAATGAACAGGATAAGGAACTTGCAACATGCACTTAATGGCCCGCACAGGTGAGGGAGCCTCAGGAACCACTCTAAACCTGGGGCCCCAGCGAGTAATCCGACGAAGAGAAAAATCAAAGCCACATCGCAACCTGGCAAGTCCATCAACAGCCTTTTGGATGGCTTGAAAGGAAAACCAGACGAAAACCACCCATGGGGGGTTCCCGAACTTGTGAGACAAACCCTTGACAGTCAAGCGCGAATCCAGCGCGGCATGTTCAGAGGACCCTGGGCTCTTTTTGGATGGTGCCAAAGTGAGGCCTCATCCTGAGCATATCATACATTGACAGTGACACATGGGTATGTGTTAAAATACCGGGCGGGGGGGGGGGGCGCCAAAATGAGGTTGTGCTGTTGGCTTCCTTGCAACCTCAAGAAACACACGACTGGGATCCAAAATATGATCCTGACCCTGCAATACATCCCTGCGACTGGCAAAACTCTCGAGCGCTACATGGCACACATATTCACAAACAACCACAATCATAGTCACAATCATACTCACAAACAAACAAACATACAAACGGACAGACAAAGCCAGCTAGCAGAGCACGCAAACAAGCAGGCTGGCAGAAAGATAGACAAAACAGACATACAAGCACATATGCTTTCTCACACACACACACACACTCGTCACTAGGCTAAACATATTTACATCCATAAAGCACGGCAAATAGAACATACACACACACACACAATAACACGCAAACTTGGGATGCCTCAAGCTCGTACGGAGTCGTGACCCCTCTGTTTGTGCGCCTCTTTGAGGACCACACACACAGACATCGGGCGGGTTTCTTGGGGACATCCCCTTTGGAAATCGTGTCATTTCCCTTTGCAGCCGTATCAATGAGCACATGAAACATATGCCCAAAGAAATCCACCCGACCAGAAAACACTCAGAGAAACACATCCAAAGGACGATTGGCAGATCGGCAGATCGGCGACAACCACACAGCGCAGCAATCAGCCTGCCAGGCTTCCAGTTTCTCTAGGCCGACCGTATGGGAAAGCAACACATTGGCCTGGAAAGACCTCATACTTTATACTGGGCTGTCCTCAGATCTGCTAATAGTTTTTTGACTAGTGGGTTCAATGGAAAGCCCAGCAAACCCTAAAAACCTAAAAGCCGAAGAAGGACGGCTGGGACCGCCAAGTATTTTGCTAACAATGCCTCACATACGTATTCATATGTCCATACAAACGTTCATGTTGGTAAACTTACTAAACAACCCCACCTTGACAGTCCCCTTGCTTGCAAACAGGAGGACAAACAACTTCCCTTCCTGAAGCAATCTCGTATAGTCAAGTATATCAAGTTTAGCATGGGAGCAACTATTTGGGAGGCATTAAGGAGGGGTAGCGCCAAATCAGGGGCATTTACTCGTACCGTGTCCGCAAGCCCGCTAGAAGCAATCTGAAATAACTGAGCCCAAGAGCCTACTATCCATTGGTTAGGAAGGATCAAACAGTACTAGCCAACTGGAAACTACCATGTTAGGTGGGATGCATAAAGCAGCTTCTGGCAAACGGGCTAATCAATCAATTGTCCACTGGCACGAGCATGGTACAATCACAGTATCCTACATCCCTTGCGTTTCATCCAAGGTCTCCAACTATAGCTCCGGCCAATTGGCTCCTCCCTCCGCCTTTTTCAGCATTTGCTAGCAACCAATGCCCCAAGGCCTCTCATCACTCCGCTTCACTCCGCTCCGCTTCGCCCTTCGCTCCGCCCCCCAACTTGCGCACTTACAGCACATGGCGCCTGCGGCCGCGTAGAAATACATCTTCTTGTCGCGCTTCTTCCGCTTGGCCTTGGGAGCCTGCGGGCTGAACCAGCTTGAGCCGAGGGGAAATGCGGGAAATGAGCTGCGTCCTCTCTCGTTGCAAATGTCTGTCGAAATTCTTCAGTCCGATGAAAGACTAGGTGTTCAAATGCGTAGCGCGAAGGACACAGGCATGTTCTGGCTCCGCGACTTGTCTCTGCCGGCACTGGGCTTGGCACTTGATAGAGGGCAGGGATAGGAACACATCTGTGGAGGCTGTCAGGGAAAAGAGGCATCTGTGGGTTGGAGTTCAATACACAGCCACCAAACACAAAGGGAAGACATAACCGAGAAAAGAAGTCCCAGCTTGTCACCTCGGAAACAGCAATGGTGGCACATGATTAGAACCAAGCAGAAACCCGTATGTTCAAGCTTCAACCAAACCCGAAACCTAACAGCTGCCCACTGGCCCAGACAAGGGGAACCCTTTTTGGGTCTACCACTTTCACCGGGGCGGGACCCTATAGAGGAAAGGAATGCACTGAGCAACTGGGCGCCATCTACCGCCAACCTTCAACCGAACTGACCCAGCAATTTGCTTTCTACTTCCAACCTTCAACCAAAACAAAAATTGACACCGGCTCATCTTCTGGGCGTTGTCGTGTCCTGGGAGTTCGGTTGAAATCGTTTCGAAATTTTCGGAAACGTGTCCGCCTGCACCGCGAGAGCCATGAGCTCTTCTGCTTGGGAGGCCTTGGGGATGGAGCATCCCGCCTGCCTCGCGGGGAGAATGCGGACTGGGAAGCTTTGCTCAGATGACCAGTGGATTTCCATAGGCAAAAAAGGGCATCCCTTTTTTTTGGTTGGCTGACTTTAAAGGGAACCCCTTTTCCAAAAAAAGGAAAAAAGGGCACCACTGGGCAACTGGGTTCGGTAGGGATGGGGTGAAATCTCAAGTCAGCTCTTGAAGCAAACTTCAAGACTTAGGGATGACTTGGGGATTTCAGAATAATGAGGGAACCAACGGGACACCCAAGGGCGAACCAGCGCGGTGTCCAGCTGGACCTCTTGGCAGCAACATGTTTGTTTCATCGTGTCCATCACACATTTTGAGAGTTCCCCATTAAAATGCGGAGCCAAAGTGGGGTGTGGAGTGTTTGGAATAGTCCAGGGTCAGATAATGAACCTGTGCCCAAAAAAAGGATATATGAAACACAAGTGGGCGCCGGGAAGGTGCGACTCGCCAGAGTCGACAAAACATTGGAACATTAAAAGGTCCCCTAGGTTCTGTGGAAAGTTTAGTAGGTCCCCCGCAAAAAATTGGACCAACCTGATTCGAACTTGTACCTTAGATGCTTACTACTTGAAGCCATTGGTTTGCCATGGAAACAAACACGTATTTGAGAACCTCATCAAGCAAAGGGACATGAAGCATACGCAACATGCGGGAACCGACGCAATGCACAAGCCCAATTACGTTTTGAACAGGCCCAAGTCGCCGAATGTATTGAGCCAGGGATGTAAAAATGAAGATCCGACAGTATTACGTCTCTTTTACCAGCACCATCACAGAAAAGGGGATCCAGTGATTCAAAGGCTGACTCTGTCCCAAAGTTTGTGAGCAACCCCTTTTGGATCGGATTTATGATGACTGGGCTACCCTGATCCACTTTGGAGTTTGCTCTGATCCCCTGCTTAGAGATGCTTCCCAGATTGAAATGTCAAAAGGAAACAAACGGAACTAGCCATTTTGCGTCATCTCATGTGTGTTTCTCTCAAAAATACGGGAACCCTGCCAAAAAGGTGCAGGTTTTTTTTTGGTCTCCCTCTAAAACCCGGAAAAAAAGTTTGCCATCTCAAAAAAGAAGAACCACGAGACACGCCCATATTTCGGTGTCCGAGTCTCTCGCTCTCTCTCTCTCGCTCTCTCGGGCCTTAGGAGCTCGAAGGGGCTTTCAAACTTGCCCAGGGCCTGGCGCTCTCCCGGCGTCCGCTCGCTTCCAAATCCGCACACGTGGCTGCGGCGCATTTTCAAAAAACAAAAAACCGGAAGTCCAAAATGGGTTGGAACCCGATCGGTAAGTGGAATGGACTTCAAAACCCTGCGGTTTGGTAACCCCTCCGATCGTGGAATATTAGAGCCACAGCCACATTGAAGAGAACATGCGCCCTGGATGGATTCGGTGGGAGCATCTCTTGAACTTTGCGGTGGGGAGGGTTGGGTTGCTAGAATTCAACACGCGCACAAGGTGCAGGACACCAACCAGTCGCGGAAACTTGGAGTCCTTCAAAACTCAACGTTTGCAACCAACATGTCCGCACAGCGTCGAACATCAAGCCACCTGTTGTGGGCCCCATCTGTGTGATCAAGTGTCATCTTAAGCTAACAAAGTCTTGGAATCTGTGGAGCATGGCATTGCTTACCTCAACATGGTTCCAGATGAAGATGAAGTGATCAACAAACACCTCAATGGTCTATCAAAGCCGCGACACGCGTCCACTGTGTCATGTTCATTCCCTTTATGTCCTGGCAGGACCTCAACTGCTTGGAAGCCCTGTTCGTCGGGTCCAGGGTCGACAGGCAAGTCCTTCCCATCTCCCTTGAGCGACTCTAAATAGCAAACTTTGGCGTGCTACAAACTATGAAAGCCCGTAAAACACTACAACCACGAGGCTTCACGAAGTGGCTTGGCCTGTGTCAACTTTACAGGGCTACGAAAAAGCCTTCGCGGGGCTTTGCGGCAACAATGTGTTACACAGTGCATTCGCGGACCTTGTGGGAGTTCCCGGCGAAGCTTTCATCTGATTTCTGTGTCAGGCTGTCCAAGAAGTTGACCTTGTATTTCCAGTTGAGTAGCGTTGTTGTTTGTCGGAAACCAAGACCGAACACCAAGCCGTGCTACAATTTCCACATCTCCAAAGCCTGAATAAGCATAATAAACAAATCTCCAAGTACAGCCCGCTCAGCTTCGTGATCCCCCCGGGGAAAAAAAAAAAAAAAAAACACGACATGTCGGGCGGACGTTCAGGATGGACTCGTCATCTGCGCGCTTGGACACTTGCAGCGCCCGGATCACCTCGGGCTTGGAAGTTTTAGCCCAAGATGGGACCCCGGGAAGTGGAAACATAGACTACCCAGATGGGTGTGGCTCAAAATTAAACAGGGGGGGTTACGCAGGTTTTGGTCCAGGTTTCCACTTACCAGGGTTCCATTTTGGTACCGGTTTTTTGAGCCACAGCCAGATGGTTCTAGATGGTGTTGGGTGGGCTGATGTTAAATGGAAGCCATCCAAGAATCCACTGGTGGCAACTGTTGCAACTGGGAACCACAAGCGGTCCAAACCAAGAAGAGGTCGGCAGAATGCGCTTTTTCGACCCAGTATTGGTCCCGTTTTAGAGGGCAACCACTTGAGGGTATGATAGGCTACGACGTCAGTTTCCCTTTAAACCCACCAACAAAAAGTGTTCCCTCAAAAAAAAGATACCCATTTGGAGGTCGGTGATTCTTTAAACGGTTCAAGCCACGTTCAAACAACAGCCGAATCCGCTGGCTCGAGACAAGGCTGCACTGGTCCAGCCGTTGGTTTGTGAGCTCAGCAAAACAAACCATCCTGTCCAGACAATGTCACTCCAAATGAGGGGTGAAGCTCCAAGATGTGCGAGGTCTTTTTGATTTCTTTTCGAAGAACCACCAAAAGAGGGATACGCTTCAAAAACAGACACCTGCCTGAAGTTTCCAGAAATGTTCAACACTCCGGGCACTGAATCCCAGGCGTTTCGCCACATGTTGATTCGTGGTGGTTCGCAACAATAGTGGTAAATATGTTGCTCCTACTGTACTGGTTTCCGCACCAATTGCTTGGGTTTCCTACCATTTTGGCTTTCAACTTTCCCCTCCATTTTTTGGGGGTTCCCCTATCATTTGTTGAAGCTAACTTTCCCCTCCATTTTTTGGGGGTTCCCCTATCATTCGTTGAAGTTGAAGGGTTACCCTTCCTCCAACTAACCTGGCACCTGTGGGGAGGTACCTGGAAGATTCATTTCCTTTTGAAGGGAGCCCCTGTCAGTTGCCATGTTGGTTGGAGGGAGGGTACCTTTTCTTTTGTGGACTGGACGCCTTGGGCTCTCCCCACCGATCGACCACGAAACACTCCCCTCTCGTGTCCGACCTCCGGGCTCTGGCGGAGCAGCAGCAGCAGGCGCCGCCTCGCCAGAATGGCCTCCTGAAAACCCCGGAGGCTGAAGCAGCTGGGATTTTTGCTCGGGGTACTTTCCCCCAGAAACGGCACACGATCACCCACAAAAGCGGGTGTTTGAACAGGTGTGTCTTTGTTTGGGTTCCCTTGAAAACAAGAGGCGGCCTCTGCTCGGTTTCTTCCCCAGCTGAAAGCTTTGGGGTCTTTGCCCAGGCTGTGGGGTGGTGGGCAGCTTTCAGGGAGGGTTCCAGAGGGTTCCGGGGCTGTTGGGGAGACCACCGCGGCTCATTCAGGGTACTTTCCCTCATAGAAGGCACCTCTGCGAGGGTAGAACATCAGCTTCTTGAAGAAACACCTGGTGGAAGGTGGGAGGGAGGATACCCTGGAGTGGCTTTGCAACCGAAACCAAATAGAAATCAGCCTTAGGCTCCCCCAGTTTGATACAAACCCAATTCTTTTTGACGTACTGCGGATGGACGGAATCCTGCACCTGGTAAGCTTCTCAATCAGTATCCATAGGGATTCGTCCATCCCAACTGGAGGATGTTATTCATCGGTAGCAAGAGGACAATCGCACTCTTCACCAGCAAGGGGGGCAACCGTTCTGCGGGCGCATTTTTTAGAGCTTCCTTTTTCGGCCATTTGCATGGGTAATTTGAAAGGGGTGGTGGATAGAAGACGGGAGCCAATATCGATATGCGGACTCTTTCCAGGCAACTAAGTTTAAGACCCCATAGCTGGACTCTATAGGAGATTCAAGGGTAGATTCCCTTGCTTAATTGGCCAGGATATAAATATACTGATATATATATATATATACATACATATATCTTTAAATTACATATATTTGTATTTACTGGTTCATTGTGTTACCTGCAGTATCATTATCAGTAGGGCGCCGATGGGATGCTTAGCCGGAGAGGTTGGGTCGAAAGTATGGACGTATGTAAACTTAGGGCCACCATGCGGCGTGGTTTCTCTTTAAACCTCCAACAAGGGGCACCCATCCAGCCAGCCCGAAGGTATTCATTTTTTGCGAATCTTCAAGGGTGTTCCATGTGATCCGGGCAAATTCTCATGATTCACACACCTGAAGTAAGGAAACTTCCCGAAAAAGGGAACCTTCATCGTGGGTAAGATCAGTTTGCCCCTCTGCAAGGCCGCAATTCTGAAAATGTCCTGTTCTCCGCTGATGTTCTCCTCAAAACGATCAATATAGGCAAATCTCCTCTTGGTGCACCTCCTTTCCGAGTTCCATTTTGAGTGGAGTACTCACCACAGCTGCCAGCCTTTCGGCCACCCCCCTCTCCTTCTCGCTATCGGGCTCCATGTCCCTGGCCCCAGGGGCCCGGAGTGATCTGGTCTTAAAATTGCCTTCCCCAAAATGGACCTGGGAAAATTCGGCCTCGTCTCCCTGAGTTCGTGGGGAATACAAAAGAGCTTGCAGGTCTTCCTCGAACCTTGGTCTACAATGCTCCTCACAGAAAAGACCCCCAGTCCAACCCGAGCCCCCCTTCCCTTTCAAAGTTTCCCACGAGTTCCGAGTTGGACACGCGAGATCTTGCAACCCTCGCAGCGCCGTGTCGTATGATACTTTCAACCTGCTCACATCGCGGCCCATAGAACTTGTGAACCTGTGCAGCGCACAAAGTGAGAGACCAAAAGGTGATCGAGGGAACCTCAACAAACCTAAAGGACAACTCAGGCAACTGAGTGGGACCCACAACTTGCATTGGGGACATTTGCTGGTGAACTCGTTTCATGAGCTGGCTAGAGTTGGTCGTGATTGTTGTAAAGTACGCATTCCATTGTTTCACTTGGCCAAATGACTCTAAACCAAGACCTCCAGACACGAAAGGCACTTTTTGTTCAGCCGTACGGCAGCAGCGGATGTCTGAGTCAGAGTAAGCATGTATGCTAGCTCTACCCCACGACGTCCCATTCAAGATATAATATAGGCCATTCACTTCTTTCAACCTCATGTCTGGAGAATACAAACCCGCTGCAACCACGTATAAGCTTCAATCCCCAAATCAGCGAAACGTCCATGAATTCGAGGGCTTCCCTTTCCTCGCTTGCAGCGCATATGGGCGACACAGCATCGCGCAAAGGGGGAGGAACATAACATCCAACATGAACAAATACATTTTACAACTCGGAAAGCAGCCTGGAGCGTCCCCCAAACTGCCGGAGGCTCGCAGTAAGGTGGGGCTTTGCCGGCGGGGGGCCCAGTCGGCTTGGGCTGTTGAAACCTAAGTTCTGGTCACAAGAGCAACATGTTCGTTTTGTCAGCCCCTCACATTATTAGTCGTATAGGCCTATTCAGTAGCAAACTGACCTGAAATTGCTCCAAAGCCTAAACACCACAACTCCCAGCCCGTTCTGTCACCGCTTTTTGTTTGATCCCAGCAAGCTACCTCGAGTTTCACAAATCTCGTGGACTGGAAGACTCAAAATGCGGGACCCACCCCGAAGGGGATGGCAAAACCACACACCCGCATCGCGAGTCACTCCCGGTCGTCATGCCAATGGAGAAGGCAGGCGCTTCTTGTGGGCAAAAAAGGACAAGCCAACAGACCAGTTTGACCAAGACCTATTCAAAATGGATCACAATAGTAATGTGGGTGTGTCCAAGAAAGCAGTGCTCCTGCATGCAACCCTTTGCCCTCGCTTGGTGAATGTCGCTCGTGCCGGGCGCGCATCTCATCGCCATGTACTCCGCCAGTTACGCATCCAAACTTGGACAGAGAGCAAAGCGCACTTTCAATGGGATGCCGTGGAAATTGACTTGAGTCTATCGACACGAGGCGCCACCAACGTGCTGCAGCCAGTGCAACTAGCTGCAGCACCAATCTGGGAATCTGGGCGGGACAAGTCTGAGCATAATCTCCCAACAACTTGCATGCAAAAACCAACCTTTTGGTGTGACACTGTTTGAGATGAACAGTCGGAAAGCCAGACCATTCGGGGGTGTGACGCATGCCCTTGCCTTGGTACTAAGGTTAATCTATTAAACCGGACCGAAAAAACAACAAGCGGAAGGTCGGGTCAAATCGTTGGCTAAGGTCACTCTCTGATGGAGTCTCTTTCTCTTGACGTGCTGGAGCCGGAAGCTGAAGCCAAAACGCCAAGACCGGAGGCTCCTCGGTGCCTGGGGACTCCAAAAAGGCTCGGCAAGTGACGAGCGCCCCCTGGGGAGGGAAGCGGCGGGAAAACCTGCCAATTTGGGTTTCGGGCCGCCAATTCGAGACGGAGCTTTTGCAGGGTGCCCTCTTTTGGGCCAAAGAAACATGAGGAAATTCAAGAGAGGTTCCTGCAGATTGCAACCTATGGGAAGAATCTGGTTCTTGGTGGATCCGTTTGAGGTTCAGAAACCAACTGGATCAAACAAGCGCAAGAAGGGCGGCCGGCTGCGCCAGCAACACGGCTGGCGGAAATGCTATCTCCTTGCTTTGGCATGGCTACCCGATTTCCAACATGGCGATTGAACTAAAAAGGACATAGACGGCGTAGGCTTGTTATGTTTGTTCCTTGCGAGTGCCAAAAGGTCCTACAAAGGCACAGACCCATTCGGCTACATGCTGTGCATCCTCGCACGGCACCTGCCCAGTCCTCTGAAAAGCTTCCGCAATTGTCCCCCCAAGAATGGGCTTGGGGTCTTTGGTCTGAATCCCTGGTTGGCTGGTTGGTTGCCTGGCTGGTCGGTTGCCTGGCTGGTTGGTTGGCCTGGTTGGTTGCTTTGCCGCGTCCGGGCCCTTTTCGGAGCCCCTCGCGTCTCAGCATGCTCTCGCGGTCGTGTTCGCAGTGCGCCTCAGATGGCACAAGAAACCTGTCGAGCCTTTCCTTGGCAGGTGTCGCAAGCAAGTGTCGCATGGGGCAAGCCCAATGCTTCGCTTGAGACCTCCAAAACGGGAGTGCAGAGGCGGCCTTCACACAACCAATGCTCAGTGACCCTTTTAGTAGACCGTTTTTAGCGGGTCTCACATACTCGGTTGACGTTGGAAGGGGAGCAAACATTTAAATTTTTGCAGTTAAGTGGTTGGATTTCAACCACTAAACCACCATAAGCAAAAATGAAAAAAGTTTCCCAACAAGAACCATGTTCCTAAACCAGCTGCAAGCCACGCGCATCCCCCCACTGGCCATCCCGTCCAAGGCTCTGAGCTACGCTGACTCCAGGTGGCCGCCTGTCCCCAGACTTCCAACAAAAACCCAAACCGATGCCACCGAGTGGAGCCGAACCGGTGGAGAGCTCCGAGGACATAAACAAAAGCGAAAAGCCGAAAGGAACCTCTCAGGAAAAGAACTGTCCGTCTGGGGTGAGTGGCTTGCGAGATCGCTGTGGCCCTAAATGTAGTCCCCTTCACGTGGAACTCAAACACCGAAAAAAAGAGGGATCTCCTTGTGGAGACTAATCAGAGAAAAGCCCGCGTATGGCGCCTTTCAATATGACGATGTGTCAAGGAGGGCCCCTGAAATGGATCCAAAATGGATCGATTTCGACCAATTTGATCGTTACCCATTCGACGGAATCCTACCCTCTCATGGGTACCTTCCGGAATCCAAACTTAACACATACCCTGCAAAGTGAACTCTGAACCAAACATGAGCCACAATCAAAACCTGGTATTCAAATGGTCTACCCAGAACCATGTGAAGAATTAAGAAGCCGGATATCCGCAACTATTTATGGCTGGGAGTCTCCCTTACCAACCTCCATCTACCCAGGTTTTGATTGTGGCTCACATGATATGCCTCTACCAATTGGTGTTTTTACCGGGGTTCCAGGCTACTTTGCTGGAGAGCATAGAGGACTAAACCTCCGTCTGTCTCTGGGTACAAGTCTTTCCAAAACTCACCTCAATCCCGGGAGTGTGTGAAAAACAAAGGATGTGTGAAAAGTGGATGCGGGAGAAAAAAAAAAAAAAGGTGAAACATCAACCCTTTTGTCATACACATACACGATGCACGGACCAGGCGGGAGCGGTCTTTTGTTGTCCAGATGAGATTAGGAACCAGGCCCCAAGACAAGAACCTTCATCTGCCACGTGGCAATGATGCGACAAGCTCCCCACGCATGTTGGTTACCAAGGCGGTACACCGTGCTTAGCCTTTCGGACATGGACAGCTGAAAATCCAACAAATACGAAACTGCAAAACCGTTTGGGACATCCCGAGCTCGCTTTGACTCATTCCCAGTGTGAAAATCGGACCCCATTCAACCTGAATCACCACTCGATCAGTGCTCCTTTTTCGGCACGACTTGCAAACCTGTCATGAGGACACAGCTTTTTGGGGTGGTTGATTAGATGGACGGTCCTGAATCTCAGCTAGGCGAGCTCTGCCGGCCCAACATACCAATTGTTGGTGGCAACAAACTTCCTCTGTACATCTCCCAAGCTCCACGCACCAAATCATGCAGCGTTTTGGAAACATGGCAAACCTTTGTTGCAATCCCCCTGATGAGTGAAGATCAGCTGCGGCCAAGAACTCGGCCTTGGACCCGAAGGAATGCCAGCATAACAAGTTTAGAAGCAAGAAAACGCGGGCGCACAGCAGCGATGCCGAGTCTGAACTTGCAATATTTAAGCTCTGGCACAGGCAGAAATGTGCACCTTGAATATCAAGAACCAAGCGACCATCAAACGCCACATGGACGGACACATTGCCGAATATGTTCTGCGGTCGAGCAAAGGCACAAAGATTCCTTTGCCAACGCAAACAGTGCTGAAAGCACGTGTTTGCCTCGCTGGTGTTCAGACGTTTCCAGCAGCTTTTTCATCCAGGCTTTAAGAAGATGAACAAAAACTCGCCTTGGCGCCTACATGCGCCTACCGGAGAGCCGTTTGAGGTGTTTTTCCATTCCCCCTTAGAGCACGTTGCCGGAGTCTACCAACATATATATATATATATATATACACATATATATGGCATATATGGCATATACGTATATATAAGTATATTTATATATATATATATATATATATGGTATATGTACATGCGTATATATATATAGATATATGTGGTGATACACATATGAATAGTTGGTCATGTCCTACTCCTCCCCACGTTCCCCGGCCGGGTCGAAGCTGGCGCTCAGCAACGCCACACGGCGCGAGGCGCCGTTCTGCTGCTGGAGGCGCATGAGGCGCCGGGCGCGGCGCACCTGCGATGCGAGGCTCAGCTTGCTGGTGCGATAGGTAGGGAATGTGGTTGAATGAACCCAGGAATTGGTCCCCGAATAAAGGAAACCACCAATTACATGGTTTTTCTCGGGGTCATTACATTTCACTCATTTGGCGCTGAGCGCCAGCAAGCTTCCACAGCTGGCCCGCCGGTAAAATATGCGATCCTGGTAAACCAGTGCCATCTAGTTCAAATCAAACTAACCTACAAGGACACCTATGTCAGCATCCCTCCAACTGTTTTTTGTTGTTTCTTTCGGTCGGCTTGCCAACTGGCCAACATGTTGCGCAACATTTCGGAAAGAATCAGCTTCCCCCCGATTGGTGGTTTGGAGCCTGGTGGTTTGGTGGTCAAGGAGGGGTTCCCATTTACCCTCCACAAAAGCCAGGGGTTCCAGAAACCATGTGTTCGCATACATATTTGAAGATAAGATACAACAACACGGTTTTTTGGGGGACTCCAAGTGAACTAAGCAAACAACAACGAAACAACAAAAGCAATCAAACAAGCAATCGACCACGAAAAA